GCAAGCTTTCAGTCTGTGGTGCTCTTTTCTTCCTCTATCTCATGGCGATCGCACACCGCCCCCCCCCCCCCTAGCTACGCCTATGCATCTATTGAATGTCCATGGCCTATGTACATGTAATGACTTTTCAAGGGAACGTGTCTCTTGGGCCTTTTAGATAATGCCTCGTGTCCCCCTTTTGGCGGGTTTGAACATGCGATGATTTTGTTATAGACGATACCTAGTCAGGCCTGTCAACTTGGGAACACCTAACATGAGTGACTTGGAAATGTTGAACACCTCCCCTCAAAATGTGGACACCTTGGTCCAAATCTGAACACCTTGATCCAAATTTTGAACACCTTGGTTTAAATTTTATTACATCTTGCCAAATTTTGAACACCTCAAATTTTTCGCGCTCGGTACGCTCGCGTTTCAAACATCCATCAACGGGGGGGGGGGGGGGGGGGGGGGGGGGGGGTAGGTACGAAAAATTTCGAACGGAATGCGTGACATATACGTAATTCGCGTGAAAAGACCGAACTAAATGCGTACATTTTTTTCCGGCGTTCGTATTTTTGCTGTGTAGACGATCTTTTTGGAAATTTTTCTACAGAAACATTTTTGCTTGACAATTACCAGGTACAATGCGTATTTGCGTGACATTTTCTGTCACGCAAAAATAACTGGCGTGACTTCAAATTCTTCAGCAAATGCGTAACAAATACGCAAATTGCGGGACAGTTGACAGGCCTGCCTAGTATATGATTACTCTTTGCAGATATTCAGATTAAAATGTTTTTCCTAGTCTCTTTTTTAATGTATGTCAAACTATGTAGAATACGTGTGTGTTACAGATAATAGTATACGCATTTGACTATCTAGCTTTTGGTGTTTATTCTCAACCTGCAACCTGGCATGATTTATTTGGAAAGACATAATATATAGAATTCTGATATGATAACAATTCCGTCTTATGTATTAGTTATTTTAATAAAAGGCACAGCATATTTTGTAAGCAGGACTCATTAATCTATGTTTTATTTAGAAAATAGTATATCAGTCAGGTAGATGTTCTAATCAGTTATGAAAATACATTTGTTTATTTCAAAAATAATCAAATCGATTTGTTCATTTTAGTGTTTAGCAGTGTTCTTTCATGACTTGACGCTTCCATGAATAGAGTAACGTTGAAATGAGATTTTTTTAAATTCTATATGGACATAGTTATTTTTACTATTGGACTGTTGTGGATGTCACAGTGCCTCCCATCCATACCCCCCCCCGCTAATTACAGGTATACACTTTTTACTCATAACATCTTCCTGTTTCACCTGAAACATGGTCTGATATTATGAGGCATGTTCTGTGATCTGAGCACATCAGATGAGAAGAGTTACAACTGTCAATAAGTGTGAAAGTTATCATGTAATAATTTACCTAATGTCAATACATTACATACATGTAATAGACATGTATTGCATTTAACAGCAGATATTAGCACCGGCACATGTACAACAGTTTTATGACCCCACTCTAATCATAGCATCTTTCTGTTTCTCCTGAAACATCTCAGGGCTGAGAAGAAATGAGATGTCATGCTTTATCATGATGTTATGACCCCGATTAGATGAAATATTAGCTGGGATGAAAGATCAAAATCCTCAATTTTGGACTCTCCTAGATCACCAAAAAACGGTTATGCGCAAACAAATTCATAACTCCCTCAAAACACACACTATCAACACCAAAAATACCTCACAATAAAGGATGAAAGAAAAACAACACAACCAAACCAGACTTAAACATTAAACCACACACAGACACAATCAACTTATATGCATACGCCCTCCCAATACAACACAAATATGGGAAGATCAAAATATCTGAAATACGGACCATTACACCCCACATTCAAGTTAATATCTCAACAACAAGATATGATACCAACATAATACACACACCAACAGGAAGCAAAAACATTAAGCAAGCCGCCTGAATCAACAGAAAAACGATTTACCGACCATAGATCCACCCTAAACACCACCAAACCTAAACCAACTTCACAAATCGAAAATACCGCAAAATGCCGAAAACACCAAAACACGTCCAAACACGGAAAATTTAACAACCCTTCTAATACACATAATATGAACATTACATATACCTGGCCATGAAGCTATCACAATGAACTAAACAACCAAATTAAATTTCAACATCGAACTGACCATACCATGATGCAATCAACCAATACGAATACACCCTCCCGATAAAACACAAATATGAGAAAATCAAATATTTGAAATACGGGCCATCAAACCCTACATTCAAGTTAATATCTCAACAACAAGATATGCCACGAACATAATGCACACACCAACGGAAAGCTAAAACATTAAACAAATCACCTGAACCATCAAAAGACAATTTACCTACTATAGACCCGTGCTAGTCACCACCAAACTCAAACCAACTCAACAAATCGAAAATACCGCAAAATGACGAAAACACCAAAACGCGACTAAACACGAAAAAATCAACAACTCTTCTAATGCACACAATATGAACATAACATATACCTGACTATGGAGCTGAAACAATGAACAAAACAACCAGATTCAATTTCAACATTGAACCGACCATACCCCGATGCAATTAACCAATACACATACACCCTCCCGATAAAACACAAATAAGGGAAAATCAAAATATTTAAAATACGGGCCATTAAACCTTACATTCAAGTTAATATCTCAACAACAAGATATGCCACAAGCATAATGCACACACCAACTGAAAACTAAAACATTAAACAAGCCACCTGAACCAACAGAAAAACGATTCACCGACCATAAACCTAAACTAGACACCAACAAACTCAAACCAACTCAACAAATCGAAAATACCGCAAAATGCCGGAAAACAAAAAATACAACCAAACACGAACAAATTAATGCCTCCTCGAACACACAAAATATCAACACAAGACACATGACAATGAAGCGCAAATAATGAACATAACAACAAAAACCAAATTCCAGCACTGAACTGACCGTACCCTAATACAATTATGGCCTCCGTACCAATATTCTTAACTCCACTTCTTAACAGATCAGGCCCGTAAGACACTTTTTTCCAAGGGGGGTGCAGTTTTTAGCTTACTAAAGAAAATATAAAATTGTCAATTTTTTTGCCGCGTAAATCAAATCGCGTAAGACAGAGGCGGGGGGGTCAGTTACTCCCTATATTGGTTTGGAATTAACAAATGCAACTTCCAAACGTTCCAATTGTTTTGTGGGGGGTGTGAGGAGTGGTCCACTCCCCCTAGAAAATTTTACAGTTTTGAGATGCTATTTGGTGCTTTCTAGGCACTTTCAAAGTGTAAGTTTCTAAGTAGTACGCCACCACCACAAGAATAAGAGTTGAGTGATTAAAAAACTGAGCATTCAGGGGGTCTGGGGGTTCTCCCCCAGGAAAATTTTGAAATTTGCTTGTATTTGGAGCAAATTTGCAACCATCTGGTACGCCTGTGTGTATGATCCAATAAGAAAAATGTGAATTTTTTTCAAATTCTTTTGGGGGTGTCAAAGAGGATGAGAGGGTGAAGTGGGGCGGGGTGCCAGTAGGGGAGCAAGGGGTTGTCCCCCAGAAACATTGACCATATCAAGATGCTATTTGATGATGTCTGGGAACTTAAAAAATGTCTGAGACAATACATGAGATTCAGAATATTTATTTTGTTTTGTGGGGATGTGAGGGGTGGCTAACTCTCCTAGAAAATTTTATAATTTAAAGATGATATTTGGTGCTTCTGGGCACTTTTAAAGGTATTAGTCAATAAAAACATTGAAAAACAATCACATTTTTTTTCAAATTTTGGGGGTGTCAAAGGGGAGGAGGGGTGTCAGAGGGGGAGGTGGGGCTGGGTGCCAGAGGGGAAGCAAGTGTTTGTCCCCCATATCAAAATTTACAATATCAAGGTGCTATTTGATGAAGTTTGGGCACTTTAAAAGTGTCTGTGCCTAAAAGCGCATATTTCCCAAGAAAATTTTACAATTTTAAGATGCTATTTGGTGCTTTCTGGGCACTTTCAAAATGTATGAGTCAATAAAAAAATTTGAAAAATCTCAAGTTTTTTTGGGGGGAGGGGGGTGTTAAGGGGGGGGGCTGCCAGAGGGGGAGGTGGAGTGGGGATGCCAGAGGGCGAGTAAGTGTTAGTCTTCCAGAATCATTAACTTTATCAAGGAGCTATTTGATGATGTCTGGGCAATTTAAAAGTGTCTGAGACAATACATAAAACAAATTCAGAACTTTTCCATTGTTTTGTTTGGGGTGTGAGAGGTGGTCCCCTCCCCCTAAAAAATTTTACAATTTTACGACGTTATTTGGTGCTTTCTGGGCATTTTCAAATTGTATGAGTCAATTAAAGATTTTGAGAAAATCACATTTTTTGAATGGGGGGGTCAAGGGAGGCGCCAGAGGGGGGGGGGGGTTATGCAAGTGCAAGATGCAAGAGGGGAAGCAAGTCCCCCAGAAACAGTAACTATATCAAGGAGCTATTTGATGATGTCTGGGCACTTTAAAAGTGTCTGAGACAAAACACTAAAATAAAAACTTTTTCATTGTTTTGTGGGGGGGTGTGAGGGGTGGCCAATACCCCTAGAAAATTTTACAATTTTAAGATGCTATTTGGTGCTTTCTGGGTACTTTCAAAGTGTATGAGTCAATGAAAAAAAACTACAAAAAAAAAATTACAAAAAAAAAAATTTTTCTAATTTTTTTTTTCATATTTATTTTGGGGGGTAACAAAGGGGGGTGCGGTCGCACCCCCCCCATCTGACGGCCCTGATATATGTGAATTCAAGACAGATGTCTGTAATTTAATGTGCTTTACAGTACACTCCTGGAGTTTCAACAAGTACAATGAAAATATTGTACCCCGTTGGTTTTGGAATGACCAGATGTGTCACTGAACAGATACATTATTTACAAGGGCCTAATTTTAAGTAAAGAAATCTAACCTCTGATGTCTTTAATGATCCTGATAGATAGACTAGTTTTCCATTGTTATGTTCGAACGCCACATCTACTGTTTTAAGCTGTACAACATTATCTAAGCCTTCATCTAAAGATTTGCTGGTTTGTACAGCACGGCCCTGTAAATAGATATCAAAATAGGTTAATTTGCTCAAAGAAAATCTCAGGGGACTGTTGTCACATTTCTTCAGTGTATATGTTCAAAATGACTATTCCCTTTACATTTTGACAGGTTCAAAGTATTTAAATTCTAGTAGTTGTTAAGTAAGTGAACACCTCAAACAATGATTACAGCCTTTCAATTGTCATAAGACAACCATAATAGAGAAAAGTAAGTTCTAGAGAAATACAGTTAAACATATTTTAGTTTATACATGTATTTATTCTGACCTGTTCCCATCTTTGCCATCTTATAAAAAGAGTAGATTCATATAAAGCAGGTACTAAACATGGTGACAGGTCATCTCAACCCCAAGTCATCTCAACCCAGTCCAACTCAACCCCAAGTCAACTCAACCCCAAGTCAACTCAACGATTAATTAACTATTAATCAATTTAAGACATCTTTTGAAATCAAATTTTAGATAATTTAGAAATAATCAACAAATGTAATATAACTTTTTATTTATATGAACATGCTTTAACAAAAACATTAACATTTACTAATTAATAGACCGAAAGCATATAGGCGTAGCCAGGAGGGGTGCGCACACACCCTCCCCCCAATTTTGAAGGAAGTTGCATCATTTTTTGTCAAAACATATATTTTTTTGGCTCGCTTATGCCACGATCGTCAGAATTATTTTAATGAAATAAACTTTCTTATAAGTTCATCAATATATAGAAATATAGGGGTTGAGTTTTACTGGGGTTGAGTTTTACAGGGTTGAGTTGACTTGGGGTTGAGTTTTACAGGGGTCGACTTGACTTGGGGTTGAGTTGACTTGGGGTTGAGTTGGACTGGGTTGAGATGACTTGGGGTTGAGATGACCAGGAAGCCTAAACACTTTAATATAAAAAAGTTCCATATTTTTTTACAGAAAATAAATCAAGGCAAAAATAGTTTATTCCAAGGTACTCCAATAAGCACATTCTGAATGGGGGGGGGGGGGTTGGTATGGTATGTCCTCCAGAACTTAATAAGATTTTTAATTCCAAATTCATGGCTTTTTTCAAGTCATAAACTAAGTAATAATGATAACGTTTTACCTCATTCCAGAATAATAGAAACACAGCTCCTGTGATAAGTAAAAATCCAACTACAATTCCAACGCAGCTGTTTCCGACACGCTCAAAGAAGTTGGGGTTGCGTCTATATGACACCCGAGTATATGAGTCCTGGTTCATTGTGTTATGCATCCCTGGATCATTAGGGAACTGAAAATATGAATGTAAATGTAACGTTCTATAGGAATAATACACGGGGTAATCCACAAGGTGGCCTGATGCTCATAGAAGTTTGGGCTGTGTCTAAGTGACAACCGCTCAAATAAGTTTGGGCTGCATCTAATGACACTGGTTTATACGAGTCGTGTTTATGTGTTTACCCTTATAAAATGTGTGGTTGATTTTTCGAATTGCGCCCACAAATACTTTTGTAAGTATAGACTGTACTGTAGACTGTATCCTTCGTCTGAATAAATATTCAGACTGTAAGTCACCTATTGTAAAATGTGGTGTTGTATAAATGTTACAAATAAGTTTGTTTAATGATAAAATGATTACCTTATAAAGAACTTACAATATTATTTTTTCGTATATTGTCCTCTTACTGAAGATATTCATAAAATGTACAGACGCTTCTTGTAGCGAAGCCATTGATTAGGTCAAGCCATTTTGGCAGTGCCAATTCTCACGATAAACGAGATTTAGCCAGTGACGTCAGTCTATTTGTAAACAAATAACACGTGGAGCGGACGGAGCAACATTACGGAAGCGTATTGCTAAATTTCATTTGTGCGGGAATTTATTAGATCTAGTCATTTATTATCATTATCCCGATTAATTTTCTTCATTTATAGTGAATAGAGCGGAAATATTCATGAAGAAGGCCGAGGTAATCAAGTGGTCATGTGTTGTCAAAGTTCAAAATTTGCATATCTCGTTTGGATCTCGTGAACTCAAACGTCCTTGACATTGATTTCGCGATCTACTTATGAACACATCCTGAAGTTTTGGTGAGTCTGAACATTTCATTATTTTATATCAACTTGTACCCGCCTTATACAAATATTTTTGCTTCTAGTTTAAGATGAACATCTCTTCAACATATTCACCAATTTTCAAGGTGAACATTCTTATAATAAACGAGAAATTAATGTGCAAAAAATATCACCGCGATTTCCACAGGAAATATATCAATCATAACAGACCGAATATTATATTCGGTCTGTTGGATACATACTAGACTGTACTGTGTACATTGAAATCTTGCGGTTGAAAATAAGCGGCCTACAGAAACAAACAAAGTCCCATTCAGTATTGTTAATTAATCCCTTGTACACTTAGAAAAACCACTATAAACCATATGAACAGAGTAACTAGCTATCTGCTTGTAGGTACACAGAACTGAAGTGAAAGTGAAATCATTTCAATATGCAATTTCTTGATATATCCATTTTCATTTTTATACCTGCCTGTCAGAAATAATTTCTCGCTGCTCTTTTGATTTGGTGCAATGACAACTATATCCTATAAATCTTGACATATTACAGAACGATATGTATGCATGTGTAATGCCTTACCTGTTGCCTATACATGATTATGTTTAGCAATAGTCGCTGAATCAATTTTTACTTTCTAAAATTACTCACACCGGAAGTAGAATATAAGGCACTTTCTGATTGGTCCTTATATGTCATGTGATAAAAACATCAATGGTACTTTCAGTTTCATTTTGTCTACCTTTCTCTGCCAATGTTCTTTGGTGACCAAAATTGAAAATACAGTATAATGTGACCATGGTATTTTGTAGCTTCTTGTCAGTTTGACACTTTGATTGTTGTTTGACTGAATCCAGTCAAATATACGCCAGACATTGCATCAGGAAAGAGGTGGGATCAAATACAACAATTTAGATGTTAGGTCTCTGGGGACCATCCCTGCTTTACCTAATTCCCTAAGGTGAGGTGTCAGTTCCATAGCCAGGTTTTTGCCATGGGGAGTTCACTTTCTTAAAAATTCCTGGGGGTTCATTTGACTACTTTGACCAAATTTGGCCTTGATAATTGCACATTATCTTTATGTATTTTATAATTTGGTGGGGAAAATGCCAAGTGACGTTCAACTAAAGAAACATAAGAGTAAGAGGATTCATATTGAAAATTGACCACTTTATTTTTACATCTTTATAATAAATATACATTTATATGTAGATCATGATTCCTTTCACTACAGTTCATTGTAATATCACAACTATATACGAGACAAAGCAGTCTGAATTTTGATTTCATTCACATTTTTTTATATAATCTTGTTCAAGAATTCAGTAATACATATAAAAATAATAATGTTGTAAATTGAACTTATAAGAGTCATCATAAAAATTATACAATCTACTCATATTTTCATATATTTATGACAGTTTTATCAAACTCAACAATAAATAACAGTTCATTCTGGAATTATGCTTATTTGAAACTACATCATTTATTAATATATAGGGTTTTTATAAACTAAGGTAGAAGTTATCAAACATCAAAATCAAAACATATAATAAATATTAATAACACAACAAACTGAATGGTTAAACCTATGGTGGATAATTTCAATTATTATCAACAATGCACATTGACCCTATATTTTTGTATAATCCACATCCTTTGAGGTGAAACAGAGTTGACTGTTTGAAATGTTGATAATATCTCAAAACATATTGACAGATCTTACAGGTCATGACCAGGATCTATTTGTTGAGGCAAATTTTATTTAGTGAGGCAGATTTGAGGCAACAGTGAAATAACACCAATATCATTATCACAATTTCAATTAAAAAAGAACATCTGAATGGATACTTTCTATAAAATTCAGTCGAGGCAACTACCTGGCTACATATGTGATAGCGATTCATATAGTCCCCAAGAACATGTCTGTTAATGTTCCATTTTACTCAATTTTACTAAGAGTATAGCTACAATGGCCATATGAATGTTATAATTTTGAAAAAAAGTGAAAAGAAAACTAAAATAACGACCTTGATCATGTAAACAAATACTACTTGGTTATTTGGAGTAAACAAAATATAAATATTTACTGTCATTCTTTGAAGAATATCTTTAATTGGAAAATAATGTTACTTGTACATAATAACAAAACATATGGCTGAACTCTAAACAAGTTCCATAATTCAAGATATTTTGACAAACATAAGTGAATTTAATGAAAAACAATTCCAGTTTTCCAATTATATCTATTAAACTAAAATATTCCCTCAACATCTCACTAAACAGAACATAACAATGCAAAGAAGTGAGTTGACAGCTTTTCACTTTCACAAGTAGTTGCATTTATAATTGGTTCTACTGCAAATTACATTACACCATAGTACATCACAGGTTATGTAGGTGTTTCAAACAAGAACAGAGTCACACGTGATTTCACTGGCTACCAGAGAATTTGATGCAGCTGGAGCTCTATTTCATCACATACATGTAGCTGCCACCATTTTGTGCATATCATATCGCAGTTTATTCATAAAGCTTGATATGAGTACAATACAAAAAACAAACTATCCATTCATCTTGGCCTGATCAAATGCTTGTGGTGTAGATTGTGGTTCCATCTTTATCAGTTATGACTATTTTTTATATTTCAACGTATTGTTTTGTTTTTGGCCAATAAATAATTGTCTAATTGTATATTATAAAAGACTAACAAATATTATAAAATATAAATTCAGTCATTGAGCAATAGGTTTGAACACAATGAAAATACCTCTAAGCAGAAAGATTAGGGTTTCCAACCTTTTCAGACTAAAGGCAAAAATTTCGCTCGGCCTCCATCAAGTCCATATATCTTAAGATCAACTGACATCCCAATACATACAAGGTATTTCATTTTTCTTATATTTTGCGTCATTCTTGACCCTTTTTGTCCTAATTAAGTTTTTATTCCAATCATTATATATTACATTCAACTACTAATACTAATTTCAAAATTCGTTGCCATTTCTTGGCATTGCTTTAATAAATACATTTCCACAACATTCCAGGTTTGTAGGAACCAGAAATCGTAAAACAGTAAAAGGATGTTGCTATGTCAACAGGCATCCTATATGCAACTTATACAGGGTGGTCAAGATAAACCCTCAACCAATATTAATGCTCAAAGTTTTCAGACTACCCTGTACTTCACAATTCACAAAGTATGAATACATTTTCAGTCAAATAAAAGTGATACATCAAGATAAGTCATGCTAATATCCAAGTCAATATACAGTATCTTATAAGTGGTAATTGAATGGCACTAGTATATAAGACACATGTCATTCATGAAGCAGACATAATTTCACTGCAACAACTGCTAATACTGTGTATAAGACTACAAAATGTGATCAGGATCAGCACAACTCGACTTACTGTTACATGTTTATATCTTTATCAAAATCACTAAAACATCGCGATTAATTTCTATCTGACGGCCTCCCCAAAAAATAGTGTTTAACACTGATTTTCAATCAATAAACAAATCAATTAACAAAATTGGATCAAACCCTCCAAACACAAAACACAAATAAAAATTTGTTGGGCATTCATTTATGTGCACACTTTTCATCAGTTCATCATCATGTTTCTCCAGACACCGACTTATTGCAGCTTCTTCTTAATAATATGTACAGTTTCAATATACACAATATTTACACTATATACAGTCACTGGTTGTGTCATGATCTCACTCTCGTAAAAAATGTCTGCAAATAAAAACACATAAAGGTGACTAAAAATTCATCAATATCTGAATACATTTTGTTTTATAGGAACAATTTTCAGTTGCTTGAAAAAGATTTATTGAATAAATCGAAATATTGCAAATCTAAAACATTTTGTTACTACATTTTGATAACATGTCAATTCATCGATAGATATGGTTTAGGGGGGGGGTAGTTATTTAATGGTTTTGGTATATAACAAAAAATGATAAAAACATACTTTTGTATAAGCTTTAAATGTTTTGTTGTCTGACTTCAGTGCTTGGCAATACTCAGCTGCCAATTGTGAGGATACATTCAGTTTAGGTAGGTAGTCAGTCAGTAGAAACACACAGAACTGTTCCCCCAACTTGGCCAGGATTGCACGCATACACAGAGCACTCTCTCCCAGAGCCTGAAACCATGAGAATATGTTGCAATGAATAATACCGAATGGTAGCGTCTCAGTCTATGGTCGTCCAATGTAAATACAGTGTGACAAAAAATATGCAATCCTCTTAATTTTTGGAGTAACTCAATTATAATGGGACATTCTTTATTTTTTGCTGTGTAGAGTAGCAATGCATGTAACACAGGTATGCATGAACAACTTTACAATTGAGAGAGATAGCATATTCGGTTTTGGCATAGTACTGCATAAAATCATTCAACAAGATAACAACATTATCTTTGAGCAATAGAAAAAGTTCGGATTCTGGCTCTGCCATTTTTGAGTCATTTTTGGATTGCGCACATAACTCAAATGTATGTATTACTCAAGCTTTACTTGAGTGTACATACTACTCAAGGTTTACTAATGTGTATTTATAATACTCACCAGTACTGTTTGACCATCATTGAGATCAAAGGTGGGTTTAGAAGGCCCAAGGAAACAACAGGGTACAATACTTTTGTATATATAGTCATCAAATCCATTCAGACCAGTTTCACCGCCTAAAAATCAAAATCACTTCAATTATCAATTTGAAACCATTGTAGTAGCAGTAAAGTTCACATTACAGATGCTGAATGATTAGAACTTAAAAATCATAGTATATCATCATATCTATTAATGGGAGAGTGCTAGTGATGTCAGGTTTTTCAATAAATTCTGAAAAGATTTTTTCGAAAGATATCCCAGTCAAAATAAATTTTTTTAAGATATGTAACCAAAGGAACACAGTTGTTTACAGCATGGACATATCCACAGTATGGATTTTTAGAGCTGTAGAAAGTCTTTCTTTGATACAACTGTATGAATGTTTTTGAAACTTACCCCACAGTTCCACCAGTCTCTTCAGGATGTTGTAGCACGACTTTTGAGCAGTTGGATCAGGTATTTCTGTGGCGCCCTCTATGATGGTTCGTAACACACGCGTCAAATTATCTGATTCTAAAATATACAAATAAAGGGCTTAATATAGTTTGGAAATAATGATACATGTACAACTTATGAACATGTACAAATCATATATATATACAGTACATGTATAGACACAAGAAATCATAATTATGAATTTTTTAAACTGCATGAGATTAACTGTATTGTGAACTTTATCCTAATGCATCAGGGCTATGTGAGTGGCAAACTTTACATAGAACTGATCAAGACTATAAAACTGAGAGTAGCTTATTGCATTTACAAGGAGTCCTAGGTATAATCAAATTACACTGATGAGTTTTAATTATCTAATATCCTGTCGGTTTTAATTTATTACCAGATGATAAGAGGGATTTACATTTACAGTATTATTATTTTAATAGGTGGAAATAAGAAATATTAAATAATAAATATTAATTAATTAATAACCAGGTGATATGGCAGCATTTACATTAACAGCATAATGGTTTTACAAAATGTAAACTAGAAAAACAGCAACTCCACGGAGTAGCAAATCCCACCGAACGGCAGTTGAGTTACCAGATTACGAAAATGAAAAATGGCAGCCATAGCCGCCATCTTAAAATTTTTTTCTCGAACAGAGCTACTGTGTTTCTAGGCATCAGCATATAAAATTTGAACCAAATCTGTTCACTGGTATTTGACTTATCAAAGATTACGTTTTTTCTTATGAAAAATGGCGACCATTTTGAAATTCAGCCGCCATCTTGAAAAAATTTTCTCGAACAGATCTACTGTGTCCCTAGAAATCATCATTTAAAAAATGAGCCAAATCTGTTCACTGGTATTTGAGTTATCAAAGATTACGTTTTTTACGAAAAATGGCGTCCATTTTGAAATTCAGCCGCCATCTTGAAAATTCTTTCTCGAACAGATCTTGTTTGTTCCTAGGCATCATCATATAAAATTTGAGCCAAATCGGTTCACTGGTATTTGAGTTATCAAAGATTACCTTTTTTACGAAAAATGGCCGCCATTTTGAATATCAAGCCGCCATCTTGAAAATTCTTTCTTGAACAGATCTGTTTTGTCCCTAGGCATTATCATATAAAATTTGAGCCAAATCCGTTCACTGGTATTTGAGTTATCAAAGATTAGGTTTTTTTACGAAAAATGGCAGCCATTTTGACAATCAGTGGCCATCTTGAAAATCCCATCTTGAGCGAAGCTCCTTTGTCCCTAGGCATCATCATATAAAATTTGAACCAAATCCGTTCACTGGTATTTGAGTTACCAGAGATTACGTTTTTTTACGAAAAATGGCCACCATTTTGAAATTCAGCGGCCATCTTGAAAATTGTAACTCGAACAGATCTACTGTGTCCCTTGGCATCATCATATACAATTTGAACCAAATCCGTTCACTGGTATTTGAGTTATCAAAGGTTAAGTTTTTTTACGAAAAATGGCCGCCATTTTGAAATCTAGCCGCCATCTTGAAAAATTTTACTTGAACATATCTACTGTGTCCCTAGGCATCAGCGTATAAAATTTGAACCGATTCCGCAATTTTTACAAAAAATGGCGGCCTTTTTGAATTCAGCGGCCATATTGAAAATTCCTTCTCGAGCAGAGGTCCTACACCCATAAGGCATAAGCCTATAAAATTTGAATCAAATCCGTGAAATGGTATTTGAGTTATCGCCCGGACAAACAGACGGACGGACGGACCGACGGACGGATGGCTTTCCTATATCCCTCTCGAACTTCGTTCGGTGGGATAATAATATTCCCTTTAAATTCATTGTTTTTTGCATAAGAATTGGTGATCCCTGATTATATTGGATCATAAAATTTAACACATCCTTGTATGATGTAGACAGCAATAATTTAAGCATATTTTCAATGACACAGTGAGAACCATTTCGCACCACCTAATAGGCACCAGTTATCATGTATCATGTAATATCACAAATTAAACATATCCAATATAATATATACTTGTGTCTATACTCCAGGGTTCTCACTAGGCTTTTAGACTTTTAGAGTCTAATGTCTGAAGACCCTCATGCTCCAAAGTCTAATAGCTTTTGCAGAGTCTAAAGTATTTTTCCGTGGTCTAATTTTACATTTTTGTCACATTGTTTGTGGTAAAACTCTTGAAAAATACATACAAGGCATTAACATGACAAAATGTCACCACCTAAAACAATTTGGACAATTTAAAGCAAGTTGGAAAATACCTTTTGACCTTAAGAAGGTTTGATTTGAACTTCTTAGAACATGTAGATGATTTTGAAAAAAAAATTCGTCAATTTGAAGCAAGTTGAAAAAATACCTCTTTGACTTTTTTTTGACATTGAGAAGGTCATTGAAGGTCAAAGATCAAATCTAAAGTCAGATTTGAACTTCTGAGAACTTGTAAAGGTCAAATTTGAACTTCTGAAAAGATGTAGATGATTTTGAAAAAAAAAATTGGTCAATTTGAAGCAATTTGAAAACAGACCTTTTTGACCTTTTTTGACCTTGAGAAGGTCATTAAAGGTCAAATGTCAAATCTAAAGTCATATTTGAATTTCTGAGAACATGTAGATGATTTTGAAAAAAAAATTTAGTCAATTTGAAGCAAGATGAAAAAAGACCTTTTTGACCTTTTTTGACATTGAGAAGGTCATTGAAGGTCAAATGTCAAATCTAAAGTCAGATTTGAATTTCTGAGAACATGTAGATGATTTTGAAAAAAAATTTTAGTCAATTTGAAGCAAGTTGAAAAAAGACCTTTTTGACCTTTTTTGACTTTGAGAAGGTCATTGAAGGTCAAATGTCAAATCTTAAGTCAAATCTAAAGTCAGATTTGAATTTCTGAGAACACGTAGATGATTTTAAAAATTTTTTTTAGTCAATTGGAAGCAAGTTGAAAACAGACCTTTTTGACCTTTTTTGACCTTGAGAAGGTCATTGAAGGTCAAATGTCAAATCTAAAGTCAGATTTGAATTTCTGAGAACATGTAGATGATTTTGAAAAAAAAAATTAGTCAATTTGAAGCAAGTTGAAAAAAGACCTTTTTGACCTTTTTTGACTTTGAGAAGGTCATTGAAGGTCAAATGTCAAATCTTAAGTCAAATCTAAAGTCAGATTTGAATTTCTGAGAACACGTAGATGATTTTGAAAAAAAAATTTAGTCAATTTGAAGCAAGTTGAAAACAGACCTGTTTGACCTTTTTTGACCTTGAGAAGGTCAAATGTCAAATCTAAAGTCAGATTAGAAGGTCAAATGTCAAATCTAAAGTCAGATTTGAATTTCTGAGAACATGTAGATGATTTTGAAAAAAAATTTAGTCAATGTGAAGCAAGTTGAAAAAAGACCTTTTTGACCTTGAGAAGGTCATTGAAGGTCAAATGTCAAATCTTAAGTCAGATTTGAACTTCTGAGAACATGTAGATGATTTAGAAAAAATTGAAGTCAGTCTAAACAGTATTTGTTAAGTTATAGGAAGTTGTAAGAAATTGTTACAGACGCCGGACGCCAACCACCAACCGCCGTCGCAAAAAAACGGAGACCATAACAATATGTCACCACTTTTGGTGGTGACATAAAAAAAAACGGAGACCATAACAATATGTCACCACTTTTGGTGGTGACATAAAAACTGGAAACAAACAAGGAATAGGAAGTCAGAAACCTTTTAAAAATGTATATTGTGATTAAAATAGGAAGATAATCTTAAGTAACATTTTGAAAAGTATACTAATAGGATATCTTTGAGACATCGATCGTAGTGGGCGCCACTGGGTCTAGGACAAATGCTCAAACAAAGTCAGCCACACCCCCATAGATACTCCAACCTCTCATAATGAACACTGGTCACATGAGTGATCATTGTATATGGGTGATCTTATGTAAGTAATCGATCAGATAGTGACTGACATTATTTCAAGTACCTCCATAGAATCTGTATAAAGTCATGAACATTAATCAAATTAATGGTTACAGATCTTCTCGCACAAAATCATAAGGACAATCTACTTCTTTCCATAATTAACATTCTTGACTTTACAAGGTAGATTAATAGTTTAGACAATACCTTATTTTGAATACATGTGCACCAAAAAGTGCCAACATATATACTTTAAACCCTTATGATACAAATACTCGTAATATGATATCATAACTATGTTAAATCTGTTAATTTCTTGGGATATCACCGTGCTTATTTTCATACTTCTGTCACTAATATAAACAAAGTCACATGACCAGAAGTATCACGTGATCATAATAACATAATCATGTTTCCGGTCAGTATGACCTAGGATAAAGTGAAGTGCTTGAGTAACAAGGAATCTTGAAACTTTGGTTTTAATGACTATATTCGTTGATATTGAGACTGAGACATCATCATGACTATCATATACTGATCTGGATACGACAGAATAGTAAGGTAATGGCAATGCTGTGGTGTAAGATAAACCGAGTGCAAGTCTTCTCTGTAAACTAACTCAGTCAAAATCTAATTCGTAAGCCAACTTGTACATTTTACATGTACAGTAGGCTAGATCAATTTTATGCTGGCCAGTCAATAATTAGTAAGCATTTCTCGCTGACGAAGGGATTGAACGTACTCGGTTTTTCTCATTCCATATAACATTGGTAAATAGCTATAACATGTATGTACTGTGTTCAAGTAGTTTAGCGGGCACCTAATGGGGAAATTGAAAATACAATCTAAACACATTGTCGTGTATTTACTATTTTTGTTCTGACGAGTTTTTCAATGCATTGGGATCCAACATGACGGGTTACGTTTAATCATAATCTGTGAGACAATTTGTGACATATAATAGGGGTTATTGCTGATGCATGTTGAACCCCATTGGGAACCCGCGCAACTTGTACTGTACATAAACATGAAGTTATCTACACTGTACATAATAAATATAGATAGATTGTGGAAACTGTTTATCACAATTTCATACCATGGTATTGCAAATGATTATTTTTATTCACATGTGGAACTCAGCAAACTGTTAATTTCTAGACACTGTTCCTCATTTGCTTCAGGAATATATGCCTTTCCAGGCAAACCAGTATGTTAGCAAAATGCATGTATGTACTTTTACTCAAACTTTTGTATGGGTTTGTGTTTGATTGTGACTGTGTTTGCTTTGCTTGCTCATCCAAGTTACAGGGTCTGACTTGTATATGTAACTTATACTTATCCTATGGGTTGGTTTTTATTCTTGACACTAGCTTAAAGGCTGATTTTAAGTTCTGTATTGGACCTGCAAGGTTAGGCATTGGCTAATAATGCCATGCTGTACTGAATCTTGGAGAAAAGCAGTAGGACTATTTAATTCTTATCACATTACATGCTCAAAGAATATAGTAGGACCCATTGAGAAGTGTGAATATTCCAATGACATTTATCAAGTGGCTATTATTTTATGTATAATTTTAACTCTCCTGCTGACTGCTGGAGGGTTACATGTATCTATCTGGTGTTGCAATGTGCAGCTGCTGATATTACCATTTGTGCTGCTTTTTGCTATACATACAGCTTATGTATGTATAATCTTATATACATTGCTTTCCATAACAAGACATTTGGTGGGTCTCTATTCACACTTAACACCAATCATATTTAATGTTTCAGTGTTAACGCTTGTCATGCTATGTATACCTGGTTCTTCTTTTTTCATACACAATCCAAGCCACATGTACTACTTATTGCTTCTAATAAGTGGGGATATTGAAACTAATCCGGTCCATCAAATGATTTAAAAATCTTATTCAACAACATTAACAGTGTGAAGGCAGACTCACTAAATCGCTTTGACTTTCTGAAAAATTATGCAGCAAAAGAAGAGTTTCATATAATTGCTTTGTGTGAAGCTGGTCATATCACAACTGATGATCTAAATTCAAAGACTTTTGACATTAAAAATTGTGGCGCACCTAAATTTTGCACAAACTCCGGAAGGGGTCTTATCCTCTGGTGTCATGACTCTATTGATGTTCAGATTCTCCACCAATTTAGATCAGATAATCTTGTCAATTGCTGGGCTGAAGTGAAATTAAACCACAAAACATTTCTCTATGGTTTTTTCTATAGATCACCATCATTAAATGCTAATGATACAAGGCAGTATTTTTTAGATTTTAAAGAAAATATATCAAATGTGGCATTGCATCCAAATGATGGCATCTTTATCAATGGAGACTTTAATGCAAGAAATGATTTTTGGTATGAAGATGATCATAATAATTTAGCCGGTTGTGAACTGCTAAGTACATTGGTTGAACTTGACCTCTTGCAGCTTGTAAACGAAGCTACAAGAATAAGACAGAATTCAAAGTCATGTATTGATCTAATAATAACAAATTCAGAACATTTAATATCACACAGAGTTGATCCCCCAATCGGTAACTCTGACCATTGTGCTATTGTGTCGAACATAAGAGTTAAGGTCCCAAGAGAGCCATCTATTAACAAGACTATGTGGAATTTTGATAATGCTAACTTAGAGCAACTTAACATTGACATAGCTGACTCTGATTGGAGCTTCATTCTTGAAAATTCAGTCAATATCGCAGCTGAAAGGTTTGTTGATAATTTCATGTCTATAATTAAAGTTAACATTCCCTGCAAAACTTTCTCTGTACGGTATAATGACCAACCATGGTTCACTAGTACCATTAAAAAGGAAATTTACAAGCGTAATAAACTTCATCACAAATATAAAGCAACTGGCAACATTGAATTTTATAACAAATATGTAATTCAAAATAGAACTGTGAATCAATTAATCAGTGAAGCTAAAGCAAACCATGAAGTAAAAGTCAGAGAAAAAATTGATAATGTTTCTAAAAATTCTATTGAGTATTGGACGTTGATCAAAGACTTACTTGGAAAAAATCACGCAAGTTCCTTTCCTGTTCTTATTGACCCGGTGACAAATATTTCAGCATGCAACAGTTATGATAAAGCAGAGGCTTTTTTAAAATACTTTGTCAGTAAAAACTGTGTGGAAAATGATAATATCAATGTACCACCACTTGAGTTAAGAACAAACAGCATGTTGCAGGAGATTAGAACTACACCTCAGGAGGTTCTTGAACTATTCTCAAGCCTTGACATTAATAAGTCTCATGGTCCAGATGGAGTTACTAATAGAATGATCAAGTGTTGCGCCACCAGTTTATGTATTCCAACCAGTCAATTGTTCAACAGAATTTTAGAAGAGAATGTATTTCCTGACATTTGGAAGGAAGGCACTGTAATTCCAATATTTAAGAAAGGGGACAGAGGTTCGATTAGCAATTACAGACCAGTCACCCTATTATGCACCTTCTCTAAAATACTAGAAAAAATTATTATTATTATTTTATTATTATTTATTTATTCAGTAAGCTAAGTTTTGAAATACATACAATGAGCGGGTGACACAAATTGTGTATATTCCCGACAGGGTGGTAAGTTGCCTACATAGAAACAGAGGGGGATCTGTTTGTGTGCAAATGCTTGTAATGGATGGTAAATGAATTGTGTGTCATAGAGCCCAAAAATATAAAGTATACGAATGATAATCAATTATTGACAAAGTACTTTTTCAGTTCTCTTTTCATGATGTGAACACTTCGAGAAGATTTAATCTTGTTTGGTAATTGATTCCAAATTGTTGGTGCCGTGAAAGTTAACATTGAAATGCCATAGTTCGTCCTTACTTTAGGTTTATCATAAGAATCCTTGTTTCTGGTATTGTGATCATGTCTCGCCTGGACCATTTTGAAAAAGTTAGGAAAAATTTTCTGGTAGTTATCAAGCTTATTTATCCATTTATACATGAATAAACATTTCTGTTGTTTGTGTATGTCAAAAATATTCAAAAGGTTTAACTGTTTGAATAATGGTAGGGAATGAGCCCTATAATCGCTGTTTGTTGCAATGCGGGTGAATTTCTTTTGCACAAGATATAGGGAATTTAATGAACTACATGTTTCACCCCAAATAACATTGCCATATATAAGATGGGAATATATAAGTGAATAATAGATACTCATAAAACCGCTGATATTCAACAGTTGTTTAACTCTATATAAAATACCAATTGTCCTAGAAATTTTTGCATTAACAGAAGCAATATGCCGTTTCCAGTTCAAATGGTTATCTATTGTTATTCCAAGAAAGTTAATATGATCAACTTGTTCAAGTTGTTTGTCATTTAGATAGATTTTTATATTATTTGCATTAAATCTTTTTTGTCTTGAGGAAAAAATGATATATTTTGTTTTATTAGCATTGAGTGATAATTTGTTTGTGACCAGCCATTCCTCAATATGTTTGAGTTCAGTGTTTAAAGTTTCTGTCAGGTCATGTAGATTTTTGCCTTTGATCAATAAATTAGTATCATCTGCAAATAAGACGAAAAATAGTGTCGGAGAAGAAAGATAAATATCATTAATATATAATATAAAAAACAGGGGTCCCAAAATTGAGCCTTGAGGAATACCGCAAGTGATCAACTCACGATTAGAGATTGTTTCCTTATATAAAGTTTGCTGAAATCTATTTTTAAAATAACTTTTTATCCAGTCAAGAGCAACACCACGTATACCATAATATTGAAGTTTGTCGAATAGTATGTTATGATCTATTGTATCGAAAGCTTTGGAAAAGTCAATGAATAATCCTATTGTAAATTCGCCATCATCGATAGATTTTCTGATCTTTTCAATAAATGTTAACACACCCATGAAAGTTGATCTCTTTTCCCTAAATCCAAATTGATTAGTATACAAAATGTCAATGATATCTATAAACTTTGTTATTCTTTTATGCATTATTTTTTCCAAAATTTTTGAAAAAACAGGTAAAACAGATATTGGCCGATAATTGGTGAAAAAATGTTTGTCATCTTTTTTATAAATCGGTATAACTTTAGCAATTTTAAGTTGGTCCGGAAAAACTCCGTTTGAAATGGATAAATTAAAAATATGCATTAGAGGCTGATATAGAACAAAACCGCATTCTTTCATAATAAAAGGTTTAAAATCATCATGACCTGCAGCAGAAGGTTTTAAATTAGAAATTATTTTTTGTAGTTCGTTAACATCAACTGGGTCTAAAAAAATTGAAGAAGCCTGTTGACCTAATGTTTGCATAAAATCTAAAGGTTTTTTATCTGACTTTGGAATTTTGGCAGCTAATTTTTCTCCAACTTTTACAAAGAAATTATTAAACTGATTAGCTATATCCTGTTTGTTGGTTATTTTCACATTATTTTGAATGAAGAAGTCTGGAATGTTATTATTTTTATTCTTTCTTTGAAGTATCTCATTAATTATTTGCCAATTTGCCTTTATGTTGCCTTGATTCAGTTTAAATTTGTTATTATAATATTGCTTTTCAGATAATTTAATTGTACTTTTTAGTTGATTTGCATAAGTTTTATATTGTTTTTTATTTTGATCTGTGGGATTTCGAAGATATTTCTTGTATAGTTTGCTTTTATATCTAATTGACTTAAGTATGGCTGACGTAATCCATGGCTTTTGATTATTATTGTATAGTTTAATTGTGATCTGTTTTAATGGGAAACATTCGTCATAAAATTCTGATAGTTTTTCCTCAAATTTATTATAAGATTCATTAGCATCATTAAAATTTGTAATGTCGATCCAAGATTCGTTAGAGAGAATTTCTTTAAATCTTAAAATGCTTTCATCAGTATATTTTCTAATAGACCTTTTCATGAATGTGGTTTTGTTAACAGGTTTATTGGAAACAGCAAATATTGGGAAATGATCTGATATGTCATTGTATATAATTCCGCATAAGTCAACTTTAGAATCATTAGTAAAGATGTTATCTATGAGAGTGGCTGTAGTAGAAGTTACTCTAGTTGCTTTATATATTACAGGAATAAGGTTATATGAAGACATAATGTTGTAAAAGTTTTCAGTATTTTCATGTTCAACAGATTTAAAAAGATCAATGTTAAAATCTCCAGCAATGTAGCTTAATTTGTTATTTTCTCTTGAAATTAAAGATAGGTATACATCTAAGTCATTGTTAAATTCCTCTAGATCAACATTTGGTGGCTTATATACACAGGTTATTAAAATATTCTTCCCCTTTTCAACAATTACCTCTATGGTTATGACATCACAATTGATATTGTTAAATTTTAAATCAGTTCTTTCCTTGATATTAAGAGATTTATGAATAAGGAGACCAACACCGCCTCCTCTAGTTGTTCTTGAGTTGAAAAATCCTCGGTAATTTACAAAATCAGAAAAGTTGTCTTCTTGATCTTTATACAGCCAAGTTTCAGAGAGAGCAATGACAGAAATATTTTTATCAATTGACGCAAGTAGATTAGACAGTTTCCAATGATTAGATGGCAAACTACGAATATTGCAATGTAAAATTGACATATCGATGTTATTCTTGGAATTGAGATTATTATTGAAGTCAGAAAGTGTCACATATTCATTCTTTGCCATGTATTCCTTGGTTGTGTTATCAAAATCTGGGGCGTCAGGATCATCATCTCTGATTTCAAGAGGATTGAAAACTTTGTTTTCAAAACTAATAATTGAGTCTCCATTTGGCACAATATCAATAAATTCGGTAGAGTCTGTAATATTAAAAAAAGGAAATTCAGACCATGGGCATGACACATGTGCACTTAGATTATCCAGTATCCAAAAGTAGAAGCATTACACACACAAACAGATCCCCCTTATAAATGTTACGAGATTTGAAAAAAGAAAATCTCAATATGAATTGAGACATGATGTTCTGTAAGCACAGAACTAGGCTAGGCGAAATGAGCAAGTACATATTTGTGGCTCTGTTGAATGGCATATAAACATAACAGTGAATGTAAGAACCAAAGCAAAAAAAAAAAAAATACAAATTAACAGCTTTAAGAACATGTTGCGCATGTGCACTATATACCTGGCAGGTATTGATTAAGTGATAAAGTAAAACATGAAGTAATTATAGCAATCTCCCTGCCTCCGTGATCCATACTCCAAAGCATCTCAAAATGAGATCTCATTGTGGGATGACCAAAGCGGTTACAGCATAAACTGCACATGCGCTAAAAATACGAAAGGTGTTGCTAAATTCGTAGATGCATTAAAACATTATATATATAAAAGAATAAAGAAAAATGTATCGAATTCCCTGGCTCAATGATCTTGATTCCAGGACAACATTCTCATCATGGTATTGAATGAATACGTAAGTTTACATAAAGATGGCAGTGTTACACCAACATAAATTCATACAGACATACAGTCTCCTGCACATCCAAAGAGAAATATATCTGCTTCAATAAACTACCCAACTGGAAATCATTGATACATACAATATGTATATTTCGGAGGATTAATTTAAAGAGCAATGAACATTGACTATGAAGGTGGCAAAAGAATACCAGAGAGCCTTTTCAATGAAAGACACATGTAAAAAATAAGCCAGGATTTAAACGTTTAGGCAAATTGGTTTCCAGGTTTGGTTTGTGAATTGCCATATATATAGTCATAATATACAGTCGAATGCACATTGGTAAATTTTAACTCAGGAATGAATTGACCATGGGGGATTTAAAATAGCTTGGTTTCCAGGTTTGGTTTGCCAAATATGCAGTCAAATGCACATTGCAGAATTTAATCTCGGTAATGAATTGACCATGGGGGATTTAAAATAGCTTGACTGTGAAGGATATAATACCATAAATATTTACATTGGCTAATTGCCAGATTCATAAATCGAGTGGGTGATCTAAGAAAAACATTAAACTCACCAACTTGATTCTTATTACAATACTAAGTACCAGATTACTCGTATTAAAAAGAAAATATTTAAAAATTTCAAAATAATTTGTACGATAAACATACAATACACACTTACTACTTTTTGGAGTTATTGCAGATAATGTTGATTAATGTTATTCAATGGGCTTGCTAAATAATTCAGGTCATTGTTAGACATCTAGTTACCCTAGTATCTAGTATTTCTGGATAACAGAGGCTACAGCATGTTGTAAATCAGCAAGAATTGATGATGATAAAGTGATATTGTTCATTAATCTTTATATATAGTACCTAATAACAAATTTGGTATTGAGTTTTGAAAAAGAGCAAAAGTCATTTAAAGTTTGGATTGGGGATAATTTCATTTATTGTGAATGAAAGAGTTTAGATGTGTGCATATGAATAATGCACTGCTTAGAGTCTTAGAGACCCATGTCGCTGATTTGGAATCGTTGGATAGATCCTGTTTTAAGCTTGCCAACAATTTTGCCATTGGAACTCCAGGCAGATTCCACTTCAGGCGATTTCTTAATGTAATCGAGGAGTTGCCTGTTGAGTGGGCTTAAGTCCTCAAATACCAATATGTTGGAGCCTTTCAGATTCTTTTTGTTCTTCATTATGATATCCTTGGTGCCACGGAACTTCAGGCGAGCAATTATGTGCCTTGGTTTTGAGTTATTTCCACTTGTGATGCGTCCTACCCTGTGCGCTATTTCAACATCGGTGGCTTTAAGGTCATTGTGAACTTTGTGCTGCACTAGGGCTTGTACCACTTTCTCCGCACAATTTTCACCCTCGTTCTCAGCAATGCCTAGAACACGGATAGTGGTACGCCTACTATATTGGGCATTATGGTTGCAGGCAAAACGTAGATCTTTGAGTTCCACTTGAAGGGTAGCCACATCTTCCTTAAGTAATTCATTTTGAGTTTCTAAAGATGACAATTTATTTTTGATTGGTTGTACGGAAGACTTCTTTTTCATCTGTTAGACAATAACCTTTTGTACAAATTTCAGAGTGGCTTTCTGCCAAAACATAATACAGTAAATCAACTTGTAAATATCATTCATGACCTTCATATTAATATAGATCAAGGTAAAAATGTACGTTCCATATTTCTCGACCTGACGTCAGCTTTTGACCTTGTTCCACATCGGTTATTACTTAAAAAACTTAGAGCTTATGGTTGCGATAATAATTTTGTTTCCCTGATGACATCTTATCTTTCTAACAGGAGAATACAAGTACGGGTCAACAATAGTTTATCAAGATGGTCAAAAGACCATGAACAGTTGAATCAGTTGAATGCTGAAGTTGAACCAGTAGATAATGGTAACCGTAATCACAACTTGATCATCAATGCCGGTGTACCACAGGGGTCTGTTTTGGGACCCCTACTTTTTCTAATTTATATTAACGATTTGCCGGATAATCTTAATTCTAAAACCTTCATCTTTGCCGACGACACTTCTCTGTATGATGCATATGATAAAAATGAAGTACACATGAACATTAATCAGCCATTACAACATGACCTTGACACTCTAAACAATTGGGCTTCAGTGTGGAAAATGAAATTCAAAGCCCAAAAGAGTGCTGATATAACATTTTCAGGGCTACGCACCCAAGTTAACAATCAGTCTCCCCTGTTTCTAGGGGATGAAGAAGTTCCCAAATGTATAATGCATAAACACCTCGGATTAGTCATGGACAGTAAACTAAATTTCAATGCACACATCGACCAATTAATTGTAAAGATTAACAACTTAATCAGACCATTGAAAGCTCTATGCAAAAAATTATCAGCCAAGCATCTTGAGACAATTTATAATGCCTACTTTATACCTCACTATGACTATTGTGACATAATTTACAACAAAGCTTCCTTAACCAAACTCCAAGCTCTAGATAAGTTACATTACAGAGCAGCCTGTTTGATATCTGGTGCAATACATGGATCAAGTACTGATAAGGTATTTGCATCCCTAAATTGGAAATCTCTTGCATCTAGAAGAGAAGAACATTTGAAAATATTTATTTTTAAAGCACGGTTTAATTGTTTTCCACCTTTTATATGTGATTTAGTTCGCTCCTATGAAATCACTCATACTAGAAACTTAAGATCCCAGCCAGACTATCGGATTCCAAACCAGATTAGTGTGTCTAGTGAGAAGTCCACATTATTTAAATCCATGACCCTATGGAATAAACTTCCAAATACATCCAGAGTTGGACAACCTATTTCAAGATTTAAAAAATCAGTAAGAGAGTGCATGAGCCTGGTCTCTGTATCAACTTCGAAAATGAATATTTTTATGCCAAGACATATTGAGATAGTTTTTAATAGGCTTAGAGCTGGCCTCCTATTGAATAGCCATCTATATTCTCACAACTTTGTCTCAGTAACTGATCCTAAATGTCCATGTGGTTCTAGGTTTCAAACTACAGAGCATTTTCTGGTTAAATGTCCACTGCTTGTGAATGAAAGAGATGTTTTACTTGCAGGGCTAACAGACTTAAATCTTTTAAGTGAATTTGAAAACTTTTCAAACCAAAATAAAACTGATTTTCTCTTGTATGGTGACAATTCTTTAAGTGTTGAAGTCAATGAAAATTAATTGAGATTTCAGCCCACTTCACTAGTCAAGCTTTTAAAGCTCTTGATCAAGATCTTTTTAATAACTAGCAAAGAATTGAGGTAGAGGGTGGGGCAAGCAGAGTAAACACAGTAATACATTCCATATTATTGCAAATGTTCAGTGTATTTTCCTAATCAATCAATATTTTTTGTCAAAATAGTTACAATTGCCGCTAATGTTATCTAATAACCTTGGCAATTTTCTTATGTACACATTTGATGATTGATCGAAATAAACTGGAATATTAAAAAAAAAAAATATCTTTGATCTTACATGAGGGAGATGTAGTCGCGATACCGCGAAAAAAGTTGTCACAATACCACGAAAAATCCGGGGTCTAAATATTTCCTGGTGAGAACCCTGTACTCTATACATAGAGTTGACAAAATAATGTATTATACATGTGTAAAGTGTTGCATTTAAACTTTTGCTACTAAAATGGCGGGAAATTCGAATTAAACATTTGGAAATTAAAATACCAATAACTTTTTTTCAAAAGTAATTTTTTTCAAAAAATTTCTAAAGCAACTTTTTAAGTCATGACAAATTATATTTAAATAGTTAAATAATATTTTCAAACTTTGGTTGGGGCCTTAAAAGCAAATCTATCAAGTACGAAAAACGAAATCTGAAACCACTGCTAACACTATTATCCAATCCAACTCATATTCATGAAAATACAACAATCATGACAACAATATCCCACCAGGGGTGTCATAAAACGATATCAACTGCATATTAGATTGCCATAAACTTAATTGCAAAAACAAAATATCAACAAATGATATGAAGCACATTATATCTTTAAATACAAATAACTCTAAGAATTTTATGCACTTATACGCTAGACCCAGAGACAAGACAGAATGCTCTTTCAGAAATACTTTTTGATTTTTACTGGAATTTGTCTGGAATTCTTGCCCGACTCTACTGAGTCGATCATGGAAAATGAAGGGCCTACAAACCTTGTATCAACAACTGAACTGAAAGAAGAAATCTGTAAGAAAGCAGACTTCAAACTCTTTCAGGAAAAATTGCTGGCACTGCATAGCAAAACCGTTGAAGAGATACAGCTCTCAAAGAAAGGGCATGATGGGAGTGACTTAGAAAATTTCACAAACGAAATAAGCTCAAAGATTTTGGCAATCCAACATGAAGTGCGGGAAGAGCTGACAGCTGGTCTGAATAACTTGCAGAATGAGCTCAGCAGTCAAATTCAAGCACAGCGTGATGAAGCTAGAGAAAGTTTTGAAGCCTTCAAAACTGACCTACTGAAAAGTTTAAATATTGATGGGCTGCCTTCTGGTAATGATATTTTATTTTAAGATTCATCACGTTTAGCCTGAGTTCAATTTTAGAAAAATCATGATTAAAAATATTTTCATAAGAAAATGGAAAAATGGCCAAACATGTAAAAATTCTATCCCTAACCTACTCGGTATGCAGCCATCTTACAATGTGAATATATCCAATTTGATATTAACAGCTATCTCAAAAAGCACATTTTTTCCACAGATTCCGACCCAAACTTTGACTGTATGGAGTTGCCTGATGGCGTCAACCAAATAGTGACAGGTACTGGTCGTCAATTTGATGCATACTGCCAAAACGGCTGGCTATATATCACAAGAAGATTTGACGGTTCAGTATTCTTTGATCAAGACTGGGTATCCTACAAAGAAGGCTTTGGAGATACTGAAGGTGAATTTTTCCTTGGAATGGACAACATTGCCTCAATTCTTGGACAATTTAGTTATAAACTAAAAATTGAGTTCACAGTTTGGGACAATAATGAAACTAAATGTGAAGCTGAGTATCAAACATTTGGAATAGAAGACGAAGCATCAGGATATACACTGTCTGTAGGGGATTACAATGGGACTTGTAGCGATCAGATGATGTATTCAAATGGACTTATGTTTTCAACACGTGATCGGGACAACGATGAAGATGATGAGCATAATGTAGCTTTACACAATTTTGGCCCAGGTTGGTATGGGAAACTGGGAGAGGGGTCAAATATATTTGGCATATACAGCAATGACCCTAATTCAGAGTTCTGCCAACAGTGGATGTGTATGTTTTGGTTTGATGATGATAAACAGAAAACCAAAATCATGAAATCTTTTGTCATGAAAATAATTCCTTTGTGATAATTAAATATCTGGTATAACAATTTAATATATACTTCATTCTGTTGTTTAAGAAATGTACATACAATAGATACAGTGTCTTGTCTTGTAACTGGGACATTATTCTCACAACCCAAGAGGCAAAATGTTCAATTTCACTCAAGATCAAGAACATTCCAATAAAATTGAAATTAGCTGAATTGTAACACTTTCTGGTACACCACACTATTAGAGATCTCAATTCAACTAGACAAAGCTTAAAAAACTGGTAGAGTAACTAACATCTTTTCTTGAGATATTCTGTACAAAGAAGTTCATTTTTTCAAATTCAAGCAGGTGGATGCAGCACCCACTTACTTCAGTGCTAGACAGATCAAATAAGTTGTCAACACACATTGTCTCAATGTATTTTCAGATGGTATAGCGATATTTGCCTTGACATTATGAGTACAGGGGGCCATAAAAATAAGATATGGCTTAACAGATTTTTCAATTTTAAAGAGCTATTTTGCATGTAAATTGGAGTTTGAGGATCATAAAACAGCACATCTCCTTAACATGCTAAAACAGATGGCTCATTTCGCTTATAAATGGGCATTCAACAATCATAAAACAATGCACATCCTTAACTAAGGCCAAGTAGGGTTTTTATTAACAGTATTTGTTTCATATTTGTTTGTTATTGACTTAATTATGAAAACAATTAATATAAATCAAATGTAACAAATGGTGAAAAAGCGCGACATATTTTTTGAATTTAAGGCATAACTTGAAGATACGAACATTCATACACAACGAGTAGAGAAACGAGGTACAGAATGTTGTTTCAAAAATACTTGGCGATTTTTTCAATTTTTCTTGTATTTTGGCTTCACTCAACAGAGGCCAAAAAGAAAAAAAAGAATAACAAGAAAAATCACAAAAAGAATATTCTAAATGATGACCCAGTAAATGTTATTATGAAAACTGGACAAGAACAGAGAATCTGTAAAAAAGGGGACATTGACAATTTCCAGGAGAAATTTCTCTCACTCCATAACAAAACCATTGAGCAAATTCAGCTCTCAAGTAAAGGACAAAACATGAGCAACTTGGAAAACGTCAGTAATGAAATAAGCGCGAAGATTTTGGCAATCCAAGTTATGGTGCAAGAAGAGTTGACAACTGGTTTGAACAATTTGCAAAATGAGCTGAATGGTCTAATTCAAGCACAGAGTGATGAAGCTAGAGAAAACCTTGAAGCCTTCAAGTCTGACCTCCTGAAAAGTTTGAATATTGAAGATCTGCCTAGAGGTAAAAATAGATTTATAGCTAAAGGCCAATTGAAGAAACATCATTTTGTCGGTCAGATAAGAATCGTATGAACTAAATGCATAAAACATGGATATTCTCTACCTAACCTTTAAATATGTTCAAATTTTACTTTTCAACCTAATATTATGTTTGCATTATTGCAAGAACATGAATATAATTTTATCTTTGTTTTTTCATTTTTATTCATTGATCAAATATGTACAAACTATAATAGAATATCTAATTCCTTTTTTCCACAGATCCAGATTCCAACTTTGACTGTATGGAACAGCTTGATGGCGTCAACCAAATAGTGACAGATACTGGTCGTCAATTTGATGCATACTGTCAAGATGGCTGGCTATATCACAAGAAGATTTGATGGTTCGATTAACTTTTTCCAAGACTGGGTACCCTATAAGAAGGGATTTGGAGACATTGATGGTGAATTCTTTCTTGGGTTTGACAACATTTTGGCAATTCTGGAACAATTTAGTTATAAACTAAAAATTGAATTTACAGTTCAGGATGATGAAACTACATGTGAAGCAGAGTATCAAACATTTGAAATAGAAGACGAAGACTCCGGATATACCCTCACTGTAGGGGATTACAATGGGACTTGTAGCGATCAGATGACGCATTCAAATGGACTTATGTTTTCAACACGTGATCGGGACAACGATGAAGATGATGAGCATAATGTAGCTTTACACAATTTTGGACCAGGTTGGTATGGGAAACTGGGAGGGGGGTCAAATATATTTGGCGTATACAGCGATGACCCTAATTCAGAGTTCTGCCAACAGTGGATGTGCATGTTTTGGTTTGATGAAGGAGAGGGGAAAACAAAAGTTATAAAATCTTTTGTCATGAAAATTATTCCCTTATAACGATTATGTCTTTTATTTTATTTTTGAAAATGTAAATATGGAAGGTGTAGCAAACAAAAAACTGTATTTCAATCAATGGGCAGGGAATATTAATGAAATAATGTGATGTATGTACAATGTGTACATTAGTTGTACAAATGAAGACTGGGGTATAATAAAGTACTGTGAAACATGTTAATTTCCAGATTTATGAGAACTATACATAACATGTCCTAAAACTTTACAATTGATATCCATGAATAAAATTCTGAAAATTTCTTCATCTTGCCACAAAATATGAAGAAATTCAGAATTCATGAAATGCGCATGCATAAATTTGACACATTTTACAGTAGTCAATATCAAACCAAATGGTGATGATCATATACACTTACCTAATGAGCTGAGCACCTCTGCGACATTATTACTGACAATTGTAGAGACGAATGAGAAGTATCCTCTTCGTAGCATTTTCTTTTCATTGGTTGCCTGGGTGTCTCTCTCATCAGAGGGCGCAGAAAGTGTGGTGAATATGGTTTGTACTAATGGAAGGAATACTTGTTGTAAAAATGGCACGATAAGTTGCTGAAATATAAAATAATATATTTCTCATACATTATTTGTTATTTTGGTAATTGTTACTTTTGCAAAGTGATTTAGGATTGTATTTAATAGTATATGATAGGAGAATACAATCTGGTTATATGAGGTCTATTTCTATGGTCTGAACATGGTAAACAAGGTTACATAGGGTTAACATAATTTTTGATTATAGATGGCCTTGAAGTATATCCAAAAGAAAAAAGTTCCCTCCTAAGAAACTGCACTGTTTTTTTCATTGTTTTCAGGAAGCACATTGAAGTATATTCCTATTAAACTAGATATCATATTTTAAAAATACTTACTTTAAATTTCATGACAACTTGGTTCATAAGTGGAATGAAATCATAGATTTCTTTGGCATCTGCATGTTTAAGTAGCTGCTCCATGGCTAAAGGGATAAATGGTAGGATCTCAGCTTCAAGGCATACAACCATGCGGTGTAAATACTGTCTAACACCTGTCTGCAACAAGCTCCTGTAATGTTTATTAGAGATTCGTCAGGTGTTTGCCAGTAACATTCAGGCGTGGGAGAGGTAGATTCAGGCAGTGTCAGGTAAAGACTCTTAGAGTTGAGCAATGAGTCGTCGCTGTCACTGGAGAAACTCAGTTTTCATAAACCCCAGATTGGTCCAAGTATTAATCAGAGATGTAGGCAGGATCCAAAATAAGGTGAGGCAAATTTCAATAGGCGAGGCAAAATTAGGCTAAAGGAGGTACTACATTTGAACTTAGGTGAGGGAAATGTCAATAGGCAAGGCAAAATTAGACTAGAGGAGGAACTACATTTGAACTTAGATGAGGCAAATGTCAATAGGCAGGGCAAAATTAGACTAGAGGAGGTACTACATTTGAACTTAGGTGAGGCAAATGTCAATAGGCGAGGCAAAATTAGACAAGAGGAGGTACTACATTTGAACTTAGGTGAGGCAAATGTCAATAGGTGGGGCAAAATTAGACAAAAGGAGGTACTCCATTTGAACGTAGGTGAGGCAAATGTCAATAGGTGGGGCAAAATTAGACTAAAGGAGGTACTACATTTGAACTTGGGTGAGGCAAATGTCAATAGGTGGGGCAAAATTAGACAAGAGGAGGTACTCCATTTGAACTTGGGTGAGGCAAATGTCAATAGGTGGGGCAAAATTAGACTAAAGGAGGTACTACATTTGAACTTGGGTGAGGCAAAATTAGACTAGAGGAGGTACTCCATTTGAACGTAGGTGAGGCAAATGTCAATAGGTGGGGCAAAATTAGACAAGAGGAGGTACTACATTTGAACTTAGGTGAGGCAAATGTCAATAGGTGGGGCAAAATTAGACAAGAGGAGGTACTACATTTGAACTTGGGTGAGGCAAAATTAGACTAGAGGAGGTACTCCATTTGAACGTAGGTGAGGCAAATGTCAATAGGTGGGGCAAAATTAGACAAGAGGAGGTACTACATTTGAACTTAGGTGAGGCAAATGTCAATAGGTGGGGCAAAATTAGACAAGAGGAGGTACTCCATTTGAACTTAGGTGAGGCAAATGTCAATAGGTGGGGCAACATTAGACAAGAGGAGGTACTCCATTTAAACTGAAGTGAGGCGAATGTCAATAGGTGGGGCAAAATTTGACATGAGGAGGTACTACATTTGAACTTAGGTGAGGCAAATGTCAATAGGTTGGGCAAAATTAGACTAAAGGAGGTACTACATTTGAACTTGGGTGAGGCAAATGTCAATAGGTGGGGCAAAATTAGACAAGAGGAGGTACTACATTTGAACTTAGGTGAGGCAAATGTCAATAGGTGGGGCAAAATTAGACTAAATGAGGTACTACATTTGAACTTAGGTGAGGCAAATGTCAATAGGTGGGGCAAAATTAGACTAGAGGAGGTACTCCATTTGAACGTAGGTGAGGCAAATGTCAATAGGTGGGGCAAAATTAGACTAGAGGAGGTACTACATTTGAACTTAGGTGAGGCAAATGTCAATAGGTGGGGCAAAATTAGAGTAGAGGAGGTACTACATTTGAACTTGGGTGAGGCAAATGTCAATAGGTGGGGCAAAATTAGACTAGAGGAGGTACTCCATTTGAACGTAGGTAAAGCAAATGTAAAAGAAGAAATCATACTATTGGATCAAAAAATGTCTCAAAAATGTTCCTTCTGGAAAATTTTGGTGAGGAAATAGCCTCGCCTGGATCATTATAGGTATGCCAATGATTATTAAACCCTAAAACCAGCTTCAGAATCAGGCCATTGAAATCTTCAATGTTGGGTTGACCAACAGGGTCTCACTGATGCAATCTAGATGACTGGACACTGGGGCTGTGTGTGTAATGATAATAGTGTATTATAATAGAATATGTTACCTGTGCACAGGTGTGTTTAATGCCTGTAAGAAGACCTGTAATGTTTCAGTGTACACCTCCACACATCCACACACCTTCATAGTCTGGTTGTTAGAGAAACCCTTGCTGCTTCGACTGGAAGAAAACAGAAACAATATCTTATTAAGCAGTGATCTCCCAGCATTAGAGCAAGTGGGCACTTCACCCACCTGAGATTCTGAAATTCCATTTGCACCCACCTGAAAATCCATTTGCACCCACTTGAAAATGAGAAAAACCATGAAAAATTGGTATATTTTGACCATAAAAAAATGTCACATAAAAACAATGTCCATTGGCTACACTAAATATGGCCCATACGAGTTATCTTTACATTATGAAAAATATTAGCTTGTACATTTTGTATTCTATCTAATGAGCGCACAGTTCCAATGAGTACACATGCAACTTTTATGTTGAACATGGTCTCAAGAAAACAAATTAACAGTTTAATGCATTAGTTTCAATTATTTACAAAAGATATTGATTGATGATTATATTTAATGCAGAGAGGGAAATACAGGAGATGTAGTAGAGTATGTAGACCTTAGTGATAACAAATAATTATTTTCTCAATATTTTTATTTCTCAATATATCATCCTTTTAAATTCCAATTTAGAAACCGCACTGTGTCCTTATTAGAAGGAATATGGTAGTAAAATTCTTTAAATATGTCCAAACTTACCTAGCAAATGCCATGGCATGGTTGAGGCTCTCAGCGTAGGCTTCCTGTCGCTTCTCATCCTGGTCATTGCACATAGATGTATAGAGGTCGCTGAACTTAGAGACAATTGGAGCCAGGAGACTTTTCATAAGCTCCTGTTTCTTCTGCAAATCAAATAAACAAGGCATAATTATGCAAAATGTCACCACCTGCCATTTGTTACAGACGCTGTAATTTATTACAGATGCCGTGTAACAGATGCCAAACACTGTTCACAAAAAAGTTGGAGACTATAACAATATGACACCACTTCTGGAGGTGACATAAATAAGAGGCATTTACTACACGAAACCTGCATTGTGTCTCCAGTAGGCATTTTGAACTAATTAACATTTATTGAAAGATATTCAAGCAAAACTCAGAAAAATATGCAATGTCTCTTATATTATGCACTGTAGTGTCAAGCAGAGGATACAGGGACTCATAAAAACATTTAATGATATATACTCCATATCTCATATAAATGAAAAAACATCTGAAAAACACAAGAAGATTACTGTATTAAGATTAAACTAACCTGTACAGGTAGATTACTTGAGATGATTAGAATGCCTGCCGTCTCATAGATAAAGAACTGGTCTTCACTGGACAATCTGTGGTTGAATCCGTTGTCTGGAGAGTTGACAGTTAACATATCTGTCATACGCTTCAGTATATCCTCTATGTACTCTTGGAGATGAGACCTGAAATATGGATCACCAAAGAATGTATAGAACATGTGAGAGTTTGTATACAATTAATATGAGTGTATATACAATTCAAACATGACTGTGCTATGTCAGAATCAATCATCCAATAAGACTGCAATGATAGCTGTTTCTAATTCTCGATAGATGAATAACTGTTCATTATGCAATTTCCATGTATCTTCTTTTATTTTTGTTAATTATGATGTCATATCTAGGCTCTGTCTGCTGGAATCGGCCAGTAACAAATTTTGACACAAAAATGACAGCAAATGATTATTTTGTGGATCTCAATCCCCCAATCTCTGAACGTGTTTTCATTTCATGTTTTCATAATAGTTCAGTATTTCGTTAGCTATCAATCACTCATTGGGCAGAATATCAGTACAATTGCACTCATCGTCGATTTGTGCTTTGTCCGACATTCTAACCAATATTGAGTCCCGACAAAGTTCAGGAGAATCTTTTTACAAACCTGACTGCTTTTACAAAGCGGGAGAAGAGATATGCGGCTCTACTGCAAACTTTAGCGGAGGGATTCCTGAGTCCTCTCTCATCAAGGAATGCTGTCTGGAATGCACAAATAACACACATTCATCTTTCAAGTAATGTCAGTGTTCTCCCCAGGATTTTTTCTCAAGTGGGTGCGGGTGCAAGATTCTTATTTTTGAGACCAAATGTTGACAACATGTAGCTACACTTCATGGTTTTCTCATTTTTAAAGGGTACAAGTCGATTCTCAGGTGGATGCAAGCCTATTACAAGGCATTAACATGACAAAATGTCACCACCTTGTTGCTCACAATATTATGAGTTCAATCTTAGTCAGACTTAAACTTCTGAGAACTTGATAATTTTAAAAAAAATTGGTCAATTTAAAGCAAGTTTTTCAAGGTCATTGATGATCAAATCTCAAATCTAAAGTCAGATTTGAACTTCTGAAAACTTGTGGATGACTTTTGGTGATGACATAATAAAATAAAATCATCAAGTGGGAGCAGTGTTCACTTGCTTTAATGCTGGGGAGATCATTGCAATTTGAAATCATAATTTTGGTCATTTATTTGAACTAAGGGGATAGGCTAAGAGATATTTTGATTGATTGCCAAAAACACTAAATCTTGAGAAACAACCATAAATTCTGTTTCAGAATCCTATATTTCATCTCCATCTCTAGTCTTGCATCAAACATCTACTCCCCACAACACATACACACAAACTTATTTATGTTAAATATGTGTAAGCTATGGAGGGGGAGGGATTAAAAGAGTTTGATACAAGACAATGAAATAACCAAATGCTTCTACTTAAATATCATTATTATGTAAATATCATAGAGAAGAAAGTTGAAGGAAACAAATATTACAGAATATCATAGAACTTACTAAAACTGGTAAAATGTGTTGTGTTTCGTGTTGAAAGAACTTCTCGTATCGCACAACTGTTTCAAAATACTGCAACTGCACAGCAATGTGTCGACAACCACAAACATTGCACTCGATCATCTGAAAAAGGTACAACAGGCATTGGAACACATTCACAATAGAGGAAACTATATTTTAATCTGCTTCAACTTAAAACATTTTCTCGTCCAAATTTCAGAGTTTTTATTAGTTTTTAGGTTTGTTGTGGAGATCTAACATGCAAGAGATCAATAGGAATGATATATACGAGGGGTGATGAGAAAGTTTTCATAGTATCTCTTATCTTTTTTCAGACTTTTTAAAATAAATAGCAGAGATTACTTACAAGTCTCATCATCTGCTGAAGGGATGAGACTTTAGACATATCACCACTAAAATGCTGACCATGCGAAACCTGCAATCATAAAAATCAGTTTCAAAATATATGTAGTCTGTACAAAGGCTATTAAAGGAACACGTCATCTTTCCAGAATCTGAGATATAGGGAGTGACAAAACAAGTACAACTGACCTTCCAATCTATTAACTATCTAAACATATAGCTATCTCCTAAAGGATCCATGTTATCTTACAAAATGATTGACGTTCAAAGCTTAAATGTGTAAATTCTCCCAAATAATAAATCCCAAGAGAGTGATATGCTACAAATTGAGGTGAAACTGTTGCTTATTAACTACATGTTAATAGAAACAAGTTCATCCACAGATGATTTGTTTAACATTTTAAGGCACTTGAGAAATCACAAATTGAGGTGAAATTGTTGCTTATTAACTACATGATAATAGAAACAAGTTCATCCACAGATGATTTGTTTAACATTTTAAGGCACTTGAGAAATCACAAATTGAGGTGAAATTGTTGCTTATTAACTACATGTTAATAGAAACAAGTTCATCCACAGATGATTTGTTTAACATTTTAAGGCACTTGAGGAATCACAAACCTGCAAAGGTTTTTAATGGTTACATTGACCGATAAGAGGGAGGAAGAACACTTACTGGAAAAACCTCCGCAACCTGATACAATAAAAGTACCCCCAGTTCCAGGTCAGCATATTTTACATCATTTGTTTTCTTCCATGCTTTGAATACATTTTCTACAAATTGGTGCGTAGTTGTGACGACTAAATCTGGCTCCTGTAATAAAGAATACTCTCAGGAAAAGAAGTCATGGTTATAGATGGCGTTGCGTGAAAAGCATATGGCTAATTGAGAATGTTCAAAATATCTCAATGGAAATTTCCAAGAATTTCTTTTATTTTCAGCAGTAAAAACCTTGAATTGACTACCTGCAGAAGAGAAGCATTAGTTAAGCATATAGGTAGCCATCAATCATCTTGGTATCATAATGATAAATGAAAAATAGTGAAATTCTACACAAGTCTATTTGTTCAATAGGTTGGACTGTATGTATATCTCACTCACTAGCTGTCCTATGTTTTGGTATATGACTTTAAGTTGTTTTCTATACTCTTGGAACATAGCCTCATCCTCTCCCTCCTGGTCAAAGTTGTATGATTCATCCAACTTCATTTTACTTATCACAGCCATTAGGATACTCTACAATACAAAGGATTATTAGATGCATATCAATTCTTTGAATTACTTTTAGCTTACTTTTCATAGTGATTTCCCAGGAGTTTTTTCAAAATGGTGCTCATATTTTAGATTTACCTGTTATTTCAAAATATCTCAATATTTCACCCTTAAAAGCATGCTTTTTTTAGATTTACCAGATTTGGTCAAAATATCTGAATTTTTCACCCTTTTAACAGTGTGCAGATTTTCAACAGGGTTGGATGTAATTTTCAGAATTTCATAACTTAAATTCCTGTTGTTATATTGGGAAACAGAAAGCATAGATGTTCCATTTATGGGATTGGGCAAAAAAGCACCATTCCCATAAGCTAGACACTACAATACACCGAAACCTGTATATCCAAACTCCTCTCTTATCCAAACACTTCTCAATGCGAACACTTTTTCTCAGTCCCAAATTTGTTATCTTCCACTGACCTACATGTTGGAAAAGCCTTGAAATGTGAACACCTGCTAATCTGAACACTTTTGGCTGCTCCAAGAGATTTACACTTGGGCACCATATTATGAGTCTAAGAAATTATATTCAGTTACCCCAATGTTTTCCTTTTGTTTTGCAGTGAGTGGGCCTGCCTGCTTAAGTACACTGATATAGTCGTGTGTAAAGTTAGCAACAGCTCCCGAAACGTCATCATCTTCATCACAGAGGAAACGGAAAATAAACTGCACTTTGTTTTCAATGGACTGAAGCATCAAATCAGCATTCTCTTTATTGGAAGACTTTGACATTCTGAAAATTACAAGATATGATTTAACCAGAACAACGGCAATGCCAAAGCGTAGCGAATCCCATCTAACAGCCATGGATGGCATTTTTACAAACAAAGTATATAGCAAAAATGGCAGACATTTTTCAAAATGGCCGCCTTCTACCAAAAGTGTCATAAGACCATTTGCCATACTTATAGTATTCACATACCAAATATGAACAAAATCGCTCCACTATTTTTCGAGTTATAGTAAAATACGTTAAAATGCTAGCCATTTTTCAAAATGGCCGCCTTCTACCAAAAGTGTCATTAGACAGTGTGCCATGCTTACAGTATTCACATACCAAATATGAACAAAATCGCTTCACTACTTTTCGAATTATTATAAAATACATTAAAATGGCGGCCATTTTTCGAATTTTTTTTCAAAATGGCCACCTTCTACCAAAAGTGTCATTAGACAGTGTGCAATCCTTATAGTATTCACATACCAAATATGAACAAAATCGCTTCACTACTTTTCGAGTTATAGTAAAATAGATCAAAATGGCGGCCATTTTTTAAAATGGCCACCTTCTAACAAAAGTGTCTTTAGACAGTGTGCAATGTTTATAGTATTCACATACAAAATATGAACAAAATCGCTCCACTACTTTTCGAGTTAAAGCAAAAATCGTAAAATAACGAGTAAAGGCCGCCATTTTTCAAGATGGCTGCCATGTGCTTCTTTAATATCTACATTTTTAGCTTTATTAATGTCCTATATAATTTTTTTACATCTAAAACATATTACTATTACAGTTTTACATATTGCACCTCAATTACTGTAAATTCGGCACTAAAATTGCCGCCATTTTGAAATGAGCGGCCATTTTGAAAATCGGCTTTCGAGCAGAACTTGAGTTATTGCCCGGACGGACGGACAGACGGACGGAGGCGTTCCCTATATCCCTCCGAACTTCGTTCGATGGGATAATTATGATATTTATATTGAAATACATGTATATCTACCCATTTAGTCAAATATCATGTCTCATTTGTTGTTTTTGTCTAATTTTGGCTCATCTTTTACTAATAGTCCATTTATAGAATATTTTATTACTTTGTTGTTTTGGTTAAATTGAGCGGGGTCAACCCAGTTGTCCGAAACCCAGTTGTCCGAAACCCAGTTGTCCGAAACCCAGTTGTCCGAAACCCAGTTGTCCGAAACCCAGTTGTCCGAAACCCAGTTCTCCGAAACCCAGTTCTCCGAAACCCAGTTCTCCGAAAATTAAAAAATTAAATGTCTTAGCGGTAACGAATCTTGTCGCAACTTCGCGAATCAGGACAGCATAACATTGGTATCACGTTGACATCGGTTAGCCCGGTCAATAATGGGTCCGAAAGTTCACGATCATATATATTCTTACTAGATTCTCGGCACATAAATATGGACATTCTACAAATTTTGAACCGCATTGTCCAGCACGAATCGCACTCCTTCTTGGTGAAAATTCAAGACTGCCGCCAACATTTTAGACAATTATCACAGTCGAAGAGAATATTCTGGCGAAAGGAATATCTATCTCATTCGAATAACGTATGGACGTCCGTGACAATTATATATATTCATTTGATAATTTTTTCATTCCCTTTTCTCAATAAAATATGGTTAATTATGTTTTCCAATATCAATTGATAATATTTCTACCCTGAAAAATATCTAAAAAGAAGATTTTGGTTGTTCAGTACCACCCATTGTTAAGATTTCGTCCAAATTTTCAATAAATCAATAAAATATGCTCATTTCGTATAACTTATATATGTGGCATATATACATATCAGATGTCTATCCTTTTTTCATCATAATATAAGAGGTTTGTATGTTTTAGTAGAAACGTATTCCTTTCCAAACATTTAGATTTAAGAATTTCTCCCATTGGTGACAGTGGCGTAGGAACAATGTACGCCAAAACGCCAGTGCGTAGTGTTGAAAAGTGAGAATAAAAAGGCTTATAATTTACCTATGTTCTTTATTCATATTTTCTTATTGTATTGTGCAAAAGTAATCTCGAGCACACTAGCCTAAAGAAATGTTTGTGGATACCATATGATATGCTCGATTTTTTAATAGTACTCTTTTGCATGTTTTTTGTGCCTCTGTTATTTTTCTAACCTTGGCCACAGATAAATGACACTTTTTGAAAAATAAAATATTGAAAGTTAATACCTTGTTTCTACAATTCTAATACTGTAGAAAATGCAAAGTAATCATTATTGCTCTGTTTGGCAAATAATCAATTAACAGATTGAATTCTCTTACCAACATGCTTTATTTCATGAAAATCGAGTCACTATTGACTGACTATCTTATGGATTTTAAAACTAAAATAAAATTTCGCCAAATATTCGTGATTCTCGTTCTCTTCACGAGAGAAAAACAGTTTTTTATCAAAAACTACTTGATGAATACCTTTGCAATTGTTTGCGCATGTTCCGTAATGCTTATGCAAACTGTGGTATCGTTTAATTATAATGATGAACCTCTTTAAATTAGATTTATTCTTTTTATTCTCCCTACCCCCAATTTTTCAATTTCACTATATCGATTTATATTCCTTTGCTAGGCAAAATCATAGACAGAAATTATAGTTAAGTCAGCAATTATCAATTTTCTTACTAAATCACCGATTGTTATTGGTAGTACTTTTTGAAATATGATTGTTAAAGACAAAAATAACTTTGATGCTGTCCCCAGCTCCGATTTCGGTGATCGGCTAGTATAAAAGGTTTGAGCGTATCATTTTGTTCAAGACACTCTCTAGAGTAAATTATCCTAACTTGAGTAAAAATGTGTGGTAAGTAAATTCGCTATGGGCAGTTAAAGAGGCGCCATCTATTCATTTTCAAACAGGGGGTAGGGGTATAAAATAATTTTTAACACATTTTAATAGTAAAATGACATTGAAATACTAATAAAATCTTATCAAGAACATTATTTACAATCAGTATGAATTTTCTTGTGTGGATTAGGGTGAAAATAAGGGCATATGTTGAAATTCACTACAGGGGCGCCACCTATTTTTGTACTTCTACCACGTGTAATAACTTATTTTAGATTCGTTAAGGTGTGAAATGTACTGAAAAAATTCATTCTGAAGGACCTTTATATGTGTATATCACATACTCAAAATTGGATCAATAACTTTTGTACTGGCGGAGAAAAAAATTATTGAAATTTAAAATTGTGGCATCATGCAGGATAGGGGTGACCATATCTCACATTATTAACTTCCAAAATATGGAGCATATGTATCTCAAATGTACTCAAAATGGTGTATGTACTCTTGCTTTGTCATAATATTACTAATAAGAAGTAGAAAAATGATTGTACATTTTAAAAAATATTAATTCTCATTTTGGCTTCTGACGTCCCAGGGGTGACCATATCTCACCTTAATAACTTCCAAAATATGGAGCATATGTATCTCAAATGTGCTCAAAATTGTGTATGTACTCTTGCTTTGTCATAATATTACTAATAAGAAGTAGAAAAATGATTGTACATTTTAAAAAATATTGATTCTCATTCTGGCTTCTGACGTCCCAGGCGTGACCATATCTCACCTTAATAACTTCCAAAATATGGAGCATATGTATCTCAAATGTACTCAAAATGGTGTATGTACTCTTGATTTGTCATAATATTACTAATAAGAAGTAGAACAAGACACACAGTGATAAATATCGCACTTTGAAGAGCAAACTGGCCACCATGCAATTTACCCAGCATGGCCAAAACCTAATCAGACCTTGGCACTAGTCTGCTCTTGCATCTGTAAACATTTCAAGTTGACAAGATTAGCGGTTTTCCTGCAATTTTGATGACAAGAATTTATTTGTAGTCTTGAACTTTGGGAAAATTTAGATAACATTGTTTGTGACCTAATTTGATGACCTTCGACCTTGAAAATTCCACTTTTTCAGACCTCAGTAGGTGTTTAGTAATTAAGCTGACCTAAATTTAAATCCAAAATATCAATTTAGAAAATCAAATTTTTGACCTTTTCAAGGTCACTGAAGGTGAACGAAAGGTCAAATCTGAAATCTAAGGTCAGATTTGAACTTCTGAGAACTTGTAGATGTTTTTTTAAAAAAAATTTGGTCAATTTGGAGCAAGTTGAAAAATTCAAAATGGCTGCCAAATTGAAAAATTCAAAATGGCCACCATGTAATTCAGCCAGCATACCAAAAACCTAATCAGATCTTGGCAATAGTCTGCTCTTGCATCTGTAAAAATTTCAAGTTGAACGGATAAGTGGTTTTCCTGAAATTTTGATGACAAGATTTGTTGAAAAATTCAAAATGGCCGCCAAGTAGTTTACCCAGCATGCCCTAAACCTAATCAGATCTTGGCACTAGTCTGCTATTGCATGTGTAAAAATTTCAAGTTGAACAGGTTAGCGGTTTTCTTGGAATTTTGATGACAAGAACTGATTTGTAGCCTCAAACTTTGAGAAACTTGGATAACATCATTTGTGACCTAGTTTAATGACCTTGACCTTCGATCTTGAAAATTTCACTTTTTCAGACCTCAGTAGGTGCTTAGTAATTAAGCTGACCTAAATTTAAATCCAAAATATCAATTTAGAAAATCAACTTTTTTGACCTTTTCAAGGTCACTGAAGGTGAATGAAAGGTCAAATCTGAAATCTAAGGTCAGATTTGAACTTCTGAGAACTTGTAGATGTTTTTAAAAAAAAAATTTGGTCAATTTGGAGCAAGTTGAAAAATTCAAAATGGCCGCCAAATTGAAAAATTCAAAATGGCCACCATGTAATTCAGCCAGCATACCCAAAACCTAATCAGATCTCGGCAATAGTCTGCTCTTGCATCTGTAAAAATTTCAAGTTGAACGGATAAGTGGTTTTCCTGGAATTTTGATGACAAGATTTGTTGAAAAATTCAAAATGGCCGCCACATAGTTTACCCAGCATGCCCTTAACCTAATCAGATCTTGGTACTAGTCTGCTCTTGCATCTGTAAGAATTTCAAGTTGAACAGGTAAGCAGTTATCCTGGAAATTTGATGACAAGATTTGGTTTATGTGCCGCCCGCACGCCCGCACATCCGCACGCCCGCACGCCCGCCCAACAGCACAAGACGACGACAATATAGCACTTTTTCAAAGTGCGATAAAAATGATTGTACATTTTTAAAAATATTGATTCTCATTTTGGCTTCTGACGTCCTAGGGGTGACCATATCTCACCTTAATAACTTCCAAAATATGGAGCATATGTATCTCAAATGTGCTCAAAATGGTGTATGTACTCTTGTTTTGTCATAATATTACTAATAAGAAGTAAAAAAAATGATTGTACATTTAAAAAAATATTAATTTTCATTTTGGCTTCTGACGTCCCAGCAGGGGTGACCATATCTCACCTTAATATAATAACTTCCAAAATATGGAGCATATATCTCACATGTGCTCAAAATGGTGAATGTACTCTTGCTTTGTCATAATATTACTAATAAGAAGTAAAAAAATAATTGTACATTTAAAATAATATTGATTCTCATTTTGGCTTCTGACATCCCAGGGTCGACCATATCTCACCTTAATAACTTCCAAAATATGGAGCATATGTATCTCAAATGTACTCAAAAAGGTGTATGCACTCTTGCTTTGTCATAATATTACTAATAAGAAGTAGAAAAATGATTATACATTTCAAAAATTTTAATTTTAGCTTCTTACGTTCCTGGGTAATCATATCGCACCATATAATAATAATAATAACTTCTAAGATACGTAAAATATAATCCTCAAATATTCTCAGAAAAGCCCTGTCTTTTTCATAATACTAATGAAATGTAGAAAAATGATTGCATTTTTTTTAAAATTTTAATTTTAGCCTCTGGTGTCCCAGGGGCTATCTCACCTTGATAACTCTCACAATATGCAACATATGCATCTCAAATGTGTGCTCAAAATGGTCTTGTTTTGTCATATTTATTGAGAATCATGAAATCAACAGTTCAGAATCTCCTCTACAGCTACATATAATTCAGGGCAAATAATATCTGCTTTCAAATATTTGCATCTGCTCCCCAAACACCCTTTACAAGTACAATGGATGAGATTATTCCCTTGCATACATTGGACCCAACATCTTTTGTAATCCATACAGGAATCCTTTTAGCCTGTCAATAGTGGGAGTACTTTACTCCATTTATGAAGTAATGGCAACTGCTAATGTAAGGTGTTAATATGTTATCCTGTGGCCTGCAATATATGCACCTTGGATTATACTATACACGTGGTAGAAGTACAAAAATAGGTGGCGCCCCTGTAGTGAATTTCAACATATGCCCTTATTTTCACCCTAATCCACACAAGAAAATTCATACTGATTGTAAATAATGTTCTTGATAAGATTTTATTAGTATTTCAATGTCATTTTACTATTAAAATGTGTTAAAAATTATTTTATACCCCTACCCCCTGTTTGAAAATGAATAGATGGCGCCTCTTTAACTGCCCATAGCGAATTTACTTACCACACATTTTTACTCAAGTTAGGATAATTTACTCTAGAGAGTGTCTTGAACAAAATGATACGCTCAAACCTTTTATACTAGCCGATCACCGAAATCGGAGCTGGGGACAGCATCACTTGAAAATGTTGATTATTCAATTACGCGTTCCATTGATTTCAGTTCTAGAAAAGCTATTACCTAGATTTTTATTTCATTTGAAAGATAATAGATTATTGTTTTATGAAATATAACATCTTTGGCACCCCCTAAGTCACGCTGACCTCGATTTGACCTTTGTGGTGGGAGGTTTATTTGGTCTTGCGAACTAGTGTTATAAAAAAGGTTGCAGACATTAGGATTAATTGTATCATTGATCACGAATGCGTTTCTTTAAATCAATTCAATTATTCGAAAATGATTAAAAATCTCTCATTGTTATTTGGAAATCGATCGTCTTTATCGTTCGAGACATAAGAAAAGTGAGGATGATTTGTGTCGAGTTTTAAAAGATCGGCTTTCCGTGGTGATTTTAAATGATAAAAATCATTCGAACATTTTAAGCACATTAAAAAGGGTATCAGGGATATTAAGCTTGCATATAAAATCGAAACGCCAACCTATACGTATTACCAATCGCCCATACAAATACATCGCTTAACTATTTCCGTTCACATTTAGGTTGTGAAAACATTGCAAGCTTAAAATCTCTATTGCCATAAAATGACAATAAAATAGGCGTTTTGATAAAGAAGATTTGACACAATTGTTTCATATTTTTGGCGGGATTTTTTGGCGTAGTGTTGAATTTACACCTTCCTACGCCCCTGGGTGATATTGTTCAAAATCAAAACTGTGTTTTTGCAATATATTGAACTGTTGAAGTAAGTGTGTAATAGTTTGTAGTAGAGCCAAGATTTGATCTGTATCATGTACGTACCCTGCATAAAAAAATTCGTTTTTAGTGTGCCATAGATGTCAACCATTAACTATTGCAGAATCATTGAAAAAGTTTTGTGAAAAATTAGGATAATGTTTCAAAATTATACACCGGACAATAAATAACTATACTCAATGCAGACAGGGAGTTTTAATTGCCCAAAAACTGAGAATCAAAATGCATTTGTATCTCTTTAGTATCTTGCATGACTCGTTCATATGAATTCTTTATTTCTACCTCGTTCCCAATACATTCTGAGACAGTTCAACCTTTGCCCCACGTCGCCACGCGGTCCTAACTTCGACCGTTAATTTGAATTTTTGACCTACCGGATATTTGAAAATCAATTACGAGTCTCATACTGCACCGTTTTTCTTCAAACTTGTTCCATTCAAAGCATGACAAAAATCTCTTTCTGATGGTACGTTATTATCTTAAACAGAGTTCCTACTTCCAGCGTAATTTTGGTCCCCAGCTGTAAGAAGGCCTTCTAACAGCTGGGGAGTGGGGACCAAAATGCTGCTAGAACGAGAGACTCTTTACAATAAAGTAATGCACTGACAGAAGTGCAATTTTGTTTTGCTTTTAATGGTATAATGGAACAAAAACGGTGCAGTATCAGACTCGCAATCCTTGATTTTCAAGCATCTGGTAGGTCAAAAATTCCAATTAACGGTCGAAGACCGCGTGATTGCAGAAAGTGATGACCACGTGGAAATTTTGGAACTACCCTTTCGAGTAGGCAAGTAGACCCCATACGGTTCTAAGTACTTCCAATCCGTCCACACAGTTTAAGCCCGTTCTCGAGAGCGTAGTGAGAACTAGTTTGGTGTGATAATAGGGTCAGATACTGAAAGTGTAAGCATGGACGACCTCCCACCGTCCAATGAATACAGTGGGTTCAGAATCAGAAGGCGTTTCAGACGGCGTTCTGAAACAGCTCACTATAGCTTATTCCTTAAATTTTGGCCTGAATGCTTTGTACGTTGAGAGACGGGACGGGACACGAGCAGTGTGACAGCGCCATTAGTATTAGGCGCACGATGGGCACATTTTAACTTAATATGAGTAGGGGATAATTTATGAGGATCAATAGGACTTCCCACGGCAGCCGCATGGTGAATTTTAAATTTCTGTTGATAAATAATACTTTTTTTCATTTTATTTACATCAGGGCAATTTATAAATGTTATTCATAGTGCTAGGATGTAATATCAAATGAAAAGTGATCGTGAAACATTGACAAATAATGATTCAATCTTGTTGAGCCAGTTGATTTCTACGGGACCTCAGAAATGAACAAATATTATAACTCCGAGTTATAATTTCTATACGGCGACCCTGCGGCGTGTGAAAAACTGGATACGCCGTACGGAGTCCCCAAGGCAAGCGTAGTTTTCCTACGCACAGGCACTGTAGCCCCTTTAAACATTATCCTCCGTCAATAGAAGATACCCATAAGTTGAATTTTTATTTACTTAACCGGCGATGAAATAACTATAATATTGATGGAAACGTAACTTGACTTTATTTCCAATACCTTCAAATTTTATCAATTTTTTCCAATTTTTTTCCTAAATTACAATAGGTCGAAAATTGATGATAAATTTGATGACTTTTTGAAAATCGTCATTCCCATGTCATCCAATGGGAAATGGTAGATTTACCGCACGTCATATGACAGAATATCCATCCATCCAAGTCCTTGCAAAATATGAGTAAGGCAGGCAATTGAATTTGCTAACTTTATTTAACAAAGAATTGATATGTTTCTTCAGGTTCAACAAAGTTACAGGGCTTTAAAGTCAAAATTGGTTTTCAAGAAAACTCTCCCATTGAAATAACACAGGAGTCGAAAAATTATTTTCAAAAATGACTTTGAAGCGCTATAAATTTAGTATTCATCAAATAAATTAAAACTTAGTGAACAAAAAAGTCAGACAATTCAATTTTTTATACCAAAAAAATTTTGCTGAATCTTTTACTGAAAAGATTCTGATTTGCCCCGAACTCTCTATTTCCCCTTGGATTATACGGGAATGACGATTTTAAAAAATTCATCAAATTTATCCGTTCAATTTTCGATCTCTTGTTATGGAGGAAAAAATCTAGAAAATTAGGAGGTATTGGAAATAAAGTAAAGTTACGTTTCTATCAATATTATACGCTATTTCATCGTAAATAAAAATTCAAACGTAAAGAGGCTTTAACACGTAGTTCAATGGGGGAGCTAAGGTTGCCAAACTTATGGAGGGGAGTGTATAAATACAACTACCGGCTTTTCACGCAAATGAGCCTACTGGGCGTTTATTTAGTAAAGTTGACGTCGTGTACATCTTTTGAAACCAAAAATTATTCTTCATTTAGGTACTCTGTTCGAGAAATAGAGATTAAATTCAAAAAGATGAAGTGAGTACATGGCGAAAATGAAACTTCTTGCGAATTGGAGAACATCCAATTTGATACGAGGACAGCCTGTCTTCGTTTCCAGTTAATCCCAAGTGATTACGTTTAGAATGTTTTGTTCTTTTACATTTTACGATTTGATAAGAGACAGAGACTAAGAAATTAAATGCGACGAAACATTTTGACAACGTAATATGTGTACTGTTTATTCTTAAAGTTTTATGCGTTAACTTATTTTATCGGTTTCAAAATGTTTCATTTTATTTTGCCTATATAAAATATATTAAATAAGATAAGATCAACTGTTCCGTAATATATATTGTGTTTTGATGACCTTTTTTAGAATCACAATGTAAAATAAATCCCCCGTTCCTGTCATTCTGGTAACGCCGTGTAATGGATGCAATTCAAAGTGAGAGAGAGATCTATACATCAGAATGCATCCATGCCATTAATTTTGCCATATACATGACATGAAACTGGCTTGAGGTGCGTCCCCCTTTATCTGGTAAAGTATGACTAAATTTTTCGGACAACTGGGTTTCGGAGAACTGGGTTTCGGAAAAATGGGTTTCGGACAACTGGGTTTCGGACAACTGGGTTTCGGACAACTGGGTTTCGGACAACTGGGTTTCGGACAACTGGGGTGCACCCAAATTGAGCAGTTACAGCATTTCAAAATACTCAACAATACAACAAATTATTAAGATTGAAGATATCTTTTTACATTTTGCTTTTACATTTTTACATAAATACTGAATTTAACTAATCTGGGATCTGATATTTCATTCGACAATAAACTTCAAATAAAACCCTGACATATAAAATTGTCCTTTCCATGAAAATTCTTTGACAAAACAGAACTATAAATTACTCCAAACTCCTTCTTTCAAATTAAAATAATTATGATAAAAACCTGATAAATAAATTGATAATAGATAGACAGGAATGATTTGAAAGGTGAATTTTTCTATAAATATGTTTTAACTGAGAAAAATGAAGATAGAATTGATCAACTTCAGTCAGAAATCTGTTTTTAAATTGTCCTTAGAGAGCGACCAGATCAGCTTGACCTTGGAGTTTTAACACAGGCCATCAATTTCACTCCCAAATATGGAAGGTGCAAAAATAGAACTGTCAATCAAATCTTGAACTGTGTGGATGAGTCTATTTGATTTTTGATGATCTTGATTTCCATTTTAATTAGAACAAGTTTTATACCATTGCTCAAAATGTTTTTAGCACTAGTATTAAAAATTTGACAAAAACATAAAAACATACAAAGGTCAATGTGAAGTAAGAAGTATTAATAAACAAAACAAATATTCTATTTTCAGCATAATGAAAGAAATCAACACTCTTCTTTAAATTATAGATTTTTGTTTACTTTTTGGATGGATGAGATAATCTTAGAACAACGAAAATGCAATATTATGATGGGGTTTTATATTACAACTTCATAATTACTTTCACCTGGATTCCAACCCTGGGACTACATCAAAGAAGCTATGCTATACTGACCTGACTCATGATGTCACATGTTGAAATGTTTACCAACAAAACTACCTACTAAGAGGTTTTTCATAATCAAAATCTTTTGCTTCGAAACATTGCTGCTTACAACCTTTGACATCATGAATCTAGCCAATATATCCCAGTTGCTTCGGTGTAGCTTTAGATTAAGTTTATTGGAAAGGTTTAAACCATGAAATAAGCAGTTCTGGACTTTACATAGAGGAATTTGTGAGGTCAAGTTGACCTTATAAGGCGATAACTATAGTAACCAGATACACCTGTTTTCATGTCATGATAATAACTTACTTCTGATAGTTTATGATTAGATTGGTTCCTATGCTGTCCACTAGTCTAGCTAATTTGGCTAAGTAATCTGGATCTTCATCCTGAAATCACACATAGAACACATTATGAATATTCTTTTTTTTATACAGCAAGAGATGCGAAATGTTAAATGTAAAGATCTTTCAATATGAAAATATTCAGTTTGTCCCAAACCTCATATATTTGAAAGGAGTTTAGTTTCGTACATGCATTATAACTTTCAAATGGTTACCTGTATTTTGCAAGCGACCCAGGCGGGCGCTTTTATTTTTTTCATAGGGGTGGTAGGATCAAAAACACATTCCAAAATTAATTTATGGACTATCTTTGAGATTATGTTGTCATAACAAAAAAGCTAACATACGTATCAGGCCGGGGTATCAGGGCTAGGCAACTTTTTTCTCCAAGCAGATCTTGACAAAGAGTTTGCTGCATTATCTTGTTGGACCTATCTTGTTGTTGTCGTCTTCCGGTCAGGTCAAGGACACTGGATTTTTAACTTCCGGTCAAGATTTTAATTACACTAAATTTAGGAACTTTCCAAACAGTTTCGGCCTTTTAAATCCTGTGTAATATTTTGCAATATTGTTCAGTTTACTTATGCCATGCTCAGTTTGTCCCGATCTTCTCTAAACTTAATGTTCTCAGTGGTCAAGCAGGTGACCTCACTTGACCCTGACGTCACTGATCACTGTTGACCAATTAGCGCGCAGTAGACCCGAGGGTTTGTAGAAAAAAAACGGGTACCGGGTAGTAAATCCTCCATGCTGGGTTCAAACTTGGTACTCGAAAAAACCGGGCACCCAAAACCGAAAAATATGAATATATAACATCATTAGAAAACGTGTAAGATTTGTTTTGAATTTTCAAAAATGTATGTAACTTCCTTCAAAATTGAGCTAGAAGCTTCAAATAAAAAGCATTTTAAGGCTCTTTTCTTCCTCTATCATCATGGTCATATTTTCATTGGTTATCGGAGCGGGGGGGTGATTGCACCATCGCACCCCCTCCAGGGTACGCCTATGACATTGCAAGACGATTTGTAAAACTTGACAAATCAATCTTACTCTATTTTCAAAAGTTCGTATGTTGGAACGTGAATTGTTTTGATTAGAATTTAAATCTGTAAATAGCTATCGTTACTTTAGCAGAGAGGTAACGTGTGTTAATTTACATGATGCAACGTATAAGATTTTAATTATTAATCATAATTTAAGTTATCCCAATTTTCGACGAAACGTCCACTGAAGTGTAAATTGTTACGTCTTACAATGTCATAGGCGTAGCCAGGAGGGGGTGCGATATTGTGATCGCACCTCCCCTCATAACCAATGAAAATATGACCATAATGATAGAGGAAAAAAGAACCTTAAAATGCTTTTTATTTGAAGCTTCTAGCTCAATTTTGAAGGAAGTTACATACATTTTTTGTAAATTCAAAACAAATCTTACACGTTTTCTAATGATATTTATGTTGTATATTCGTATTTTTCGTTTTTTGGGTACCCGGTCGAAAAAAGCATGGAGGATTTACTACCCGGTACCCGGTTTTTTCTACAAACCCTAGACCAGACCCATACATCACTATCGCTCTCGTTTTATTTGAACAGATTCCAATTCATTTGTTGCTACAATATTGCGTATACCACCAAGTACCAACCACCATATATAGTTACACGACCACAGAATCTCAAAGATAATGCAATAAAATAATTTTGGAATGTGTTTTTGATCCTACCACCCCTATGAAAAAAAATAAAAGCGCCCGCCTGGGTGCTTGCCCGCCGGTAAAATACAGGTAACCCTTTCAAATCTCATAACTGTGAAAGTATAGCCATTCAAAATTTATAATTTCTTAAATTGCCTACCTTGCCAGGATTCAAGATTCCTGCCCTGTCTAGTATGCTAGTAAATGACTCAATGAGGTTCATCTTGGCTAAAGGGTCCATTCCTTTACTTATAATCTCTATAATACAATCACAGGCAGACTCCCTTAGCACATCCACAGACATGAATTGGAGTAAGACAGAGACAAACTTGTCATTGGCGATATGGCCGATATCTATCCAGGAGACATAAGCACCGATGACATCGAGACAGGCGCATACAACCTCTGGTTTAGAGTTTTGATATGACGTCTAAAACAGAAACAAAGACCATTGTGAATTTAATGTCATATAGAAGCAAGCTCTGGAAAATCAATGAATGAAGTTGCTTCTCAAAATTGAAGTTTTGGAGGCTTTGCCTTATACTATTTGGGTGAACTTAATGTATCAGCCTTTTTCTTAGACATCTATACGGTCTTTTTATTTGATCTCATTCAATGCTTTTTTGGAAGAATGGATCAGTTTTGTGGCATTATGAGGACTTGAAGGACAAACAATATCCCCATCAAATTGCATTTCTGGGATAATCAATCAACATCATGAGATAAACATGTCACATAAACATGCTGACTTTTACTAGCTTGAATTCACTTGGAGTTGAGAAAATCTGGAAGCCTTACTATAATATGGTACCAAGACTCCACCATTTGTGGCACACACTGTTCTCTCATAGTGTCCTTGATCAAAGTGTTCCTCTGGGTCTCCTAAAACACAAGATCACACCAATTAATTGAGTAGTTTGGTGGATCAAATGTCCTCCAGGTATAGCCTGTCCAGTATCAGTGCAGTTAGAAACGTAGCATTAGAACATTCAATTATGACAACCTGAGCATTTTGACATGCAAGTGATAAAACAAGTTGTTGATGTCAGCATGCTTTGATACACTGATTTTGATGTCAGCATGCTTTGATACACTGACATCATAACTTTTGATCAACTTAATTAGGCAAATAAACTTGCCTTGCCTTTGTAATATTGCAGTGCATTTACACTGAGCCTTAGTGCCACATGATTATATCTAGCAAATGTAGGATCTAAGATAGAAAACACAGGCCTATTAATCAACATACCTGTTGGGTGTGAGAAATATCTCTATCTACCACCTCACTGTCTATAGCCATCAGAACCTTCAGATACAAGTCTATTGCATTGACCCCCAGGGTTAACCCCTGTAAGATATCCTGAATGAAAGTTGGCCATCTATGGGGATAGTCTGCGACATAGACTAACGAAAAAAGTTGAGCGATTTTGTTTCTGATGAAACTCTTCTCCACACAACTGTCAACTCCCTGAAAGCAAAAAAATATTTAATCTGACTGTTTTTACCATTCTTTGCCATAAGTAGCTACAAAGTCAGGCCAATGATAGGCCTTTTGGTTTCTATAAACTTTATATTCAGGTTGTTTTGTGGGTTTCATTGTCATTTGATTTTTGAATCGAAGGTCTGAATTGTAGAACTGGTAATTGAAGTTTATGTTATTAGACAATTGTTTCCCAGTTCTTCCCCTAGTGATTTATAATCCTATTCCTGTCTTCATCCTGATTTGGGAGCAAAATTCTTATTTTCACAATTCTGAACAAACTTGGTCAAAATATGCCAATTTTTCTTGTTTTTTCTCATTTTGTGGGTGTGAATTGGTTTCCATATAAGTGCAAGCATATTTCAAAATCTAAAGTGAATGAAGCAGGGAGTGCATCTTGTACACTTGACTCAATGCTGGGTGATCACAGAGTATGCACTTCAGGGCTCTCACCAGGAAATATTTAGGGTGTGGTGCTAACATCTTCAGAATAACAGTTCATTCATATTTATATTTTTTCATATTTATGTTTTGTTTTATCCTTTTTACATGCTATTATTGTATATTCAGTCAAGTTTAGACTGTGGAAACAGTCATAATTTGCCAATAGGGTGTGGAGGGAGCTAAATAGAGTGTGGCGCTGCGCCACAGTCTAAAAGACTGGCGAGAGCCCTGCACTTACCTGTTGCTGTAGCAGTGATATGATGAGTGTCTTTACTTTCTGCTGTGTGGCCTCATCACTCTGAGGATACCTGGCTTTCAGGTAATTCTCCACTACTTGTAGGAGGAAGAAACGCACATGGTCATTCCTGGAACAATTATCAAAATTCTATAAAACAAGGTAAAGAATAAGGCATTAACATGCAAAATGTCACCACCTGCCATTTGTTACAGACACTGATCGCCAACTGCCAACCATTGTACACCATCCATGAAAGAAGCCTTGTTTAACTTACGCCAAAATGTCACTAAACCATGGGCTTTTTCATGAAAGCCCATGCTTACACATAGGCCTAGACCTATTTAAGAGTCAGTGTACCAAACATATATATCTACATAGTGCATTGTAAATGTGATTTGTATGAAATAAAATAATGTTACAAAACTCACCCCATATACTGACCAGACGCCAGGGCCCCAGCACATATTTCCCAACCATTGGATGACTCCTTCAGTTGTTCAAAATATTGAGTCGCCTAAAAATCAAATCGGTACAAGTGAGTAATGTATATTGAATCAGTAAAATCTAAATGAATAAGTAATTTATGAAAAAATAGATTTTACTTAAGAAATATAGACCGAAGAGCAGGGGTAATATCGTGGAATACACCATGGGCTAGGCACACACGTTCTATGTACGAACGACCGAAGGGAGTGAGGGGTTCGAAAGCTTTTGTGCCTAGCCCTGCGGGATGTATTCAACGATAATACTCCTGCTCTGAGGTCTATATTATGATTCGAACATGAAAAATCATCAAAATGTTTCGAATATTAATTATGGAACGACATTACTACGACCTGCCATTATGACGTCACACATTACACATATTACCAGGGGTATTCTTCGCGAATATACCCGGGCACCCACCGACAGCCTACCTACCAGCACAAGATTGAAGACAATATAACGTTACACTTTTTCAAAGTGCGATAAAATCTGCATCTGACTTACCCTTGTGCGTCTGTAGATGTCAGCTGTGGGAAGTAGCCCAAGAAGAGCTTCTTCATCCATAGCAAACCAAGCACCATGTAACACACTAGTGGTCCTGAAAATATACATACTATATTACAACTAATGTTCAAAGGAGCTGTCAATCTTGACAGAAGAACAAATGGATTACATACAGGATTAATATTTGTTTTGCAAATATTGTCGACAAATGATGCTGGTAGCAATTCAAAAGTTGATAGCTAGTATACATGATTATAAACAATTTAAAGTCTTCTGAGCACATCTCTAAATAATTTAATTGCCCAGCGTGCCAAAACCTAACGATGGTACAAATCTGCTTGTGCATTTGTAAAAGTTAAACAGTTAAACAGTTTTCTTCATATCTTGTGGACAGAATGTCATGTGGCACCAGCACCTCTGCCTAGATAAACTTTTCAACATATTCATTCTATAAAGTCTGTTTTCAAAAGTGAATTCAATTTCTTTGCCTTTTGCAGATAGTCCGCTATGAATCAATCTAGAGGAATGACAAGGGGACAGGGAACCCAGTTAGAGATTGCTTCACAGCTACTCGAACAGATAGTAGAGCTATAGGTGTAGAAAATCAGCACCCCGCTATTTTTATTGGTACACAGAGAAAAACACAGAGAATAACCCTGCTATCTGTTCCAGTATGTTTGAGTTAGTTAGCAATGATCAGAAGAGAAAGTGAATATAATAGTAAACACTTGCCAAATTTTAAACATTTTTGAAAACCCTAAATCAACAGAGACCAACAGAAAAAAATCTGATTATTTTAGAACTGTCCAGTATTCTGAAAAAGCACACCAATTTTGAATGCACTAACATACTCAGAATGATCAATCGCGAGCCTATTGGTGTGTAATGGCCATTATCACAGTGCTCACCATAAATATAAATGACACATGGATTTGCCGAAGTGAGAATTTCCCATGTAAAAAACGAGAGAATTTTCAAGTGCCCATACATTAGAAGTTGAGGGTATACAAAATGTAAAATATACAAAACTAAAGGAATGTGTATCTAGACATTTTTGGAAAGTATGAAGTCTCAAATCACCATGGTCTGGGAATGGTGATAGATAATCAAGATGCCATTTATTTATGGTGAGCACTGTAGTATTATGCCCAATTATGCACTTCCACTTAAATTCAGTCACAAGACTTAATCTGACCAATCACAAGGTGGTAAGACGGTAAGACCATTATTTCAACCAGGCTGTTTCATGAAAGGGTATAAGCTGATAAGAGATCTGATTTAAGTTACTCACTTTCGAGAGCCATGTTAGATTTTGAAACTTATGGCTCTCCAATGGAGAGATGGACGGCTGAATAATAGTGACCTTTAAAACACAAATTAAGTCGATCCGCGGCTTACTTTTGTTCTCTAACTGTGTCATACATGATTATCATCCTTCCGTGCAAGTATTGGAGCGCTGAAGTACTTCCTTTTTGATCAAGACTTGTAATTGTTAGTCGAGTGAATGTTTTTTTCTGCCAAATTCCAATATGGCATTTTCTAATCAGACATTTTCGTAAATCTCCGAAAGTTGTCCCTCATTCTCAAAATTCATTTCGTTCGTTGCGTATCTCGCTCCTAGCCAACCGCCATATTGGAAATGGGTCGAAAAAACATTCACTCGATAAACAATTTACAAGTCTTGATCGAAAAATAAGTATTTCAGCATGATGCCTCCAATACTTGCACAGATTGATGATACTGATGTAAGACACCGTTAGAGACCAAAAGTAAGCCATTATTTGAAATCTTAGATACAAAAAACACAAATGAAATGTGGAAAATAGTTAAAAAACACTCCACACTGGACCAAGACAAAAAAGTAGTACAACCCATTAAAAGAGAAGATGAATCTATAGCCTTCTCAGACGAAGAGATAGCCAACGAAATGTTGAAACACTATGGCAAGGAATGCCTTGATGTACAAAATAGCAATAAAGAATGGTATAATCGGTACAAAACTTTGTCAAAGAATTCATGAACAATGAAAAAATGAGAATTCGAAGTGAATCTTATGACGATAAATCAGATATTGGGGCTGAAAACATCACAAAGAATGAAATTTGTAAGGCAGTAAAAGAGGCAAAAAGCCAATCTGCCCCTAGCCCTAGGGAAAAGGTGCAATACATACTTATTCAAAAGGGAGGGGATGTAATTGTAGATGCCCTTTTAATATTGTACCAAAAAAGCTGGAAATCAGCGGAAATACCAATTGAATATACCATAGATCCAAAACATATGATCCCCATAGTCTACCAAGCCTAGTAAACCAACATACAACAAGTCAACTTCTTATAGACCAATAACCCTTGAATCTATTTTAGGAAAGCTCTATGAAAAAATAATAGCATATAGATACTCCTGGATTGCTCTTAAATTAGATTTGTTGTCTCCTTTTCAGGAAGCGTACTTAGAACAACACAGCTGTCAACAAATAATTCTCAGATAACACAGGAAGTACAACAAGGATGGAGTGAGAACCAACACACCGTTGCGATCACTATAGATTATGAGTCTTGTTTCGAAAGGATCTGGAGAGAGGGGCTGCTATACAAACTTATCAACAAAGGACTCAGGAGCAGAATTCTGTGCTACATAGCAGAATACCTTTTGAAGAGGCAGTACTCAATCACTGTAAACAAACACACAACTCCTCTTAGAAAGTCCTCCATTGGTATCCCTCAGGGGGCCGTAATTAGCCCGCAGCTCTGCAACACGTACACTGCAGACGCCCTCACCAACATAAAGGCCAGCTACGGAGAATACGCAGATGATATTATCATATGGACCAGCAACAAGGATCTGGACATAGCAATTAAGTCAATTCAAGAAGACCTAGCAACCATACAAGCATGGTGCACCAAATGGAATATGAGTTTTGCACCAAGCAAAACCAAAGCACTTGTATTTTCTCCACCTAGAATTCAGACAACAGTACCTACTTCCATTAAACTGGAAAAAGGGGAAATTGACATAGTCAAATCTACTAAAGTGCTTGGAATAATAATTGACGATGAATTAGATTTTAACCTACATATTGAAGACAGAACAAAGAAGGGCTTCACAGCACTGAAAAGAATTTCTGACTTCACAAGTGTAAGCTCTGGTTGCACACAATCTGCTTTCGTATACTTATATAAGACCCTATAGTAGTACCAAACTTAGATTATGGATGTGCACTTCTAGCTTGCGTTCATAAAGAAGCCACACAACAATTTCAGAAAGTACAAAGACTAGCCTTGCTAAAGGCATCAGGATGTATGTACACAACTAGTTCAAATGCTCTTGACGTCATAACAAATTGTCAACCTATGGATATACATATTAGAACACAACAAAGTCAAGAATTCACTAGAATTTTATGTAAAAATGATAATGACCCACTCGCAAAAACACTCAACAATTGGAAAAAGAGTAATCAAACCTATATACATGTACAAAGAAAACCATCAACTTTCAGCATTTTAAACTCAAGAATAAGAGAGTTTAACAGCACAGGCAAGAATGCAGAAGTCGAAAAAGAATACAAAACAAGTCTAGAACTTCCACCCTACCAGCTTAACATTTTCGAAGGTAGCAAAACAACGGGGGTGAGTAAAACTGAGCAGTGTAAAATCATCAAAGATAAAATCAACAATTTGAGCAATAAATCTGTGATTGTATTCACTGACGGGTCAACTCTATCAAATCCAGGACCAACAGGGTCAAGCGCGATTATATTTCTTGCCGGGACCAAATCTGAACCTGTGTGCTTGAAAAAAGCAATCAGTGTCAGAAGCAATAATTATTGTGGGGAAATACAGGCTTTGCACCTTGCTCTAGAATTCCTGCACTCTATATCTATTAACAACCACGATATTCACATCTTTGGTGACTGTCAACCAGCCCTTCTTAGCACTTTCAGTAGAAATAAACCAAGGTCTGAAATTAAATGCATTGAAAATTCCAGGTTTCTGGTTTACAGATTGAGCGAGGGCGCCACTTAGGAATTCACGGCAATGAATTAGCCGATACATATGCCAAGGAAGCAGCAGCGGAAGCAGCGCCACTGCCCCCATCCTCTGTTAAACAAAGCAAAGAGGAAGTATATAGATCTATAAAGAAAACTGCCCTAAGCAAGTGGCAGACTCTATATGATAACTTAACAAAAGTCAAACACATACAAGAAATTATTGAAACTGTAGGAGTCCAAAATAATCTGAATGAACAAAATCGGTCTTACTTTTGTAAGATAAATCAACTGATTACTGGACACTCCAAGCTAAACAATCATTTGTCTAAGATACAGACAGACATCTCAAACCAATGCGAGTACTGCAAATGTGCAGAGACAGTTCACCACTACATTTTCAATTGTAAGAAGTTCTATGCTGAACGTGAACTAATGCTACATAAGGCTGAAGTGAAATTACTAGGGATTGAAGGGCCCAAGCCAAATATAGACTTAAAGATTTTGACAGGCTTTCATAAAGCACTTAATGAAGCACAGAACAGAGATATGAGACATTTCTTAATGACATATCTAAAGACAACTAAAAGAATCTAACAGACAGAGACTGTTTAAATATAATTACAGATAATGACTGCTGAGAGAGAGAAATAAATAAATAATATGAATGTAAATATGAATAATGAATGACACTTTGAAAATCTGCGCAACAAGTGAATAAAGTACAAGAGAAAGTACATAGTGAATATACAAAAAGCACAAGAGACTAACTGCCGAGGAAAAAGCGGCTTATGCAACACAACAAGCCACAAGGAAGTAAGATTCAAGTATAAGACCAAATAGAAAATAAAGGAGCCTTACACTAAGATAATAATATCATATACAATCATGGCCATCACCTTTTGAAATTTATGTCACCCCCTACTTTAAGAGTTATTGATTATATTGTATCATGGATATGGTCTCCGTTGCAACAATATGTAGAACTTCGATTCAGCATAATAATACATGTTCCTTGGCCTATAATATGAGATCAATCATAAACAATCGCTCATGAACATGCACACTTTGCATGGAGGATCATTCATTTCCCAGTATTACCCTTATCGCATCCTACGACCCCTTTAGATTGTGGTCGTAGGCCCGTTTCATTCGTAAGCCTGTCTTTCTACAATGTCGGAGAATGAACTACGCATTGCGCTATTAAATGACCTACCTCGATACATTCCAGAGTATTTTAAAATTCTTTTTATGTTGTTAGATCGCCAATTGTATGGGTTTATCGTCAGAACTAAGAGATTTTAGTTTTTACATCGGAAATATCTCAGCAATTTTCAAAATGTCGGAAGGGGAATTCCCCAGGGATTTCCCTTATGACTGGTGCATGCCGGGAACTGAATGGAGGAATTTGACGGTTGAACCTACACGCAAATATTGCTATCAAAAACGAAAATATCTTCGTTCTGCCGATAAACCTATATAATTTGCGATTCAACTATATGAAAAGAATTCTAAAATACTCAGGAATGTATCGAGGTAGGTCATTTATGTGTGCAATGCATAGTTCATTCTCCGATATTGTAGAAACACAGGCTTGCTAATGAATCGGGCCTACGACCACAATCTAAAGGGGTCGTAGGATGCGATAAGTATTACCCGTGATGTGCTCGTGCAGTGCGAACTGTATGAGCTGCCGCTGCTGAACTTACCTTGTCTGCATAGGATAAAATGAGTGTAGGCTGACGACGTCAATGTTTTGCTCAATCGCAAACATCTTTAATCAGCTGTCTGCTATAAGAGTTTGGCTTACTTACAAATCATAGGTGATAGATTAGATGTCTTATCATAATCCTAGTATCTTCTTCTTCATACATTCATTGATTCAACTTTGTCACCAAAGCAAAGAAAAATCCCAGAAATGTAAAAAATACGTTTATGTTATTCCATCACTTTTAACTATGTAACTGCATCGAAATGCATTTCACTCGGTGGCTTATTATAAAGTGATGAAATATACTCACAATAAGTGCTAATTCCGTCGTTTTTGTTATCTAAACAGGCAAAGATTCCACTCTTTCTCCACGTTTCATCATGTGCATGGTTGCACTTCCGGTATGGTACCGCCCTCTATTTTTACACTTTCTCAAATTTTTAGAACGTTTTGAATGTTTCGTTTGAGTTCTTAGACATGAAATGAACAATGACTTTTGTTCTTAGCTAATTATTATTAATCAAGTAAATGTTTACTTCCAATAGTAATGGATTCTATAATTAAATTATAATCTGGCAAGTTTCCCAACCAGCAGTCGTGGCCGAGTGGTTAAGGCGATAGACTAGAAATCTATTGGGGTCTCCCCGCGCAGGTTCGAATCCTGCCGACTGCGAGTACTTTTTATTTTGCTTTTTTATCCATGGATTGTAGACTAGAAATCTATTGGGGTCTCCCCGCGCAGGTTCGAATCCTGCCGACTGCGATTACTTTTTATTTTGCTTTTTTATCCATAGATTGTAGAAGTGAATAGTCAGCACTAAGAGCCACAAAAGATATTCACTGGAGATGATTGGTGTTCACTACAATTTTTTCATACAGAAGTCAAAATGGAATGTTCCAAGATGAGCATTCACAAGGAGCAAGTTTTCACTAAAGAGAGGTGTTCACTAACACAATACAGTACAATTTTTGACTTTTTTGAAAATGAACCAGATATACCATATAATATGCCAGATCTTCTTGTAAAATTCATGTCAATAGTTATTGGAAATGTAAAATATAAATTTCTTCATTGTTCTTCTTTTCTCTAAAAGATTCGTTGAATTTGAAAAATCATTAGATGTAAAAAAAATTTATATGCTGCAAGATCTGAAGACAGCACTATGGTCAATGACACACATGAAACTACTTCTAATGCCATGGTCACATATGCTCCGATTTTCAGCACCGGCACCCGGCCGATTGAGTATTGTGTTTAAAATTGTATTCAAGTAAAAATCGGAGCAAATGTGACCACGGCATAACATAGAACCATGGAGGAAAATATACGTCCATATGTCCATGATAGAACCTAAGGGTAAAGTCCTATATCAAACTTCTGATCAAATATCAAATAAACAATAATATTTAAATAACTTTATATTTCAATCTTTATTTCAACAAACATGATACTATAATACAATTTATTACAGGTATTTAGCATTATTATATCACTATCTAGCTAGCGACAGTATGATTGGTCAAAACCGGGTCACATGTCGTGGGATATCTGGCGATATTCAATGGCAATGCTAATCAGATAAGACAACCGTGAGATATCTAGCGATATCCCACGCTCCCGGGAATTTTGAAAGATTTGTTTTCGTTCAGTGTAAATAATTTAGTTCAGTTTAAGTCAAAATGGCAGACGAACCGAGTAGATTCGTAAAAATATCTGAAGACTTAATGACTTAATAATATTAGGGATGTTTAGCTAGACAGTGATATAATAAAACAAATATTTCACTCTATTTTCGGTGAATACCTGTTGCACTTTCACAAGGTGATATTCCACTTGCCCTTCGGGCTTCGTGGAATATCACTTGTGAAAGATGTACAGGTATTCACCTCAATAGAGTGAAATATTTGTTCAATATTGCACCTTTCTACAGCAGATTTAACAAGACATTAAAATATGCAAAATGCAAAACTACCTGCCATTTGTTAGACACTGAATATCAAACACCAACCACAAAATAGTTGGTGACTGTAACAATATGTCACCACAGCTTTATTTTTCTTTTGTATGAAAACCCTGGGATGAGTATCTTACATATATCGTTTAATAGGATAGTAGATATACCATGAGAACATTTTTGTTTAACATAATATTTCAATCATATTAATTTATTTAATACTGTAACTCCTTATTTTTTAGAACTAAAATACACTTTTTTTGTCAAGTACTTCTACTATGTTGGGCAGCCTCCAAGACAAAGACAGACAATGTTCCATGTTCTATCTGATTTGTCATATGACTTGAGTCCCATAAGTATAATAACCAAGCTATATCTTCTGTATCCGTCAGAGATCATCTTTACACTGCTTAGTTAAGTCCATTGGAACCCTCATACCATCTTGCCCTGGGGGAGGGGACTTAGAATGCCATGGGTGGGGGTGGAGGGGGTGGTGGAGGTGGGGCACCTGCTCCTTCTACTGAAAAAAACATTGGAATAACATGAAATAAGATATTAATATGACAATATATCATTATTTCATATATCAGTTGAATAATATGGAGATTGGAGAGGTTACAAAGACTGCTATGGGCTAATTACCCAAACCGTGCAAATGAGTGAAAAACATTGGCTCGTCATTACAGTTCACATCATTGAAGCAAGAGTTTAATTCTTCTTGAGATATAATTTGAATCATATACTATAAACGTAGTACTGTAATATAATCAACAAATGGGTTATGGGTTACTTCAAATAACATAGACTTAACATTAATGAGATGTAAAGTATTTTTGTGTGTCATATAAATAAATAAAAAAATAACAAAAAAACAACAACACAGTAGGCCTAAAAGATTTCCATGCATATTTTGTACAAAGCAAAAAGGTACAATATACCATCTATGTACAATGTATACCAATGGTACCGTCCAATACTAGAACACAGAGCTAATACTGTGACTAATAATGAAAAATGATGTTTTCAATCTGTAACATGACAACTACATACAAGCACATAATTCTTCATACAGTATACATAATAGAGGTGTAGACAAAATGACTCAATGTTTAATCTACTCATGACTTGTATCCTAGACTTTAAATTCATGCTAACACACTTATTGAAAGTCTGGAAACAAGACATACATGTTTTTTAAATCATCACAATTCATCGAGTCCTGGGTTAAAATCATTGGACCAATATATGGACAACTGATTACCAATCTTAATATCTCATGATCTGTCAAAAACAATAGCACTTACAAAATTCAATCTTTACATGCCAACAGAAGTACATGTATATTACCTCATCGAGAGGTGACAGCAGTACATACAATCATGTACAGATATAGTAATGTAAGACTTGGATACCAATTGTAATTGATTGGAAATCGTTGGAAAGAACTTTGAAATAACAGTGAGTGAAACTAAAATCATTTAATTATCCCTTTGTAAATTGACGAAAAATTGCAATCTGTATTCAATGTAACATTTTGTTAATCAATGATTGACTGGATAATTTATTTTTGTAATCATTGACCTAAAACACCATCAGTGCATACCATTATACTGTACAAACATGCATAGTCTGATGACATTGCATATACTAGAAAGAACACAAAAGAGCCTGAAAACCCAATCACCCAATCATGCAAAAGTTTGAAAAGTTTAAAAATATTGCTATGTATAAAGCAGTGACATCTATCATACGAGGACTACCTCAACAACTAACAATTATATGCAAAATATAAGAAGGATGTGACTTACCACTTGGATCACTTCACTAACAAACAAATATTTCATTTCAATCGATAAACTTAAAACAACAGCGATGCAGGAATCTAATGTTTTACATACTTATGCTATAAATCTATAAATAGGAGGCAACATTATGTTGTGTTACTGAATTTACCTCTTGAAAGCCCATGAAAATATATACATGTGCAATAATGTGAGAGGCTACACACATTAGAAAGTTGAATTGATGATGCAGTGAGCAAATTAATTAACAGTCAGGTACAATAAGGTCTGGTTGGTACCACTTATAAAAAAATAAATTACCTGCAGTTGGAGTCTCTGTGGAGGTAGGGGTATCACTGGTCGCTGGTGCTTGAGCTTGATCTGCAAAATAAGTACATATTACTCAACTGTGTTATTCATGTCTTTATTTCCAGAACATAAGGAAATCAAGACAAAAAGGTAGATTTTCATGTAATACATGTACATGTACATTCTATTATCCTAGAAGGCTGGATCATCACAGTAAGTTCATTTCAAACATGAAATCAAATCCTATACTTGGGGCTGATGTGAAAAAGGTATTCCACCTTGGTGGGAATTGAACCCACTATGATTGCTAACCATAACAACCATAACTCAACTGCAACTACATGTATAATGATCACCCAAGTTTATCCAAGGAAGAGAATGGTACATTATATACCATATATTTGTGAAAAATTTCAGGTAAAAATATTACAAAAAAACATTTCAGAGGCATTTTATGAGAATTTATGGAATACCTATGTACATTATCTTGATGTTTTTGTAATTTGGTACTGTTGTTGATATATAAAAAGACCTACTGTTTGTGGTCATATTTTACATAAAAATAATTACAAACCTTTATCTTTCTCTGCCTTTTCTTTAGCTTTAGAATCCTCCTTTTCTTCAGCTGCTGTTTTATCCGCCCTGAAGAATATTCTTGCACTGCTAAGAGAGTAGTTCAGAAGATCAAACTCCTGCTTATATACATCTAGTCTCTTGACTGTTAGGTTGAGAGTCTCCTGAAGTTTGTCATCTGACTTAGACTGAGCTTGCTGGATTGCTTGTTGCTGAAAATTATATGGATTTTGCTGAATTTTAAAGAACACAATCTATAAGATTCAATATTTTTCACTGTGTATCATGTGTATTGCATGGGCATTGCATGAATGCTTTTTAGTTGAACTAGTTGAATGCCCATGTGAATTGTGACATAGACGATTTAAAAATATTATTGGGGACAACAGTAAACTTGCAGAGATCTCCCAGGGAAACCACAGACGATTCACAAAATGAGTGCAAATACAACTAGTTCTCAGTCAACATTTTCTAGACTATTTTCTACAGGCCTCAGTTTTTATTTTCAACTAAAAGAATGAGTAGACATTAAGCTGTGGTATTTCAAAATCTTCTTATTTCATTTTGGTCATTTTGATATTATATCTTATTTTATTCTATTACAATAGTAATCAAGTGTCACTTATTTATCTACTGTCAACTTATTATGCTAAAAATGTAATTATTCTCGTTTTTAAAACCATAAAAAACATTGTTCTACAATCTAGTGATTTATAATGAATTCCAATATGACTGTATTCATGCCTTCTATAAACTGTGAACAAATCCAATATTTCACCCGGTATGTATTGGGATACAGTGCACCTGGCAATGTGAGTAACGACTCGTGACATCATAAAGGAGGCTTGTAATAATGGTGGGGAATGATGAATATCGAAATAATTTTGGTGAGTTTTCATATTCGAATCGTAATATACGAGGCCCGATCAGAAAGTAAGTAACCAACTGCTCTCATTTTTTCATACTTTAATCAATCACATTGAAATTTTCACAGATGATGCAGAAAATATTAACCTATTAAATAAGATCAATGACAATGGATTAGCTTCAATTACATTGTTATGTGTGTTGCTATGGTGACGATTGTTTTGGGTAGGCGGGGCACCCTTTTGAAAGCGGGTTTGGAAGATAATTTTTAGAGTTTTTTGATATATTGTATACCTCCAAATGACCTCACATTTTTATGCAAGACTCCATAATATGTTTTATGTGATTATCACAATAGTAACTACATTCCATTGTCTCATTCATGAGTCATCGACACAAAGAAATCAAGGACATTTTTGTGTCATAATGATGGTCGCAGATCAGTCACAGTTTCAGTCAAGACAAATGTGGTTGAAAGGGGATTTCCTGGCATGACGACAATGCTCCACCCCAAAGAGCTCACATTACCGAAGATGCAGTAGATGAAGCCTTCTTCATGGCCACACAACTTCCCCAGGCTCCCTAGTCCCCAGACCTGGCCCCATGCGACTAATATATGTACCTCTTTCCAAATGCAAAGATATCGTTACGTGGAATACGTTTTTGACAGCAATGAAGCCGTCATTAAAGCTTTCAATGACAGTTTGCAGCCATTGAATGATGACCTGATGCACGTCTTTAAGGAAAGAGTGAAACGTTGCCTTAACTGCATTGACTTTGGTAGCAATTATTTTGGGAGAACTAGGAATTAAAATGTAGTCATACATGTACATTTGATATATTTTGGGGTATAACAACATGTAGAAAAACTCTACAAAGTATCTTCAAACGTCACTTACAAAAGGGTGCCCCGCCTACCCAAAACAATTGTCACCATAGCAACAGCCATAACAATGCAATTGACACAAGCCCATTTCCTTTGATCTTGCTTAATAGGTCAATATTTTCTACATCATCTGTGAAAATTTCAATGTGATTAAATAAAGTATGGAAAAATAAGAGCACTAGGTTACTTACTTTCTGATCGGGCCTCGTAGATCTCAAAGCAGATGTTAATAACTACGAATACATACCTTATAGGGCTAGGCACAAAAGCTTTCGAAAAAACAGAAAAAGTTTGTGCCTGCCCTGCGGTATGTATTCGTCGATATAACACCTGCTCTTCAGTCTATATTTCTTAAATAAATGTTTATTTATCAGAAATATACACGTAACATTCTTTCTTTAACCATCAGTTCTAGTGTAAGAATTACCAATAGACAATTAAAGTTACAATTCTATTTTGTTATCTTTTCAAAAAATGATCTCTAAGTAGTAATAAAGTGTGGGAACTGCATGTCTCAGAATTAATTACTAATTGGAATCAGTTCTAGAATACAATTTAATCATACATGTGTGTAATCCATATTATTGCAAGGAATCTTTGAGGCCCAGAAATATCTGATCGTCAATGGAAGGTCAATTATAAAATCAAAGAACGGGTATGAACATCCGGTAACTTTTAAATACTGTACTCCCAGTTAATTTCGCAAGTTTTAATTTTGAATTTTGAGAAAACACGATTTGGCGGCTATTAAATTTCACAAATTTCACTAAGTACACCCACTACTACTGGGCTTTCAATAGCAGGGGGCGAGTGTCCGAAATCGCCATTTGTTTTCGATATGCGTTTTTGGGGAAAATTAAAAGTCTTGTATAGACTATATTTTATTTTATTCAGCGATCTTGTTTTGCACTTCCTTGTCTATGATTTGTACCTCAATTTCGAACTGCAATGGAACTCATTATAATCGTAAAGATCACGTGATCTGTTTATAGTTGTAAACAACAGAGTAATTTTTTACCCGTTTGGGCGATGCATTTTGGATCACTATCTGACAACTATCATGTGCATAATAATTCAAATTCCAATCAGAGTTGGTTATTTTACTGGACATGCAGTTACTCTATCCAACCAGTCACAGTACAGTCTTTCCAATGGGTGTCAAATTGTATTAAGTTTAAACCACTTTGGCTTATATTGTCTTATCCAATGTTATCAAAGTGTGAAATGTGAAACTATTTATTAATCTCAAAAATGTTTCTTGAAGGACTTTTTGTTCAAAATATCTTGAATTCATTTAAAACTAACTTTTAGAGGTCACACTTATTCTTTAAAGCGATAATTCACACCGATGCATAGCATTCACCCTCACTTGTTTTTTTGCTGACAAAATCAAGAAAATTGGTTGATAGATAAGCGAGCAATGAACTCATCCATGCATGAAAGTGGTTCAGGGAAAGATGCATTTCAAAATTTTATTTCTCATAGAAACCGCAATGGTAAAATAATATCAAAAAATATTAAAAACATAATATATTTGTCCTTTTAACCTGGTTAGACAGTCAACATTGCGTTTTTTTAAGTTTAGCATATTTAGGAAAGATTGACATTGAAAAATGTTGACCGAAGTGATGTCACGATGTGGTCACTTAGGTTGAAAATATTTTCGATATGCTAAATCATTGAATTGGCATATTAGATACAACATTTTATTTTTAACATAGTGTGTCCGTTGTTCAATCATTATATTGGTGTTAAAAAGAGAGAGGTTCTTATATGAGTACCTGTGCAAAATCATCCATTCTTGATAAGCAATGATAATTCTTCTTTATCGAGTCACAGACGAGCCCAGGAATGCGGGTTGTCACATTCATTGCAACACACCTTGCAACAATGTCTTATGAGGGTAATTTCTTATATTGAGAAGTTTATCATCTATTAATCAAATACTTGTAGCTACAAAAAGCGAATTTGCTTGAGCAGTCCTAGCTCGACATATTATAAAGAAAAAATATTTGCACCATGGTATTCTTAGTAGACTGTTCAATTTGGAATTTCGAAGCTTAGCAAAACATCAGCTTTCGAACAAAGATCATCAAAAAAGGATTTTATCAAAGTCTTCCATGCAAATGAAGGTGTGAATTCACATTAACACATTAGAAAAGATCCACAATATGTTATCAAATGGACAAAATTTGTAGATATGTTTTCCTTAATAATGTGTGAGGAGGCCTTTAAGCCAATTTTCGAGAATGCAGTGAGAACATTTATGAAGCATAACAACACTTTAACACCATCAATAGAAAATCAATGTCCTTATTTATTTATCTAAATGCCTAGCTTTATAAAAATCTGATGAACACATTACTGTTTATTTTTGTATTGGATTTTACCCATTTTATTAATCCTTACACAGTTCATGATTCTTCTTTGCCTTTTCATCCAGATCAATGATTTGCAAGTTTTTCATATCATCGCCTTCCAATGAGGAAGAAAATAATCAGATGGTTCAACAGTTCGTCCAATTTCTGTGTTTGGTTTTGGCCATCCAGCCCAATATATGACTTCTCCGTTTGCCAACCAGGCTGCCCACCAGGAAAATGTCCCAGTGGACATAATAGTATGATTGCAGTGAGACAGTATAGCTAGATCAACTCCTGATCCATGCCCAATTGAGAATGTCACATTTGGGGCTTGAATATTATTTTTTGCCCATTTGATATCATCCGTACATACAATAAAACGAACATATCTATGTTTATTTCTAAAATATTGCATGGCATTTTGAAAATATTCTTTTGGTGCAGTAAGGTATCCTCTTCTATTTTCTGAAGCTTTGGCCATGTCAGTTCTTCTTATATGTATTCCAACTAATATAATATTACTGACATTCAGATCTGAAGTCTGGTTCATATTACGATGTTGGTCAATAAAGTTCTTTGCAGTTGTATCTATCTCTGTATTGAATGTAAATTCTTTTTTCAGTTCTTCCTGAATTCCTGTCCAATATTTCCAAGATTGAAAATAACAGCAAATTCTCACATTAGTGTTCCTTGAAATATTTCTCATGACGTTTTTATCATATGCACTTGCCCTTTTTTCTTGAAGTCGAAGCGTTGGAAGTGTTTTGTTTATCTTATTTGACAATATTGTTCTATCAATGTTAAATATCTTATCTAATACTCCTTTTGGAAAATTCGGCATCATTTTATTGTGCTTTGCTATTACGATCACTGCTGCGAACTGAAACATATTATTGCCAAGTCTACCCAAGGTTTGGACAGAAACATACCCTGGACCTCGCACTACTTCATATGTGGCATTCTCTGATATATGCTTCTTTACCTGTCCAGCTTTTGCTGCATCATTTGTATAGTTTGTTAGTCCAATGTTTTTACTAAATATCCATTTAAACTTCATTGTTCTTCTAGAATTCCAAACAAAATCTGTAGATCCTAACCACATTGTAATTGATCCAATAATCAAAGTCAGAATAACGAATGTTTTAATGTTCCTGTTGTATTTAATACAACGTATACACCATTGATCAAGATACGGCATTTTAAGTTTGTTTAGCTAAATCTTCTATCTCAGTTTTTAAATAAATTACTTGCTTGTCAATTTTTTCCTGACTTTTCCCACTCAAAATGTTGTTATACTGTACAAGCACACATTCAGTATTCCACACTGTTGTCGGATTAACTTTGTCAATAGAATCCTTTCAATTTAATTGATGGCTGAGTTAATGCACAATCAAAGTGACACTGAACAATATAATATACTGGTATAGTGTACATTTAATAATTGTTTTTGCCTGTTTATATAACTAGGATGCACAATAACATGCTTTAATGCTTAATAACATCTAGATAATATCAGGTGTATAAAAAACCCTGCAATATCATTATCTCATCGTGCAAAAATCCACATTTTCCTTATTTTAGCTCTTCACCTTTATGCTATGTGTACTTGTATTTTATGCTTTCACCTATTTTATTTATGGTAGAATCAATCGATCATTTGAGACATATACGTGCTGAGGTTTGCCTTACCCAAACATTTTCATTTGTTCTTTGGGTTCATCAAATTAGTATTCATTTATGGACATAAAAGATCTGTACCTTAAGTGCTTGGTATTTAATTATGTATACATCGCTTTTGTCTATACACACAAGGTTTGCATACACAAACATAGCGATGCTAAAAGTAGGACAGTTAGAGAGCTAGTATATGGATTTTTCAATCTAAGATCATTTAACTATGGGTACCTGGCAAAACGTGCTCAAATAATCCGCAGATTATTAATTTTCATCAGTACTTTTACAAACCAAAGACAAATATTTCACAATTTTGAATGGTGCCACATTTCTTCTGTTTACTCAATTTGAGTTAACTAGTACATATTTACTCAACTTGAGTTAAGACTCTTATATGTTTATATGGAATCTCTTGATTAAAATAAGTGAGATCTTGACTTTTATCCTTTTACGTAATAACAAACAAGACTCAAAGTGAAAAGAATCACACTTGAATAGAATAGACAGTTTACGGGATGGAAAGTCCATATGGTCACCTTAACATTTACCAGAATGCCCCAAAACTAATAAGTTGTACACTTTCATACATAGAAACATTATAGAAATTTCAGATGAATCCCTGAAACAGTTTAGTTGGAAATCTGTAGACAAACCTTGACAGACAAGATTTTAGGATGGAAAATCAAAATGGCCAAAATCCCTCAAACACTTTGGCTTGAAACCTGTAGACAAGCCGTGACAGACAAGAATGGATGGAAAATCCAAATTAGCCACCTTTATATTTACCCAGAATGCCCCAAAACTAATCAGTTGTAAACTTACGAAGGTAGAAACATCCCTGAAAATTTCAGAAAAATCACTCAAACAGTTTGGTTGGAAACCTGAAGACAAGTCTTGATTGACAGGATTTTAGGATGAACCAAAATGGCCACCATGACATTTGCCCAGATAAAAATTTACCAGGATGCCCAATAGACCGCCCTCCCATCCATACGCCCACCTGACCGGAAAACTGATCACAATATAGCACCAAAGAGTGCGATAAAAAGTATAGGTCGAAGTGACTGGAATTGATATTGATTAATTACACTCTAATAAAAGGGAGTGATTATCTAAACTAGATAAGTACATTAACCTGCTCATATGCATAAAACACACTTACACTATATTAAAGGTAAACAACTGTTTCAGAAGATAATAGAGGCTTTGCTTTATAAGTTTGAAATCTTGTTGAAGTCTCGCTTTTAACATGATTTTAGGACTAAAATGTTGTTCTTATTCTTATTGTAATTTTCTAATAGAACTTTCAATTTTCTAATTTTCACAGATATATAGGTTCTTGCATGAGTACCTAAGCAAGATCGTCTATTCTTGATGAGCTTTGAAAATTTTTCTTTATCAAGTAGAAGAAGAGATAAAGAAACATTATCAAAGCTTCTCAATATAAAGGAATACAATACATAAGCCCATAGGTTCTGAGCCGATATAAAGATGGCAGCACCAACAGAATCCAGTATTATATTTTTCTCTAAATTTATAGCGGTTACTGAAAAGCTAGGCATATATCCAGCAGTTCTAATAATCCAATCGAGTGAGTATTCTTTCACCAGGATGTTATCTGGTGAATTTCATAATGTGTTGGATGCGTAGTGTTAATGTCCTGGTTGCTAAAGCGAGGGGTTGAATATCATTTGGCCATAATAATGCTAATGAACATGTAGGATACACACTGCATACATAGCATAGGGGATTTGCAAATATGCCCTTTTGGTTTTTTAGTTGCCTATTCCACTCTGCAATAAATTTTTCAATTCACTTTTAAATTAAAATATTGTCTCCTTTTGAAATCTACAGTACAACCACAACATGGCACTGCGTAGAATTAGATATTCTTTATCAAGTTAGAGGTTCTATGCCCATAAGGCTTAAGCACATAAAATTTGGACCAAATCTGACAACTGGTATTTGAGTTATAAAAAAAATTATACTTCATATGAAAAGGTGTTTGTTATTTTGTATTGAGCAGCCATATTGGAAACTACTTCTGGAACAAATATCCTATTTCCATCAAATGTTAGACAATAGATTTTAGACCAAATCATCAACTGGTATTTAGAATTTACATTCCTTTGTGAAAAATGGTGGCTATTTTGTATGTAGTGCCAATTTCTTCTTGAGCAGAGGTCCTATGTCACTAAGGTATCTGCATGATAAAATTTGAACCAAATCCATTACAAAATGTCACCATCTTTCTAAGGTCATTGAAGTTCCGAACCAAAGGTCAAATCTCAAAACTAAAGTCAGAGAGAACGTAATTAATCAATTTGAAGCAAGCTGAAACAAGCCGAAAAAATACTTTTTGACCTGTTTTGACCTTGAGAATGTCATTGAAGGTCAGAGCTCATATCTAAAGTCAGATTTGAACTTTGTTCAGTGAGATGATAAATACTATAAACCAAGAGACCACCCATTTAATACTGTTCTTAATAGCTCACTAATGATCACATGTGCATACCTCAGCTAAATTAAGGGCTCAATACTTTTGCAATTGTTTGTGATGTCATTCAGGGCTAATACTTAACTAAAGTCAGTGCAAAATCTATCATTTTATGCATGTTTTGAGCTTTATGGTATGTTTTCAAGTCTATAATAGTCATGCACTCATGTGGTTCATCAGCATGGTCAGAACTAGGCTTTCACTTTGTGCCTTGACAATTATGAACTTTAATTTTTAGTTGATTATTCCCGAAATATACAACTGTACAGTATATCAATGTATAGCTACTCTTACCTTATCCTTTGCATACTTGTCTCTGACTGACTGAAACCAATGCAGGGAATCAAACTTCTGGTATTGGTCTAGTAGCTTCAGAATGTACGCCAGCCCTGAAAGGTCATGTTATGTTTTAGGTCAATATCACCTTAGGAGACAATGTATAACCATTCAAAATGTCACCACCTGCCATTTGTTACAGATGCCGAATGTTAACCACCAAAACAAGAAACACCGGACACCATCCAGAAAAAAGTTGGAGACAAAATGTCCCACTTGTGGTGATGACATAAAAATAGTTTTTTTTTTCAATCCTAGGTCTTGTGCAGGATAGGCACATCTTCATTTAATGTGTCCCAATGAGAAATGCTCTCTTGATATGTCATTGACTTATTACCACAACAGAGCAAAACTTTTGTTTGAGAAAAGATTTATTATTATGTTGCATTTATTCCCATAATGAAATGGATTAAACATGTAAACACAAATAAAAAAATCAATCAACGATACAACAATAACCATAACAGATACAACATTTATACACATAATGAACAAAGAACAAAATACAACAAAACAAATATAGATAAATCGTTTGTTGATAAAACATGTTTGCTTAATGGCAGATAGTGATGAATCATTAAATGTCTCCTTCAGTAATACACAGGAATGTGGTAAAATGAACAAATATAGAAAAATATGTCGACACCCATAGGAAAAAATGAGCATTTCTTAATAATCCTTATTCATTCCTTTTTTTCGCAGAATAAGGCCAGGGAAGCAACAGAAAGTGTACAGTAGACAAATGTGGAAAAAAATCTCGAACAGAATCTAGGAGAACAACAAAAAAATGGACTCACCCATGGCAAAACCATCATCTGTAAAGGCAGCCCCAACCTTGTTTTTCTTGTTCAGTTTCTCTTTACAGCTAATACTGTACTCGACATAGTTCAGAGTCTGCAAAGAAACAATAAAAACGGATATTGACTTTACTGTATCTTCCTACTGTTACATGTGTCTGCAGTTGTGAGATGATACGTCCTGTGTCAAATGATACATGAATCACAACTTTTCCGCTATTTCCCTCATATCATTTAGATGCTAGAAAAAGGTGCATTTTTGATTGATCATAAAAAATAGAATATTTCAGTTTTTTTCTTGCACGAAATACTCTTGTGTCAAATTTCATCAAATATAGGTGAAATACCAGATCTCTCAATGATTAACATATTTTATAAGATTACGACTGATAACAAAAAATCAACTTGGAAACTGAAACATTGACCATAGATGCCTGTCCTCCCAGTAATTGGAGACTTTCACAGAGGTATGAAAATAAAAAGTGTCAAAATCATAACTCTCCACATTTAGGACCGAACCAGAGAGAGGAACATAAAAGTCAGTCTAGAGACTCATAACCAGTTAGATTGCAACTGGTCCATAAATTACGTTCAGATCATTTGATTTAAAATATATATGGCATACCCTGCAGTTGACAATGAGACTACTTAGTAGTACTTACCAAGGGAGGCAGAATGGCAAAGAAGTTCCTCAAGTGCATATTCTGTGACTTCCTGAATTCTGGTGCAAACACATCAACTAACATCTGAAACATAAAATACTGACATTGTATGAGACAATTTGATTAGAGTAGGGGTCTGATAGGGATCAATACCTGACATCAACTAACATCTGAAACATAAAATACTGACATTGTACCAGACAATTTGATTAGAGGAGGGGTCTGATAGGGATCAATACCGGACATCAACTAACATCTGAAACATAAAATACTGACATTGTACGAGACAATTTGATTAGAGGAGGGGTCTGATAGGGGTCAATACCTGACATCAACTAACATATGAAACATAAAATACTGACATTGTACGAGACAATTTGATTAGAGGAGGGGTCTGATAGGGATCAATACCTGACATCAACTAACATCTGAAACATAAAATACTGACATTGTATGAGATGATTTGATTAGAGGAGGGGTCTGATAGGGATCAATACCTGACATCAACTAACATCTGAAACATAAAATACTGACATTGTATCAGACAATTTGATTAGAGGAGGGGTCTGATAGGGATCAATACCGGACATCAACTAACATCTGAAACATAAAATACTGACATTGTACGAGACAATTTGATTAGAGGAGGGGTCTGATAGGGGTCAATACCTGACATCAACTAACATATGAAACATAAAATACTGACATTGTACGAGACAATTTGATTAGAGGAGGGGTCTGATAGGGATCAATACCTGACATCAACTAACATCTGAAACATAAAATACTGACATTGTATGAGATGATTTGATTAGAGGAGGGGTCTGATAGGGATCAATACCTGACATCAACTAACATCTGAAACATAAAATACTGACATTGTATCAGACAATTTGATTAGAGGAGGGGTCTGATAAGGATCAATACCTGACATCAACTAACATCTGAAACATAAAATACTGACATTGTACCAGACAATTTGATTAGAGGAGGGGTCTGATAGGGATCAATACCTGACATCAACTAACATCTGAAACATAAAATACTGACATTGTACGAGACAATTTGATTAGAGTAGGGGTCTGATAGGGATCAATACCTGACATCAACTAACATCTAAAACATAAAATACTGACATTGTACGAGACAATTTGATTAGAGGAGGGGTCTGATAGGGATCAATACCTGACATCAACTAACATCTGAAACATAAAATACTGACATTGTACGAGACAATTTGATTAGAGGAGGGGTCTGATAGAGATCACTACCTGACATCAAGTCATATTGAATAATCACAGTAAAACATTAAGAAGTGGGAAAGTAAATAGTAACTTAATAACAAAATGTCACCACCTGCCATGTGTTACAGATGCTGAACACCATCCACAAATATGTCACAACTTGTGGCGGTTACATAAAAAAATGTAAAATTGTTGGCCCTAATTGTAATATTTAACATATAAAAAATTACCTTGAAGTATTCTGTGCCTTCTGCAAAGTTCTTGCTCAGGTTTGATATGACATCATCTAATGTCCTACAACAGTTAAGTAAAGAAAGATAAAACAAGGAAATGCAAATGTGTATGGCTAATGAAGCCTAATATTTTAATGTACAGTATCGTAACAAACTTGGGTCTATTTAGGTAGATATAAAATTCATAAATAATTCCTACAAATTATGAGGAATTACCTATATCCCATATGAGATTTGGACTCAAAATAAAGTACAGTATGATAAATTCAGAGTGCCTCATATCCCCCACTCTTCAATATAAGATGTACATGTACATACTTAGCAGCTTTCTGGCATTCAATAGAGAGGTTCAAATCATGAGGAATTACCTATATCCCATATGAGATATGGACTCAAAATAAAGTACTGTATGAGAAATTCAGAGAGCCTCAAATCCCCCCACTCTTCAAAATTAGATGTACATACTTAGCAGCTTTCTGGCATTCAATAGAAAGGTTCTCCTCCTTGCAGAGTTCTTCAAACGTCACTATATCTTCCAGGTCAGGGATGAATCGAATGGCATTACTGCAACAGTGGAGGCCCCCTGACCGGATCATTCTCACATACCCCATAGCATTGCCTAAAAATAAATCAAATAATACAAAGTCATTGAAGGATTGCTGCCAGAAAGAGCCTTATCATAGCTACAGTCAAACTGGCATTAAATAATGTAAATAAACATTTGAGTTTTTGCAACTCCTAAAAGAGCCCATGGCAACATTTTCATTGAATGCATCCAAGTACCACATTTTCCCATTAATAAACCCTGAGTTATCAGAGAAAACCTACTAATGTGCTTCAGTTTCAAATAACAAGACCAGATTAATGATGGGATTTGAGGGCCTATAATTTGTATTAATATTTGCCATTGTATGCACATTTATTACATGGCCCACATATATAAAACTGTAGCGTTTTACACTTAAACCTGTATAACTGACCACCTCTCTAATCCAAACACCTCTCAATCTGAAAACTTTCTTTAATCCCAATATCATAATCTTCCATTAACTCCCTTGCTGAAACCTTGATATGTGAAATCCTGCTATTTTGAACATATATGGCCAGTCTCAATGGCATTTGAATTAGACAGGTTTTACTGTATACACATTGTTTTATTTACCCATTTGACTGATTAGCTGTCTAAACTGGTCCAGGTAACTCTGTCCATCAGGAGTAAGTCCCAGTTTCCTGATCCCTGTGTTGAACTTGTGAGCTCTCTCAAACGGATACTGGTAAAGGAAATGGACAAACAGTCTCAGAACATGTTCATGTGAAAGGTGACAAACAGTATCAGTACATGTTCATAATTGGTGGGCTTCAATATTGACCTTGGATTGAATATACAACCAAGATTACTCATTTTGGATACTAAATATTTGCTCATGAAGATTCAAAATGTTTATATTTCGCAAATCTTTTCTAATATTTAGATATTATTTACTCAAAACAAGAAAATTCAAGAAAATTACACCAAAATTGAGTTAACAAAATTAGAAAGTAGCCAATTTGGGGTCACCCTGTATTTATTCTATTCGTACCTTCTGATCTGTTTTCTGGTGGTTTTCCTTGAAAAACTTCCAGTCCTTGATGAGGCGTGACTTGATGTGTTCATCATACATAAACTGTGAGAAGATGAAGAACTTCTTGCGTAGAAACTGGTATGTAAAATTCACCTGGAAAATTAAGTTTAAGTAAGTATATATATAGGTTATTTACTGGGAGGGATTGAATATGGGTTTTATTCCGAGGGACAATATGATATTGACCGAAGGGTAATATGATATTGACCGAGGGAGCGCAGCGACCGAGTGTCAATATCATATAGCCCAAGGTCAATATCATATTTTCCGAGGAATGAAACCCATATTCAATCCCGACCAGAAATAACCTATTTATTCCATAATACACCCCTCTAAAATGCTACATTTGGATAATGCAAATAACCGGTAAAAAATAATCGGGAAACCGGAAATAGGTTAAAATACTCCAATACGATTTTTATCCCGGGGACAATACGATTTTTTCATGTAATACGCTCCAATACGATTTTTTTCCCGGGGACAATACGATTTTTTCATGTAATACGATTCAATACGATTTTTATTCCTTCATATTTCCCTGGGAAAACAGTAGTATTATGGAATAATTAAGTATATTACCTTCATACTTATAATATGAACTATAGTTCCTGAATATATCAGTTACAATGTTTTTGGTGATACTTAAAAATGGGAGCCCAAAGAAATGACTTAATCAATTAAAAAAATGGTTAAGCAAAATAGTTATAATTTACTATAATTTTGACTGTTGTTTTCAGTTTTCATTTTTTTGCCTGTTTTCAGAAATTCTAAATGGAACCTGGTTAAGTATACTAGCTTAAAAAACAATAACAACTAGAAAATTTACCGTTGTGTTCATGATGCCAGTACCATGAGTGCGTATAGAGTTGGCAATATGTCGGATATTGATCGTATTGAGATGTTTGTTGTTGCTTGATTTCTCTATGAAGATCTGGTTGTTCAGGTTATACAGGTACTTGGAGACAAACACATGAATGTTCCTCATAATCTCTAGCACATCTAGACCCTAGGAACACAAAATACACAGACTGTAAAAATATGCCTTTAAAATATACAAGATCCAGATCCCAGGAATACACAATTATTAGACTGTAGAAATGTACCATAAGAACATACAATATCTACAGCCTAATAATATACACAATATGTAGACTATTTACTTTAGGAATATACAATATCTAGAGCTTGGAAATCCATAAGTTTGCTATATATTGTAAATCATGAATCCAAATGCTTTTAACGATCTACATAACTGAGATGCTTAATATTAAAGACATGCCCAACACAATTTTCTTTTAACATTCTGAGAGAGATAAGATGTGCCATAGCAAGATAACATCATCTCTCAAAAGTATCCCAACACAAACATTATTTGGGCTAGGATGATAAACAATAGCTGTGTAAGTTGTTCATTAGCTCAAGTTTTATAGTATGTACCTGTTCCAGGGTTTGACTAGGCAGGTGCGACTCCATCATGTTCAGTTTATATTTCTGTACTGCAAGGTTCCTCATCTCTCCATATGTTTTCCAGTCATGAAGGGCAACTGTGGTCAGGTTGTAGAATGTCTTATCAAGGTAGTGCTCCACATAGGCTATAACATAGGAATCAATGGATCTTTTACATGTAAGATGACACCCATCCTTATCTTTAAACTAATCTCATTCTAATATGATATCCTTTTATGTAATATTCAAATAAAACTTTTTTTATAGATACAGGTACAGTATATACTAGGGGTGAGACGAGTCGAAAAAATCTGATTCAAGTCGAATCCGATTCGAGTCAGAAAATGACGATTCGAGTTTCGAATCCGTTTCGAGTCAGATAAAGTGCGAACAACATCGCTTTTGACCGTTCGTATTTATAATGCGTCAATGGTGGAAAGCCGGAAATATAAACAAACACAATTTGTCGTAAGTTTATTCTGATTTTATTACATATATTCTTTCATTTATGTGTACATACAATATAATAATTTAATACAAGCATATCCAAGTCATTGAAACTTATATATTCAACGCAATATCGAGTAAAAACGTGCATATTGACAGTATTTTCTGAATTTTTTTATTTTTTCGAATTTTTTTCTCAACTCGAAAATGATTCGATTCATCAACTTCGACTCGATTCGACTCGACTCGAAGCCCCAAACCCGCGAGTCCTCGACTCATCGGGTTGTCGTCTCACCCCTAGTATATACTGTACATATATTATTGGTTGAACCGCATCACTTACAGCCAGATGACTGAATAAAGAGATGATTTTTATTGAAAATAGGTAAAGTCCATCAAGTTTAGACAAGGCAAAATAAACATGACAAAATGTCTTCAACTGTTTACCATAAAGTGGAATAAAATTGATTTATGACACCAATAAAAACCGTTGATGGCGTATGCCACTACAGTCACAAAATAAACAATGGCTGTGATAGAAATATACAGCATTTACCTTTAATGTTGATGAATCTATCAAAGAATCGTATTGGTGTGATCTTTAGGAAGTGTGAGAGGTCCTTCAGACCAACCTTGAATGGGTTCCTATCATCCAGTTGAAGATGGGAATGTATGTGTAATCTCAGGTCTGTTTCAATGTCTCGACACAAGGGAACTAACAGGTGCTACAATAAAGGATTTAGCCCAGGGCTCAATGAATCGTGGATGTTTTTATGCATGTATGTCTTGTTTTAAGACTTTGAATGAGGGCAGTAGCTTGAAGCTTTATGTGGCCACCAAGAAACCTCTCATTATTACAGATTTATTTATCTCCAATTTTTTGTTTACCCACTCATGTTGCATTCTTAATGATGTAATGTAATTGATTACTGTAAATCTGAACCATTTGTACATGTAAATAAGAGGGATCTCAAGAAGATTTTTTAATTTCATTCATTGAAATTTGTAAAGTGAAAAAGGCTTCATGGATACCTACCTCTTTCAAATTGTGCATCACTTCTTTGTCATATGCATCTAAAAGTAGTTGTGGGGATTCCATGTGTTTTGTGGCTAGCATTGGTGGTACACAGTCCCTCAATGCACTGAACATGTACTGAAATACAAGATAAGATACCAGTAAGATATTTCCATTGTATTAATAACAATTAAAAGATCAAAAGAATATGCACTTTTATAGCAAGCAAAAATGGACTCATAGAGAGCAAAAATAATAGCATATGGATTGAATACATTGTACTTTTCTCCCCATAAATTTATATTAAAAAAATTTCCCAAATCAATTATTTTTAAATTCCCATTGACCTGCCTACTCTACATGGACATTAAGCTACTGTTAAAAATACATTTTAAAAACCTACTTGATGTACCTTGAACATCTTCAAGTCTGGGATAAACAATTATATTCCATGATGCAAGACAGCTGTACTTACATGTACTTTTTGTACCAAGACAGATGAACTTACATGTAGTTTATGTGTGTCAACTGCCGTCTCATACATATCAGCCAGGTATATAGGAAAGATGACTCTGTGCCAGTACAGGAAGCTACAGTCACAGGCATTCCGAACCTGTTCTCTCAGCTCTACTGTTGCCTCAAGTTTCTTAAGCGTTGCTTGGAGGCTTGAAAGTTCATCTTCTTTGAAGATTTTCTTGAACATAAAGTGTACATACATATACATACCAATTATTTCCCTCGATTAAGATCTCAATACCCAGTTTTTCAGAATTTTTGAGACAATCTATTTTTTTGAAAGATGTGTTCTTTACATCACACTTTTGTAAATTGAAATTCATGTAAGTTTAATCTACATGTACATATTGTTAAATTAAATAATATTTGAGAAATAGATTTTGTAGTTTTTCCATGGATTTCCTTTATTAGGAGTACTTTTTGTATAAAAATCATGATGAGCTTACCATCTTAGTGGCTACTGAAAGGGCAAGATTTGCTATAAGACGACGTTCCTTGGTGCCTGGTCCATTGAGGGTTGTCTCAGCAAGCACTAAGGCTGACAGCACATCTAGTCTGCGCTCACTGTACTTCTTATCTGATATAACACGCTTCTATAAAGCATAAAATGCTAAATAAATAAGTACAAGGGGAATATGGAACATCAGATTGAACATCGCTATGTATCAATGATATTATATCGATGCATTAGAGATTAAATTTAGTTGCAATTATATGACATATAAAGACAAAGATATAACAATGTACAATCTAAAACAAAAAGAAACGTAGAGCAAATTATTTTACCTTGGCAGCCTGTATGATAGTTAGGGCAATAAATGATAGATGTTGCAGGATGTGGTTCACGGACTCTGCCACCAACATTGACCTCCTGTGAAACGTCATTTCAATGGCCTAAAATTGGAAAACAATATGATACAATAACAATATATAACAACAAATATCATATCATGTACATGACTATTTTTAGGATTTGAAATTCTTAAAGAATGAAAATAGTCAGCTTATGAATGTGTCACCTCACTTCTTTGTAGTGACATAATAAAACAACGAAATCAGATTAAAAACATTTTGAAACAATTCTTGAGGTGATATAACGTCCACAACTTTAATCTCATAATAATTTCTCATAGTTACAAACCTTCAGAAGTTCAATGAGTTTACACAGAGCCAGCACTGAGCTTTTGGTCATTGGTTTCTGCATGGAGAAGTGCATGTTCATTGTAGTCCTGACATTGTGGCTGATAGTACAGGCATACAACATGCCCTGGAGAATGTAAAACAACATGCTAGCATTATTCCATGAATCATATACTAGATATACTGGATTTAGTATATAGGATAGCTAATATGATTGGGACTAAAAATCACGGGGGATAAGCAAAACGAGGGCGAAGCCACGGACTGCGACTCGCGTAATTCAAAACGAGGTTACAACGCATTATAGCTGAACAATGGTGGTAAGTCCAAACTTAATTTGGAAGGCATGTTAGGATTTGGGGTAGATTATTGGTTTGGATATTCTACAGAATAGCTAGTATGTTCCAGTCGGTGATCAACATATTCATACTCCACCTGCAATGGCATTCTTGGTGCTCGGCTGTCCAATAGTTTAGCATGAACACAAATGAATTCGAAATCTGCCACAAAAAATGTAATTTTGTCAATATTTGTCCCTAATATACCGATTTAAACAAAGGAATCAGAAATCACATCGAATTAATATAATTATTCATGTTCTGTTGTTACAATTACATCTTCGTGTGATATTTGGTAAGCGGAAAACGTACAATTACATAGAAAATTGGAATTTATAATAGTCGCAGTCCATCCATCTGCCCAACGGAGTCCGCGACTCAGTGTAGCTTTATATCTGAAGCTGAACGCAATCACAGCCAAAGGTAGATAGCACAATGTGTGTACAGGTGTGGCCGAAATGGAGCAACTTTGGACAAAATTGAATATAAAGGGCTATTTTAATAGACCTACATCGTGTCTCAATCCATTCTGCAAATATATACAAGCTGTCAAATACAGCTGAAATCATCATGAATTTATGGTAGCTAGTAATATTGATGGACTGTTGGAAAGATCATCCAAAATTACATTAACTCACCAACTCTCCAATTATTTGATATTTTCCTGATATCTTAAATACTAGTTAATGTACCCTTCCCCAACAGCTTTTATTGCATCATCAAAAAGTTAATTGTTTCGCATTTCTACTTCTTATAAAAAGTCTCACCACTATCCAATTATCTATATATTTAACCCTATCCACAAATTGGTTTGTAATAAACATATTACGTTGTCATCTTGCGCTCGACTGTTCTGCCAAATACACTATTGAATTGCCATATTTCTAGGTCTTAAACGATACAATATAGCAATTTGGGACATTGATTCAGGTAATAGATATATGTTAATCAACGTAACTTTGAATGATAATCTGGATGCTGACTTTCTTTTCCTGAAACAATAATAGCGTAGGAATATAGTTCACACTATCTTATTTATTTCGTGTTCGCGGCTGGACTGCGTTGCTTAGAATATCAATGGAGGCTGTGTTGCGTTGTTGAAATAGCTTTGTTTACTGGACTGCGTCCACTATGAATGCGCAGTTTGAATCTAATTTTCTCCTCATGAACACATTCTATTATCAAATCATTTTCACGAATTATACTCGGAGCCTCAACTAACCTTTAGATATCAGAAACGTGTTAAAACTCCTTTCAAATGTATAGTAAATTAAATAATATGCATATGTTTTACAGGTAAAAACAGAACTTTGCTACTGTTTTAGCTTGATCTGGACAACTGCTTATTTTCTTATCTACAGACCAACAGTAGATACAGAGTAATATTTTGGTCACCGATTAGACACTACGATAGCATTTAAAATACCTGGATTTCTCTATTTTGTCGGAAGAAGCAGAAGGCACTGCCGGATGTCCCTCCATTTTGGCGCTGGGCTGCGGTGTAAAGTTACGCGAGTCGCAGTCCGTGGCTTCGCCCTCGTTTTGCTTATCCTCCGTGAAAAATGCAATGAATATTTCCTCTCAATTCATTCCACCCAGCCCTCGACGGAATTTTTCCAATCCCCTAGCAACTTAAAAACTGAGAAGGATTCATTGAAAATTTGGTCTTAAATTAATTCGCCCATCCTAGGGATCCGCCAGTAAGCAAGGAAAATAGTTGTACAGGTAATTAGATTTCAATATCTCAAGTCAATAACCTCCGAGGTCATATTAATACACATTCAAGTTCAAGTTCTCCAAAATACTACCCTGCGTGCAGAGTCTAGTTAAACTACACTCTGCCTAGTAGATACCATATTACAGTTTAGTAGCCCCACCCCACGATGGGTACCGGTGACAGTTTGGGTAATAAATCACTTTTGACCTACGCGCTGACCTTTCTTCCACCAATCAGCGAGTTTGAAGAAACATACGCCAAATGCGTTCTAATTAAATATGTGCATGTCATTGGTCAATTCCGGCCTCAACGATGACGTCAGAAAGAATGACCATATATAGAACGTCGGTCAAATTTGGCCGACGAACACTGATTGGCGCGGTGAGTTCACAGGTTTATTTTAGTTTGAAAGAGTGAAGACGAAGCTCTCTTTTAAGAAGTGAAGTCAAACGAATGCAAAGGGTACCAAAATACTGTAACTTAACGTATCTATAGCTTACCTGTATAAACAAGGTACACCTGTTGTTCAGATCCTCTATTAAAGTGCTGGCCTTCGATAGATTAGACTCCATCTTGACCATCCAGGCAGACACTTGTAAATACATAATCTGGGCATCCCTGAATTAATCAAAATGTGATTCAGTTCAATTGATAGAGCTTGTTGGTGATTTTAGCATGGGCTTTTTGAACATGCATATTTGTAACTTAGTAAACACTGTACAGTTAAACCTGTCTAAGTGGAACACCTTAGGTACCTCTAAAAAATGTTTTACTTGGGAGGTGTTCTACTAATAGTGGTTCATTAAACATTAAGTCAGTTGGTCTTGGGACTCTGAGAAGTGTTCTACTAACAGAGGTGTCCCACTTCTAGAGGTGTTTCACTTTACAGGTTTCACTGTATTTGTTTTGTATTTTCATATTTATATCAATAACCTACATTAAAGCTTTGAAATCTGAATCTAAGATCAGCATTTAAAGATATAATCATGTAAACCATTTAAATTTTATTATATCATTTTTTCATATAATAATATGCATGCAGATGTATGTTAAAATAAAATCTTATTCATTTTAATTGCTCATTTACAAAAATGCTTGAACCACAGAATTTGAATCAGAATCTAAAATCAGCATTTAAAGAGAAAATCCTGTCAATCTTTTTAATTTTAATGAATCTTTTTTTTGTAACTCTCCACAAAAATATTTGAACAACAAAACAAGATTCACCTATCTTTGTTAGATACACAAACACAACAATTCTACAATTAATTTACAAATTATAAATAAATAATAAATATAACTATTTTTCTAAAATTAAATCTAAAGCAAGCAAATAACATGAACTGTGAAACATGAAACCAAACCGCAGATATTTTGTTATTAGATAGAAACACATGAGTCGAAGCCATAAATAAAAACATTAAATGTGCTAGCTACAGAAAAGCAGAAAGAAAAGCAAAATAATGGAAATGAATAAGAGTTCAACACAAAAAAAAGAAATTCAAAAAGTTTGTGTAAAATAAAAACCAAATAGCCTAAACCTGTTAGTACTTTTGGCTAAGTTATGACATGTTATACAACCTTCAAATGAAACATTTCCCAATTAATGAACTATAACTAATATAAACATCTAATAAACACTAAATACTTAAAAAAACGTAGGACAATATGTATTACAAACCTTTTCCTATTGGTATAAATAAAACAAAAATTATTATGGCATACAATATTTCTAAATCACATTTAGATTTCAATCGTGCTGTTTGTACTTTGTCTTGTTGATTTTTTACTAATGTCAGGTAATATAAGTAAAATGATGTAACAAAAAAATTATATGGTCTGTCTATCTTAAATATATATTATACATTTTATGCACATAAGATCTCGTTATTGTACATTCATATAATTAGCTTTCTAATTTAAAAGTAAAAATGTAATCTAAATGGGTGGTAATTTAACAAATGTAACAAGACATTAACATGCAAAATATCACCACCTGCCATTTGTTACAGATGCCAAACCCCAGCCGTCGGACTCCAACCACCATCACAAAAAGTTGGAGACCATAACAATATGGTATTGGTGGTGACATAATAAGACCTTTATAGGTCCAGAGAGGAATATAAAAAGATGCAAACCTTGTGAGATTTTGGCTTTTGGTCTGTAGCCATGTCTGTCGATGTGTCAGCACTGCTTGACGAGCCTTTTTGTCAAGGGCCTTAGCCATGTGAGGTAATTTGGTCAGCAGGAACTCATTTGGAAGCCATAGGATGTTGCCAATCAGATTTACTGCTGGAACCTGAGCAGATACAAATTATATGTTGATGTAAGTTATGCAACTTGATATATTTACAGGAATTTCATTAGCAGCAGGCAACAGGCAATTTTCACTCGTTGTTTTCACAAAATTGCCTGTTGTTTTTATGGCCTAGGGACTTTTCAACTTTTCAATGTTAAATTTATAATTTCCATTAATTTGCCTGTTGTTTTCATTTATTTAGCCTGTTGTGAAAAATTCTAGTGAACCCCTGATTTATATGAATAATTTATTAATGAAGGAGTGGTCACACTAAATGTGAGTGAGTGTGACATAAAGCACTGGAATTGAAACCATCATACACAGAAAAATCCCCATACATCAGTCAGTGCTGAGTTTAGTTTATTTTTTATTTATAGTGGTCAGCCTTACAATTCAACAAATACTATGAAAATAGTAATAACAATTTACCTAGCCTGACTTGGGCTTATTAACCACTGTTCACAACGGTAAATACAAAAGTCATATAACTGATTTATTCCAATGTACATGTATACCACAATGAAATGGGTTTACATTGAGAAAACAAGTCTATTTTTCCACAAAGAGAAAATAAAGAGCTAATGAAATGTTGTCAAAACACTATCATTTTGTATACTGTGCCCTTACCTTTTTGTAAATATCCCATAGGGATTTGAATATTTTCTTGTCTATGATGCGGAAGATCTGAAAGTGAAGTATGTAAAGGCCACACACTCCTACAAACTTCAGTCTCTGGTCAACCTCATTGTTCTCACCTAGAAAAAAAAATTGTAATTAGATCTATCACCATTCCTTGGCCTCTAAATGTCCAGTATCTCCCCTGTACTGTCTCCACAGGAATCAGGTGTATCCATAGGAATTTATCATTTTTTAATTAAAATAATCAATGTTATTACCCCAATAGGGAGTATTAGATGCCACATAATGGCATTTATAATAATTTATGATATATTGTATTATAAGAAATGTACATTGAATTTCAACATCTTGGTCACATGCTAAAACATGATGAGTCAGGTCAAATAGTTTATAAATTGAAACAAATAACAAAATATCAAAACTTGATATAGGGGAAGGGGAAAATGTCAATTGCATTAAATAGCGAAGAATATTGATTTTTGAAAATTCAAGTGAATATCAACTCAACAAAAAATATTTCATATATGGGTGGAGTGGGGTAAAACGTAAAATTAACTTTCATCAACTGTTAACACTTGGGCATCATCCCTTACCTATTCTTGTTTCTATCTGACCTAAATAGGTTCTTATATTCAGTGCAAACTCTTCCGCAAACACTGCATTCTTTGATACATGGACCCTGCTGTCATCATACAGTTGTTCTACACAGTTCTAAAACATACAGTATTTAGTATGAATGTTTCAAAGAAACAAGTCCTGGCATCAATTCATTCAGTTTAATTCAGTATTTTTCAAAGTAAGTCCATTGTAGATATGAACTACCAATCATTGTATAAACCTCAAATACTCTTAGAATTAAAACATCCTGGATAGTTAGTTAGTCCAGCTTCAATGCTGAATAAAACTTAAACCTTAATATAAATCAGGTTTTGCATTTTATTGATAAAAATTTGGCTGTAAAATTATCATTGCAAAAACATCCAAAAGCACACTTTAACTCAAATACAATGTCGTCCAATATTAATGTCATTTAAAAATACATGTCAATATCAATTTTATCTACCTGAAATATCATCCCATCCAAAACTTGACCTTCTAATGTCATCATCAACTTCTCAAATGGACGCAGCTTATCTTCAGAAATACCAAACCTTGATGGATTATGCCGGACAGATTTCAGCATCCTACAAAAATCCAGATATCAAAAAGATTTCTAGTCAAAGTAACATCATGACAAGGCATTAACATATAAAATGTCACAACCTACCATTTGTTACCGACACCAAACGCAGATCGCGAAATGCCTAACATCGTCCACAAAAAAGTTGGAGACAATAATAAAATGTCACAACTTGTACTGGTGGTGACATAAATATTCAGAATATCTACTCTACAATGCTTCTTATAAACAGGTCCACAATCCCGTCATACCTTTTATATAAGGTCCAATGGTCTTTCAACGTTGCATGATTCTCTATGATTTCATCCAGTGTTATAAGACATGTTAGTAGGTCCCCCAGGTGCTCATAGACTGTTTGGAAATGTGTATCAGTCACATCTATCACCTTAGGAGTGTTTCTGAAACAAGAAAAATCAAATATGAATTCAGATATGTTGGAGAGTAGTTTGCGTTAAAAAACATTTAGAATGATTGTAAAGTGTCTGAAGTTTCTGAATAAAACAATAGATACTTTGGTTACCCAAGCAAAAGCTGGCTACGGACTGATAACACTGTAGGAACATACCTTCCACTGACATGTAGGGAAGCCATCTGATGCATGACACTACGGACAACTTCATACGACCTGAAGATAAAGCAATGGAGGTCTTGGAACATTGACATCATACGTCCCATCTGAATCTGAGCCTCACCCTCCTGCAGTCCTTCCTCGGGCTCTGAAAATCACAACGCACTTTCTTCAACATAGCTAAGCTAAAATATGCTTCTGATTCTATCATTTGAGTGATCTTACACAGCATAAGACCAATTGAGCGATGCACCCTGTTTAAAATCTGAAAATTACATGCCACCACATGCTGAAAAATCTAAAGAAAGATGAGATGTTGACATTTTGTCCAAAACACGTAAAATTTAAGACTTATCACTCGAGCGAAAAAAAGCATGGGAAATTACTGTATTTTTATTAATCTTAATATATTTGGTAAAAAATCTATGAATATATCTGCAAAGACCTCTCAATTGTACACAATGCAAGTTTCCAGGGAGAACACTTAGTTATTTTCCAACACTCACCTCCCTCTCCATAGAATAACATGGCATTGTAGAACTTGTTCTCTGCCTCGTACTTCAAGGCATTCATCTCGCAACATAGTGAGGCTAGCACCGTTATCACCTTGTTGAAGATCTTATTGTCTGTCTTCACTAACTGTAGTAGGGTGGTTTGTTCATAAGGCAAATACTGAAAGGTTGAATAAAAAGATCTAAAAGGACGTAGAATGAATTGGGAGAGTTTTTCGTGCATTTCACTTTTGTTTTTCATCTAAAAACATCAATACACTATAAAACATTTTATTGACTATTAGATGAACTTCAGAGTGCTGGGGATCATTGGTAATCAATGTTTTAGTCCACCCGCTATGGCTCAGTGGCAGAGAGAGTCAAGGTTACCAATATTGCTTGGCCCCGGGTTCGATTCCCGGTTCAGACAAGTTTGTTTGTGCGTTATGTAATTCTGGGTGTTTGACTGAGTGGTTCCCGACTCGTATAAAAGGCTGTGGTGTGTACCTGTATGTCTGTGTACCTGTGCACATAAAAGAAAACAGGGCTCCTCCAAGGAGGGGTTTCTGGCTCTATCTTCGAGAGTAAAATACGTAAAATACGGAATATACCAATGAGGTATTGCTCGCCAAATATGGCGGTAACCAAGATACAATAATAATAATAATAAAAACAGGATTAATGCTGATTTAAATAGGTTTCATATATTATGCCAATAATTTGTCAAATTATGTAATAACATTCTTTAATTCCTAGAATATTTTCTTGGAGGAAATTCCCATAGAAATCCAATGGTATAGTTCCAAAGCAGATTTTGAAATTGCAGGTAAGTAAATCTTTAATACACACTTTATTGGATTGTGATATAAACTAGCACAGCCCAATAAAGTGTGTACTAAAGATTTACCTTTCTGCCAACCACTGAACACCAAAAACCAACCACTGAATGCTGAACACCAAATGCCGAACACTGTCCACAAAAAATAATGGGACAACCTCATTCAATACCTGCAGAGAAATGGGGTCAAGAGTGAAGTCCCAGGAATCCCCAATTGTATCATCCAAAGCATCTTCAATTTCCTTTAGCTGTGTGGCATAATCCTCAAGAAACTTGCCATACTTTTTTAGCTGAACTTCTCCAACGATTTCTAAATACAATAAATAGAAAAATTAGCAACTACACAGAGAAGTAAATCCCAACAAACAAAATATTCATAAATCTGTTTATGTCACAATGTAATATTTACCATCTACTCTACCCTTGATTTGAAGATAATAAAAGACATACACATTGGAGATATATCAGTACAATATTTGAGATTTAATGTAGGGAAACAAATCTCTGATATATATCTAGTATTTGAGTAATCTTCCAGATAGATAAATGGACTGATAGGCAGAGGGCTTCACTATATCTATACTTAACTTTGTTTGTTGGAATGATAAAATACAGGAACTATGAGTTGTCTAAGAGCAAGTATCAAGTGAGTACATAGACCCACACTCAGAGTGTACATGTAGTGGGGGACAAAAATTAAACTCAACCCTCAAAAGTTGTCACAATGAGCTAAATTCTAGGTTTCGTGTCTCAAACTCTCCCAAGCGGTAGAAAAATAATTCCCATTCACTTTAAGTAGCACAATAAATGAATCGAAAGCTTCATACCTGCAAATGATGGATGAAATCCCTACCAAATCGAAGGAATGTTTTCATGAATCACCATGTTTGTGATCAAAAGAGGATTGACTCCCAGAATGCAACATCAGGTAACCTTATTTACTCGTGACAGATTTCAAGATGGCGGAACGGCATTTTGAAAGGTGACACGTGTCATGTTGCATTCTGGGAGCCAATCCATATTGGCGATGTAATCGGGCTCTAAAATCACCTCAACATTTGAAGAGTCGGCATTAACATGTGAATGTCCACTTCAAATTTTTAAGTTCTTATTTGTCATTAAGGACACAAATTCCACTATATCTGGACTTACTAGGACGGAGAAAATAGAGCACTGAATACACTGAGGTAAGAATTTATTACATTTACGACAGCATGTAATTTCCATAGCTTTTGTAAATCTTTATGTCCCCCACTGTATATGCCTACTTAAAGCTGATGATAAGGTAACTTGAAATATTGGAAGGGGTGTGATTCAGAGATTGGATGACATAACACAAGGACATATATCCATGTATTCACGGACCTGAAAAAATGAAAAGGAGACTTCCATGAACGCTGTTCTTTTCAGTTTCACCCATGCACATTCTCTTTCTCTGACTTCGACAACCCACCACCATTTTATATTACCATTGCTTTTTTAGTGTAATGTCATTTATTACATATCTCACAGATGCCTAGTCAGCCCGTGAAAAATGTAGCAACTCTACTCGTAAAATAAGGCTGCAAGATTTCTCAATTTTCCAATTCATTCATCAGGGCCATGATGTAAGTACAAACATGGAAATAATTTTATGTTCGTCTGGTCTAATCTAAAAAGGTGGACTTACAAATGAGGCTGGATTTTTGTTCTTGGATTTGCTAATCTAGTAATGACAAATTCACACAGTCAACGTCTACTAAACTGGCAGTCCAAAAAAATGAAAATAAAAATAAGGAAGTAGAAAATGAATTTTCAAGAGCATAGTTCATGGAAACCTGCCGGTTGTTGGACATTCAATCAAAAAAATATGAAGCAGGTACATCTATTCTAATGCAAGAAAATGTAAGACTGTAAAACCATTGCATACTTATGGAACCATCGTCAAATTTGTCGAATTGCCAATCTTGTCCTTCCATTCCCTCCATGTTTGAACCTCCCTGTCACATGACCTAGACAGCCAAATTAAAATTTGTATTCTTACTTTAACTATCCTCATATCCAGAACAACAAGTGTTGAGCCGAGACTAAATTAATATTAAAAAATACTCCTTCTCATAAAAATATTTTGATTTGATCAAATGAAAAGGTTACTAAAAAATGTAAAACTAGTGTAGAGGCTATAGAATAATCACGTGATCTGCTGGACAAAATGGCAGACGAAATTTAAAAGTGACTTCTCTCGAAAATATTGTCGAAGTGGCAAATTACACAGCCATGTGGAGGTCATTAGTGCTCGAGGTTTGTAGATTTTAATCTTTATCTTCAAAAGCTTTTTTTAACACATCTTTATCATTGTTAAAGTCCTTCACATGTAATTTTGAAAGAAGTAAATATTTGCCGAATTTCCCGGGGCGACTTTATAATATCATAAATACAGGGTCTGACAGATACGGACTGTACAAAGTCTACAGTATCTATCATAATACCTTTTATAGAATCTATATAATTAGGGGAATAGCCATCAAATGTGAAGAGGTGCGAATTTTTGTGTTTGCATCACTTTACAAAACCAGTGCTTTCGTTCCGTGGGGGGTATTTCCTCTAGTCTGAATTTTTTTTGAAATTTGGAATGAAAATATTCAGACTATAGCCCACATATGTTAAAATTTGGGATTGAAAAATATTTGTTTACAGAGGAAGTGCCATTGGCCGACTGGGTAAATTAATTTGCATACTACGTTAGTTTCAAAAAGTATCAGAACTGTCATACAGGCAATGTCTGCCTAGGACGGAAAATTACTTATAAACTTATAAACTTATACTTGTTACTTCCCCTAGCTTTATTTCCATTTGACAATATGCTGTGTTACTTTTCATAGCATTTAATTATACCTTACTACTTAATTGAATTGTTATAATGTTTATTTTTTGGAAGGGAAGTTTCCTAAAATTGATAATTGTGTGCCTGAAATTTCCTGTTTTTTCCCACAGGGGGGACATAATGATCAATAGAGTGAATTCTCAGGAAATTCAGTCTATTGGATATAGACTAGGGGGGGGGGTCCGATCGCACCATTGGTTTCAAGAGAAAGCCCATGGATCGCGCTGATTGCAACTAAAAAGATAATGAAACAAAAAATTCAGTGCTGTAAGCGCTGCAGTCAATGGAAAAATATATTCATGAGTTACTATACACTTTGTTTTATATCATCTGCTTGTGGTTTGGCTTATCAAATATGTGGCTCTTACATTTGTTTAATTACTTTACAGTATTGCCATGTTATTTTTAAATCCTGTATAATATGGATATGTTTTTCCATGTATTACAACACTGTGGTCTTTTTCTTCCTCTTTTTAGGTTTTAATGAAGAACATAATACATTGAAGTGGGCTTTAGGCAGTTGTGACTTGAGTTGAAACACTAAAACTAAAACAGCTTGTCTCTTTTTGGAATGGAAAATTGAATCAATTTGAAAAACCATCATAAAAAATCAAGTGATTGTTAGTTCTTTTTTTTGGGGGGGGGGGTGTTTCCAAAGGTGGTTTGTGATCTCAGAGAATCATATGCATTTGGAGAAATAAATTTGTAATTCCTGAGCATTTGTAGATTTTCCAATTTGTGAGTTGCATGGTGGTTCTTAAAACTGCACATCAGGTTTGGCTACAACAGAGTGCAACCCATGTCATTTGAAAATTTATTCCCTTTGAACAAAGTGGTAAGATCAACCTTGACAGTGGCTACCTTTTAACCTGTTATGTCACTTGACTTGATAAAGTGACAACATTGGTACTTGATAAAAGGCTGAAATCTCTGAGAGAACTCATGTGATTTAGTTGAACAGCACTAACATAATGTTTTATCTTGGATATCTCAAACTTTATCAATGTGGTGTTTACTTATACTATATTAGAATTGAATACATTTGAGATTTAAAGAATTATCCAGTTTTCACTTATGTGTATAAAAAGCTGGGATTGTCTACTTTCTATCTGTCCATTCAGATATTAAAAAGCTTGTATTTAAATTTGATTCACAAAATATTTCAAAAAATGTAAATATATTCTCCCAAAATCATTCGTATTTAGTTCTGTCAAACAATGTCTGATTCGACAACAATTGTCACATGGTCTCCCACGGGGTTATCACTTTAACCTACCATTGGTTCTTAGAGATTATGCTATCGTTTCAGATATATGAGAAATTGGAATCTTAAACCACAAATGAGGTGATTGCACTCTTGGTGATAAAGAAGCTCTGCGTAAGCCAAAGCATGATGTAAATTTTGATAGATAAACATACAAATGACATAATAGAAAGGTAAGAATATTTTAATTATATTTTTTAATTTTTTGAGAAATTATAACAGTAATATCCTTGCATGTAGAATTTTTCTAAATTTTTTATTTAACAGTTTAGAGTTATTATATGTTGTATTTACTACCCTTTGCTTATATTTAATACTTGCAGTTTCTGCATGCTATAAAATTGCAAATGTAACATCAATTTAATTGCTAATATTATCATAGATTTAATTCTCCTCCATGCTTGCTTCCCACTCTTTTTTCTTTTCTGCAGGCCCATCAGGAGTTGGGAAAGCAAAATCACACTCCCCTACCCCCATCTGTAGCCTGTGTTTCTTTGGAACATCACTGTACCCTGTATCCCTTTTAAAGAAATACAGGCTCCAGTATGGGGGTAGGGTAGTGTGAAAATATAACTCATAATTATATAGTCATTTACTTTTTAGATTACTTTTTGACTGTGTTAGAGCTGTTTGTCAATGTTGTTATACGCTCCTCTCTTGAGAATTGCAAATGAAAAATCTGATGGTCCTGCAATGTATCACAGTAAAACCTGTTTATCCAAACATCTGGCTAATCCGAACACCTCCTAATCTGAACACTTTTCTCAGTCTCATTTTTTCTTCCCATTGACTTCCATGTTGAAACCTTATAATGTGGACACCTCCCAATTTGAACAGTGAACAGTCATATTTGAAAAATTAACTGGTCTAGTTTGAACACTTTTCATAAAATATCACAAGTTTCATTCAAAATTGTTCAAATATTTGCTATTACTGTTTTATTATGAAATCCAAAATTACGGAAAAGTCTCAATCAAAATATGTCTTTCTAAGATGACTTAAACATTTATTTAAATCAGATTTTTTGATTTACTGGAATGCCATAAAGCTCAGTGGTAAATTGCATTATCAATGTTTATTGAGAATACTGTATGTTCACATTTCTTCAAAGTTCAGAATGCAAAAACCTCTTTGAGGTGAACACCTCCTTATATGAACACTTAAATGGTTCCAAGTTCAGATGAGGCAGGTCTTACTGTACTATTTTGCACAGTACTTCAAAGTATGTTTATACTAACATTTTACAGTTCTCTATTTTGTTGTCAAACTGGCATCCTCAAAGCCATCAAGATAAAGGAACATGCAGGAGATTCTCCGGAGTCTAATGTCTTTAGACTCTCTTGCTCCAGAGTCTTATAGCTTTTCCGGTGTCTAGAGTGTTTTATCAAGAGTCCAATTTTACACTTTTCTCACATTATTATTTGAAGTAAAACTCTTGAGAAAATACATAAAACTGGATACAAACAAGGAATAGGAAGTCAGAAACCTTTTAGAAATGTATATTGTGATTAAAATAGGTAGATAATCTTGAAAAGTATACTAATAGGATATCTCTGATCTCACATGGGAGAGGAGTAGTCGCAATACCGCAAAAAAATCTGGGGTCTAAAAATTTTCTGGTGAGAACCCTGACATGTATGTATAAATAAAAGTTAATAAAACTCGAGATTGGAGGTATAATCAGTTAAAATCACTGATTATTCAATGTTCCTTGTCTGCTCAAAACCCTGTATCAATTAATATTCAATATACCATAGCTTTTTCAAGGGTTATCTGACAATGTCAAGCAGGGCCGACTGTCAATCAAAGGATAACATTTTGATTCTATTCATTTTAGAACAAAATCCAGATTGAAACGATGTTCTGGAGATCACTGGATGGGCACTTTTAATGTTGGGCCTTCTTATCAGTCTTTTTAAAAAGTAGAGGGACCCAAGACCAATCTGAGATATTCCAAAAATACTTAAATACAGGATAGTGAAATCTTAAACTGATGACAGTTCTCCAGTCGAGGGGTCAATACACGGGACTGAACTTTTAACATTTATCATAGCAAAGTCAATACATAAATCAGGTACCAAGTATATACATGTAGATGCATGTACTACTGATCAGTTATCATCGATGTCCCCTGGAATTCTAATCTAATATTGAACCTACCTCAGGCTACTGAAATGAAATTCTATGTTTATGAAATCATGTTTAACACTTTTTGTCAATAAATATAAAATACTATAGAGAACTTCTACTTGAGCTTTATTTGATTTTTTATCCAATTTTCAAAATATTGTTTAATGTCCCAATCTAATGGGATCATATAAATTAACTGTTAAAATACTGATTTACTGATTTATAAAGTAAAAATTATCACTGGGCATAAAAGCAATGGCAACCCCAAAAATGCATGATTTTTCACTGCAAGAAAAGATCCCCAGATTTTAAAAATAAAATTGATCTATTTTTTTTCAAAAAAGACCAAATTAAAATGACTAGATGTTGCTAGATAAAGAGAGTGTGTTATTAAACATTTAATTCATTAGCCCTATCCTACCAAATTAAAATGACTAGATGTTGCTAGATAAAAAGAGTGTGTTATTAAACATTAAATTCATTAGCCCTATCCTAAGATACGAAGAAAGCTTGACAATAGGGCAGATAAAAATGGGTTTGCAGAGAACAATTGAACTGAAATAGGATACTTGAACTTTGTAGTTTATAGGATGATAAAATAGTTTTGATTTTGTTGGTTATCATTAGTGTAACAATCAGAAAAAATTACAAATGGCAGACTTTGAAAAATAAAAACAATGACACCAGCTGATAACTAATTTCTTTTTGAAAAAAGTACTTGTATTTTCTTTTTATCACAATAAAAGTTACAAGAAATATTGTTATCATTATACATGTACATAGTTAGTTGAAATAATTGTTTTGATTGAAAAGAAAAGCAAGATATAAAGTGATATTATTGTAATTGAAGAACGACAAAATAACAACAAAAATATCCAGCATGCCCAAATGCTAAGCAAATCTTGGCACTTATTCGCAAAAATTATGCAAATTGATGGTTTACTTGCTATCTTGATGATGAGACTTCTTCCTAATCCTGCACATAGCACAACTTCACAATGCCCCACAACCCATTTTGACTACTCGCATCTGTCTTTGCAATGAGTAACATCCTTGCTTAATTTCAAAAAGTGAACAGAAATGCGAAAGCTGACATATAACACACACTTAACCTGGATCCAAGCCACACATTCAATAAGATTATAATATTGTATGTTCATTATCATATTGCATGTTCATTATCATATTGCATGTTCATTATCTTATTGCATATTCATTATCATATTCAATGTTCATTATCATATTGCATGTTCATTATCTTATTGCATATTCATTATCATATTCAATGTTCATTATCATATTACATGTTCATTATCACATTGCATGTTCATTATCACATTGTATGTTCATTATCATATTGCATATTCATTATCATATTCCATGTTCATTATCTTATTGCATATTCATTATCATATTCAATGTTCATTATCATATTGCATGTTCATTATCTTATTGCATATTCATTATCATATTCCATGTTCATTATCACATTGCATGTTCATTATCACATTGCATGTTCATTATCATATTGCATGTTCATTATCATATTGCATGTTCATTATCATATTGCATGTTCATTATCATATTGCATGTTCATTATCATATTGTATGTTTATTTTCATATAGCATGTTCATTATCATATCCCATGTTCATTATCATATTGCATGTTCATTATCTTATACCATGTTCATTATCATATTGCATGTTCATTATCTTATTGCATGTTTATTATCACATTGCATGTTCATGATCTTATTCCATGTTCATTATCATATTGTATGTTCATTATCATATTGCATGTTCATTATCATATTGCATGTTCATTATCATATTGCATGTTCATTATCATATTGCATGTTCATTATCTTATTCCATGTTCATTATCATATTGCATGTTCATTATCATATTACATGTTCATTATCATATTGCATGTTCATTATCATATTGCATGTTTATTATCATATTGCATGTTTTATGATTGTGCATCATTATTTTCCAGTTGGGATCCATCCATATCTGCATGTGATATTTATAGATTTTACTAACACCGACAAAATGGGTCTCGTTGAATATATCCACCCAAGCCTAGAGACCTTGGATTACAAAAGCCTGAAGACACGCAGCATTATGGTTTTAATATCTGTCATGTCCTTCATAACACTATTTGTAGTATCACACTTTGTCGGTTCATTTATTCGGACATACAATAACCTTCGCATGAAAGAAAAAGTTTTTTGGAACTTAGCAGTTGTCCGTGGAATATTTGGATGTGCTGGGTCTGTAATAGGAGTATGGGGTGTGTTTTTTGATGATGTCCTTATAGAAGATGTAGTTTATGCTACATGTCCAACTTCAAACTTTGCTGTTCATATCATCCTAGGATTCTTTATCTTTGAAGTGACAATACTTGGGATATCCGAGATGATATACAAATCCTTCAACCTTTTACTTAACGTTCATCACTGGTTCTCATTGCTCGGGTTTGCTGTTGTGGTATACTTCGAGTGTGGCCATTTTTTCGCAGTTAAGGGAGTCTTACTTGAAATGAGCACTCCATTCTCAGGAATCTGCTGGACATTACTGAAATGTAACCTACAGGACAGTTTCATATGGAAAGCAAACCAGTTTATCCTGGTTCATTCGTTTCATCTTCGCAGCGTCCTCGAGTGCCATCTTTGGTATTTATCATACTGTCACATGGATTATATCTGGAAGGTGATGCCCCTGAAGTTGTTTGTACCATTGTATGCACAATTACTGCTGGGAACCGTCATCATGACGCCATATTGGACATACAAGAAAACTTCACAGATGATCATACCAGTAGATTGGAACTTTGATGACTCAAACAACAATAAGTCAAAGAATGGGTCGGCTGTTAAAAAGAGAAATTAAATCAGTGTAATTTATCTATGTTTAAATATAAGTGTAATCATCATGAATTTTGAATAACTTCACTTAAGATTTTTCATGTGAACATCCTCCAAATGCAGGGCTCTAGACATCATCTACTCTATTCCTGCATTCAGAGGATCTCATCTGAATTCTTCAATAACTTCTGCATTATCACTGAAGGGTTCTTTTACATCGTTAATTGTATAAATACAGTAAAACCTGTCTACATATAAGTGGAACACCTTTGGTACCTCTAAAAAGTGTTCTACTTGGGAGGTGTTCCAATTATAGAGATTCATTTAACATAAAGTCATTTGGTCTTAAGACTCTAAAAAGTGTTCAACTAACGGAGGTGTTCCACTTTTAGAGGTGTTCCACTTTACAGGTTTCACTGTACAATATTCTGTTAAATGTTATTTGGTATAAGAATTTTTGTCTCACCCTGTAAATAAGCATATTGTTGAGAGGTTGATTTTTTTAGAAATGTTGTCATGTTTTTGTTGTTGAAATCGAAATGCATTTAAATCAGAATATAAATTAGAACAATTTTCTTGCCACCCTGTATAAACACTGTATTATAAAGTGGAGAGTTTGGTTGTTTTCTAAGAAAACATGTTCATGTATAGGTTGATGAAGTACATGTTTATTTTCCTTTTGAATAAATGAGAATTCGTAATGGAATATATAGTATTTTAAAGAGGATTTGTGCAATTAACACTGATTAAGAAATACTGAATATCATTTTTTCTGTAAGCAGCGCCCCGCCTCCTTCAGACCATTCTAATGAGTCTCTATTTATGAAAGTAGTCAAAAATGTTCATGTATTTGTTAATACTTGGTCATTTCTCACTTTTTATTTGTGAAGTGGAGTTGGCGCTTATAAGAAGGAGGGTGCTAAATATTGAGATTACATAAGTGCAATTGAGAAAATACTGAATATATTGAAGTGCAATTAATTTAACATTAGAAATATCACACGTTTAATATTTCAAGTGTCTCATGGGCCCTAATAAGAAATAATAGGGCTGTTTTGTAAAATAGTTGGGACTTTAGGTAAAGATCCCTATTACCATGTATTTATTGATCATTTTAAAACTCTAAAATGATATTTGATGTCATAATAACTTGGGAACTGAATTACAGTTCTTGTATAATGCTTGCCCGGAGCCAGCTTTTACCAGGAGGGGGAGCTTTTTTCCAGGGGGAGATTTTTCACAATTTTGGCTAAAAATCATGCATGAAATTCTCAGAATGGTGAAAAACTGCATGATTTTGAAAGAATTTCTGGCCAGAGGGGGAGCTTCCGCTCCCCCAGCTCCCCCTCTGGCTACGGGCCTGTAATGGAGTATACTGAATATGACTTTTCATTATTGAACGAAATAGTTATCTTTCTGGTTGATTATCATATTAGAATAGTTACAAAGGATCTCAATTCTATGATTTATGGCAAGTATGTGACCTGAGATTTTAATCTGTCAACTGCCAAATGGCTCAATGGCCTTGGTCTTTAACAGTGATCAGAAAAAGTGATTGCACATAAAAATCATACAAAATTCAGTTGTATTCCTTAATAAAAAGTATATGTAACTTCATTTCAAGAATTGATATACTTTATATGCAAAGTTAAGCCCCCCCCCCTTTGAAAAAAATTATTTGAAATTGTATTTTTGAGCAAATATGCATAATTCCATATATTGATTTGGGCCATTGGCGCTTTCCCTTTATATGTGTGCTATCCCCACACCATTAGTTTGCTTACAGTATCATTGCCTCAATGAAAAACCTCACATATTAATGTTTGTTGCATATATAACTTTGAAACCATAAGCAAGGTGATGTAATGATGGGGTCTATATGGTACCTTTGTGTATATTTTTGTGTTAGTCTATAATACTCTCATTTTTTGTGCATGTACATATGTATATCTTCTACAGGCAAAGTGTGAATAGTGGATTTGCCAAGTTATGGCAAGAGCAATAAGAACCTTGTCAACAAATGATAATCAAATAAAAATGTGTTGTAAAAATTTGTTATAATTTATTGTACATCATATTTTTTATCTTGCCATTTTGCGAGAAAATAAATTCAACTTCAAAATTTGACACTATCTTCATCTTTAATTACTTTTATCTATTTATATCAATCAGTACATATTGAAATAATCACAAATAACTTGACCTCCTATAAATAAAGTCAACAAGAATGAAAAAGACAAGACAAGATATGAGAAGTACTGTATAAGTGGTATTTACAAGTACTGTATAAGTGGTATTTACAAGTACTGTATAAGTGGTATTTACAAGTACTGTATAAGTGGTATTTACAAGTACTGTATAAGTGGTATTTACAAGTACTGTATAAGTGGTATTTACAAGTACTGTATAAGTGGTATTTACAAGTACTGTATAAGTGGTATTTAATCTGAGTGGTTAATTTGCCGAATGGTCATCAATTTCCTAATTTTAATTTTCCTAATGACAAGAAACTTCCCATTAAATAACATTATGAAGACAATATTTCCGACATTTAATTTTCCGAGCCTGGCAAAAATTAGGCAATAGGCAAATTAAATGATTAGGCAAAAATACCACTTGTACAGTATCAAACTCAACTCTATCAATCTGTCCTTCCATCTATTTGTATGTTTCGGCGATAACTTCAATATTGGAAGTCTGATTTGGTTTAAAAATGTTTAGGTTCCTTTCTCTTATTCAATTTCTAATATTTTTTACTTTTTTGAAAAGAATGCCTAATCCCAATTTACACGATAAGTGACAATATATAAGAATCTTAAAAATATGATCCACTCTTTGGGATCACAGTTAAGTTGTGTCGTTAAATCACAATCTGCGTGTCAACAAAATCATGTAGTTACATGCACATGAGGTTTTACATTAATCCCATTTGAAATATTTAATGATTTAAGAAATTTGTCAGTTTTCCATATAGAGTATGGTATACAAGCCTGACCAAACTACTGCCACCTATTAATTCATCTATAAAGCAAATCCACTCATTGTGCAATACCGACTTGTCAAAATTAATTATGTTAAACTCGCAGATGTCTCTATTGCAACTGTCATTTTGGTATGACATTTGGCATCTGTAAGTATGCCAGATTGTTACTTTTGTTATTATTTCAAATTGATGTTGAGATTTCATCTCAATGCTTTGTTCTTTTTTTGCTTCCACTAGAGAAAGTCAATATGGCTTAAAAATTTGACACTTTTAATTTTTGAAATGATCATATGAGAACTTGACCTCTTTACAGTAAATAGAGAAAAAGGGCAAGACATGATAGAAGATGAATCAGTAAATTTACCAATTTATAGACTAATGAATGACTAATGAAACTTGGTAGAATGAAAAAACATTGAACAAGGTTCAATTGTGCCAAATATAATTTAAACCCATGGTGGATGACTGAGTTATTCACAAAAAGGGGTTACCTTTTTTGGCTCACCCTATACATATATAGCAGAACATTTGTATTGGTGCCAGAATCAATGGAAAAGTTGGCAAGCAATATCCATGAGTATTTTGGCACGTTCCATATTGCTTGCTTTCATAATAACCATGACATCATGTTTCATTTCTATCAAATTCTACTCACAAACGGATGCATGAAGTCAATGATACAATGTTGCCATGGAAATAAAAGTATGTGATACATCAGTTATGTCACTATAACGTGAAATATGCCTTCGTTCTACGTTCTTGCCCATGAATAGGGCATTTCAAGGTTAGTCTATATTGGCAGAACTCAGGCATATTTCACATTATAACCTCTAAATACAGGCACAATAAAACTTGTAAGGTGGAACACCTCATTACATTGAACACTCTTCAAAATTCAGTACGACTTAACTTAATGTAAACTTAACCTCTCTAGCTAAAACACTTTTAAGGACCCAGAAGTGTTCCACTTTTACAGTTTTATTGTACACTGTACATGCATTTAATTAAAAATCATGAAAATCTCACGATGATCATTACATTCCAGAATATAACTGCTATGCCAAGGTCCTCACAGATCAGAGGAGGTGCAGTAAAGGAGGAAAAGTTCTCAACTTTCAGAGGATGTAATGCCTCTCAAATTGGTAAGTAGAAATGACTTTGTTGAACATGTACTACACCCCCAAAATGCAATCTGATTTTCGATGCCATTTCGGTGCCGTTTTGGCACCAAACTGACTAGTCTGGTGCCAAATTTTGGTGTCGAAAGGTTTCAGTGCCGGAAACGGTGCCGTAACAGCGCTGAATTTTTTCGGTGCCGAATCGGCTCCGAATTATTTTGGCTGTGTAAAGTGTGTTCTTTTTTGGACTTTGTACCAATAAGCATGTACATATACAACAGAAACTGTCGTAGGGGGTGTCTAAATGTCGACAGATTTGCTGACATTTCTTATGCTTAGTTTCCTCTACCAGGGGATCAACTGGGCTAATTACAAACTTGATCAGAAAAAAGTCCTACCAATTTAGCACTTACCATAATTCTCATGTCTAGTACAGTGTTTCAATTTTGCACAATGTATTTAATTTTCCTTCCACCTACTTAACCTGAGTATCATCTACCATGTACTTGATTTTCCAGTTATCAAATACAAACAAGAACCTGCCATAATGACAACCATGAGGATTTGTGCTTTGAGACTGTTATCATGATTATTGATTGGCTTGTGGATGAAGATATAAACACATGAGATTCTACTGTTGCATCAGTCTATTTTGATTTTACAACTTCCAAAGCCTTGACAGCTTCCCTAAGGACAGTTGACAATGCCTTGCAGTGAGAGATACCATAGAAACAATATATTGGATCCTGCCAACATAATTCTGGTGAAATAGACTTTTTCATGTTGAGTAGGAAAGGTGTTCTTGCACAAATGTGATTTTGTTCTAGAGCATTTTAACAAATATCTACACTTCAGCATATTATTGTACAATTCAGGAGCATTAGCAGGCCTGTCAACTTGGGAACACCTAACATGAGTGACTTGGAAATGTTGAACACCTCCCCTCAAAATGTGGACACCTTGGTCTGAACACCTTGATCCAAATTTTGAACACCTTGGTTTAAATTTTATTACATCTTGCCAAATTTTGGGGATAACCCCATTATACCGAAAACCATTATACCGAAAAGCATTACACCGAAGCGCATTGTACCGAAAACCATTGTACCGACGCGCATTGTACCGAAAAGCATTACACCAACGCGCATTGTACCGAAAATCATTATTGAAACCATGATATTTGAAGTTCAAGGCCTGAGGATTATCGGCCCGGATTATCAATGTATATGGAATATCAAGTTTTTTGTTCGACGACTGGTTCAG